CACACTAGTTGAACATCGATTTCATCAACTTCGGCTGTCGCGCCTCGAGCGGCTTTTCGTCTCTCTTTATATTTTCGAATTTGAGAGCAAGAAAAAAAAAGGGTCACGAGATAGACTAGTCCTAAAGAGGTAAGCAGTATTGTCTGCATGTACCTCCTCGATCGGGACGAGGTCACATGCTTTTTTTTTCTTCGACATCGACTTTTTTCTTCAGGTTCAACTTCTTATATTCGACTTCATCTTTTCGTCTTTTTTATCTTTACATCTTCCATCTCTATCCTTCTGGCTTTGCTAGCAGGCTTGCTTATCTTGCATACTTATACGAACTACTGACGAGGACGGTTAGATTTAGCTGGTTGACGATCCCACGTTGGCTCAAGGATCGATCAAGCTTATCGGCCTCCACTTTTTTTACCAGACGGTCCTCACACAATATTGCTCGCTTACGCGGTGCTTGAAGTGGTATATATATCTTCCCCCGTACGGAGAAACCTGGTTCGCTATCCATAGCTGGAGACTTCGGCTTCTCTCTGTCTATCTTGCTATCCGTCTGCATATCTGTCAAACTGATGATACCAAGCTGATATCTGATATAGAAGCGGGAAAAATACTCCGTACAACTGAGAAAAAAAAAGAAACGAAAAAAAAGAAATAAGTTTCGGGTCCGTTCGAGACCACTGACCTTCGAGGCAGATGGTAGAGAGCTCATCTTCTTTGGGTTTTTAAGAAGGGCTGCTGTTTGCTAATTGCCCCCCTGTTTTCTATATATCTCTGTTCCTTATGCTGTTACTATCTTCATCTTCTTTTCTGGATTTTTGGACTGTTGGATAACTAATTATTATAATTATTCCGTTCCGGTTCATATCTTGAGGTCATATTCTATTCTTTGTCTCCTTTCCTTCTACAGCTCGCACACCAACAATACCAAAGGCCAACGCTAGCAATGGACAGTTCAACGCGTTCGCCTACACAGAAGAGTCTAAGTGAGTTCCAGTTTCACCCCCTCTTTAACCTCTTTCTTTTAGCTGTTGTAGTGTTGTATTGTATTATATGCTCTCTGTTTCCTTTTGGCATGTCCAAAGCAGTTGTGGTGATGGATGGCTGGAGAGATATCTGATATTAGTCTACTTTCTTGTATCAGGTTGCATTCTAGCCTATTGAAGCCTTGAATTTAAGGGGGGGGGGATTAAATCCCAGCATGTAATCATTATATTATAATGCTGTTTGTCTTGTGGTATCATGAGAGTGTGAGAGAAAAAGAGTGAAAGAGACAACACATTTGCTAACATTTGAACTTGATCAGCTCTCAATACCAAAGATATAGAACCTACATCTACATCAGTAGCTACCAACAATGGATCTGTAACTCAGCAAGATGGAGTCCAGCAGCAGACACCCGACACAGATACCCCAGGGTCTCGAAAGACATTCCGTTCAGGCAAGAAAGGGGTCTCTGCTCGGCCCAGTATACCAAAATCTTCCTCTGCTTCACTCAAGTCCGTCTCTAGCCAGATTTCTCATCTGAGTCTGGACCGTTCCAACAGTGATCCGAGCATAAATAACAATGTTAACAATACCCCTCCATTACCAATAACGTCTGCATCAACGGAGGAAGACCGTTTGTCCTCATCCGCTTCGTCATTCCCGGCACTTCAACCACTCGCCTCTGATCCACAGTCGTTTCTCTTTCGTAGCAGCACGGCGGGCGATGTCAGTATCCAGGCCCAGTACCATGCTTTGCTGGGCCAAGTTCATCAGTGGCTGCATCAGGAGAAATCGAAGCTGGGCCTGCCATCCAATTCTGCAGCAAAATCTCCCCGTCTAATTCCACGGTCTACTTCGGCCCCCAACAAGGGAGAGCTCTTAGGTGATTCTGGCACAGCAGGTGATGCTCAAGTGCCTGAAGCCACTCTTGCATTAGAAAAGCTAGAACGGATCCTATCTCAGTACTCCACTGACGGGCTATCCGGCTCAGGAGCCCCCTGGAGGCGAAGACGTGGTGGTTCATGGGGTCAGGGGAAGAGAGGCTATGGCTTGAAAGGTTTGCGCCGCGGCTCAGCGTCTGATTCAGACTATACGGATACTGAACCGTCCGTTCCCAGTGCGGACGTGGTACTTGACAACTCTAAAACACTCCTGTACTCTGGAGGAGAAGCGGATTCAGACACCGAGTCATTACATTATAGTCAGAATGACGGTAGCAAACCTCCTGGTAGCAAGGACAGGGAATACTGGCTTCATTTTAAATCCGAGATCGTGCGATTGACGCATACCCTTGGATTCAAGGGCTGGAGACGAGTTCCCCTTGACGCGGGCGGAGAAGTTGAGGTTATTCGTCTGAGTGGCGCACTCACAAATGCCGTATACCTTGTCTCACCGCCAAAGAATATGTCCAAGTATTCCCAATCTACATCCAGCCAAACTGCCCCCAGGAAGCCTCCTCCGTAAGTTTGACCTTTTGTTCCATTTTCTGCAGCTAGGAAAGAGTATTAACAAAAGTGCCAGGAAACTACTTCTCCGCATATACGGTCCTCAAGTCGAACATCTTATCGACAGAGAGCATGAATTGCAAGTCCTCCGTCGTCTGGGAAAGCGAAATATCGGCCCACGCGTTCTAGGGACTTTCAAGAACGGCCGGTTTGAACAGTACTTACATGCTCGTACTCTGACAACTCGTGACCTGCGTATACCCGAAACCTCCATCCAGATTGCCAAGCGTATGAGAGAGCTTCATGAAGGCATTGACTTGTTACCCGAAGAGCGCGAGGGCGGCCCAGGATTGTGGAAGAATTGGGATAAGTGGGTGAACCGGTGCGAAAAGGTGACTACGTGGCTTGACAGCGAGATTCTGGCAGACTACAATGAGGACAAAGCGATGAAGGAACCTTGGAGGAAACGAGGGTTCGTCTGCGGTGTCCCCTGGGAAACTTTCCGGAGTATGGTTGATAGCTATCGTCAATGGCTAGCTGCTAGCTGCGGCGGAGATGACGAGATCGCCCGTCGGTTGATTTTTGCTCACAATGATGTTCGTTCTATTCCCTTATATACACCCTTAGACTACACTAACCCCTACTAATAACCCCTCGCATAGACGCAATATGGAAACCTACTTCGTCTCCAACCAAGCGGAGAGTCACCTCTGTTGCTTCCCGCCAATGAACATAAGCAGCTTGTCGTAATTGATTTCGAGTATGCGGCGGCCAATATGCGAGGGGCGGAGTTTGCAAACCACTTCGTAAGTTTCGGCACGATACCTTCTCAAGGTAAAGTCAGGAGATAAGCTAACACTCAACAGACGGAATGGTGCTATAACTATCACGACGAGGAACGTCCCTGGAGATGCAACACAGCCTGGTATCCCACTCTGGAGGAGCAGAAACGCTTTATCCGTGCCTATCTCACCCACCGACCTCGACTCATATCTGAGGTACATAACGGCTCATACCCCGCTGGCCAGAACTTCTCCACCAGTTCAGTATCAAGTACCATGACCACCCCGGGTCTCCGGCCAACCTACGTCGGCAGCCCGCGTGTTGCCCCCTTCAACTTAGACACCTACATCCCTGCCGTGCCGTTCTCCATCAGCGAAGATGACCAGATCGACGAAGAACTCGAGATAGAAGTGCAAAAGCTCCTGCAAGAAGTTCGAGTCTGGCGTGTCGCCAACTCAGCCATGTGGGTGGCATGGGGCATCGTGCAGGCCAAAGTCCCAGGCCTCGAAGCCGCAGTTGCAGAGACAAGCACACCAGCAGTATCAATTCCCAGCGGCGGTGAGGACACTGCATCGAGCAACGGCGAGAACGAGGATGTAGCTACAACACCCACACAGGAAACAGTCGGCGCACAGCAGATGCTGACAACTAGTGATCAGGCACTGCAGGAGGCTGAGGTGGACGAAGCTGCGGATGAGTTTGACTATCTTGCATATGCACAGGATCGCGCATTGTTCTTTTGGGCTGACATTCTAGCTATCGGGTTGATTAAGGAGAAGGATTTGCCCATGGAAATGATTGAGCATATCAAGAGCCGGATGGTTGACTACTGATTTTCTTTAGCTCTAGTATTTGGATTTGGAAATCATCTCTTCTTGTTGGTATAGCATGGACAGTTGATTATTTTTCTATTTGTTTTATGATTAAATTGTGAATACGTACGGCGTTAGATATGGAGCAATATATCATTTAATTGGTTATATGTCGGGGAGTCCAATATCAAGCTATGGTTACTGCTAAACGTGCAGCTAAACGTCTTTCAACTGTATGGTTATATATGTAGTCGAGACTAGGCCAAAGGGACCGGGTTATACGTTGTCATGCAACATCACGGCTATTCAACACCAGCAACAAGCAATACAGAGAAAATGGCGTTTCCAACACCCCATATTATCGAACCCGAGGGCGATCATACACGTACGATCATCCTACTCCACGGCCGTTCAAGTAATGGCGCCGAGTTCGCAGAAGAGCTCTTTAGCTCACGAACATCGGAGAAGAAGACGCTCGCAGCCCATCTACCTGGCTGTCGCTGGGTATTCCCGACATCTCGAGATCGATGGAGTAAGGTCTTTGAGGAGGATTTGACTGCCTGGTTTGACATCTACTCTCTATCAAACATCTCAGAGCAGCAGGACCTTCAGATTGACGGTCTGAGAGAATCTACGCTGTATATTCTGGGAGTCTTGGAGCGTGAGGTTGCGCTTTTAGGAGGCAGATCTGACAGGCTGGTACTCGGTGGAATGAGCCAGGGCATGGCAGCGGCTCTCTGGACCTTGTTATGCTCTCCTGGACGGCTCCAGGGGAGGATTGGCGGCTTTATTGGGATGTCTGGATGGCTTCCTTTCGCCAATGAGATACAAGGCCTACAGTCTCCGCGAGAGATGATACCAAAGTTCCTCTTTGATACGGTTCGATGCGAAGAACAGGTACAAGCGAGTACCGAGGAGTCTGGGACGATGCTGTCTACGCCTGTGCTACTGCTGCATGGGACTGATGATGCTTGGGTCGATGTTGAGCTGGGTCGACAGGCGCACGCAAGCCTGGTGAAGCTGGGGATGAAAGTAGACTGGAAGGAGTATACAGGGGCGGACAACGACGGACACTGGGTCAAGGAGCCTGAGGGCCTTGATGATATCGTTCAGTTTCTCGAGGCTGCCTGGGCTTGGTATTAGTCCACGCCATGGTTGAATTATCTACAGGTTCGACTAGATAATGTTATTGAACTACGGGACTCGACATGACGGATCATGGCTCGGCTGTCTCAACTAACTAAATATCTGAATGGAAAAAACTTCCACAATGTAACATTCGGACTAGAAATTGCAACTTGCATGTTCCCTGGCAATAACATGCATGACATACTTCTTCTTCCATTCAAGATGCTCGTATTCCCGCGCCCTTGCCCGGATGCAAGCCGAAAAAGCAAAGAGAAGAAGGGTTTGTGGGTGGGTTGCTCCCTCCGCCATAGAGAAGGAAGAAGTATTTACGGCCAATGATGCCCATTTATAATTTCAAGTCCGAGGGATTCACTATTAACATAGAATAGCTGCGGACCTGTGCTAGTTGCTTGTCTCGTCAAGATGTTTGGGCGTACTCTCGTCCTTGCTGCGGTTATCGCTACAACAGCACTGTCAGCGTCCCTGGAGAAGTGCCCCGGATATAAGGTGTCCAACATAAGAGATAATGGACATACTCTGGAGGCGGACCTGCGGCTCGCTGGTGAAGCGTGCAATGTGTACGGCGAGGATCTCAGACAGCTGAAGCTCCGGGTGGAATACCAGACCAGTACGTCCCCTATCCTTATGGGAAACTAGATGAGAGCAGTTCTAACAAGGAATATAGCTTCACGGCTGCATGTTATCATTGAAGATTCAAAGGAAGATGTATACCAAGTCCCAGAATCCGTGTTTCCGCGTCCCGGGTTCGAGGAGAGTGCCGGTGCTTCGAAGAAGTCGATGCTCAAGTTCACCTTCACTAAAGAGCCCTTCTCGTTCAAAGTAACCAGACGTGCTACCGGAGAGGTCATCTTCGACACCGCTGGTTCTGCCTTGATCTTCGAGAGTCAATATCTGCGGCTGCGCACCTCTCTTCCAGTTGAGCCCAACCTGTACGGCCTAGGAGAGCACAGCGACCCCTTACGCCTGAAGACTGATGGCCTGGTGACTACCCTGTGGAATCGAGATGCCTATGGTATCCCTCCTGGAACTAATTTATACGGCTCCCATCCGGTTTATTACGATCATAGAGGGAAATCAGGCACCCACGGTGTCTTTCTTCTAAACTCCAATGGCATGGACATTAAGGTAGGGAGTGATGAAAACAGCAGTGGAAGTAAGTACTTGGAATATAATACTCTCGGAGGTGTCCTTGACTTTTACTTCATGGCTGGTCCAACGCCGAAGGATGTTGCCTCGCAATACGCTGAAGTGGTTGGCTTGCCAGCAATGATGCCATACTGGGGTTTTGGAGTAGGTCGCCTTTCCCAGTCTATCTATCACCGTACCTTTTTCTCCCCCTTATTCTTCTTTATTTTGTAAATATACTAATTTCGGCTAGTTCCATCAATGTCGATATGGATACCAGGATGCTTTCAATGTTGCTGAGGTTGTTTACAACTATAGCCAGGCAGACATCCCGTTAGAAACCATGTGGACAGATATCGATTACATGGACGGGCGTAAAGTGTTCACGCTCGACTCAGAGCGATTTCCCATTGGCGAGATGCGAGCACTCGTTGACTATCTCCATGATCATGATCAGCACTACGTCGTCATGGTGGATCCAGCAGTGAGCTATGGTGACAATGATGCCTTCTATCGAGGAAAAGAACAAGGCATTTTCATGAAAACCTCGAATGGATCAATCTATAAGGGTAAGTATTATCATCACCCTCAATCTAGGATACCTTGCTAAATCAGACTAGGTGCTGTCTGGCCTGGTGTCACTGCGTTCCCTGATTGGTTTCACCCCGGAGTCCAAGACTATTGGAATAACGAATTCAAACTATTTTTCGACCCTGAAAAAGGGATAGATATCGATGCTCTCTGGATAGACATGAACGAAGCTGCTAACTTTTGCGACTGGCCCTGTTCTGATCCTGAAAGGTGGGAAAGAGACCATGATCTACCACCCGCTCCTCCACCGGTCAGGCCAATCCCTCGACCTCTGCCTGGATTCCCAGGTGAGCTCCAGCCAAAGAGTGTTAAGACCGCAAAACGGGACGAGATCAAAGTTCCAAACAAAGCAGGCTTGCCAGGCCGTGACCTTATTGACCCACCATACAGAATCAATAATGAAGCTGGATCTATCAACAATAAGACCATGGACACCAACTTGGTCCACTCCAACGGTTTAGTTGAGTATGATACTCATAACCTTTACGGTACCAGTAAGTTCGAATACATACGCCTTTGTTTTTATTCATGCATACTAAGATATATGTAGTGATGAGCAGTATTAGCCGAGAGTCGCTCTTGTCTCGACGCCCCACAAAGAGACCCATGGTTATCACTCGAAGTACTTTTGCGGGAGCTGGGGCCCATGTTGGGCATTGGTGAGAATCGTGTCGCCATGCAGTGTGCTCTTATACTGATGTGATACAGGCTAGGTGACAATCTCAGCGAATGGAGCCAATACCGATTTTCTATTTCCCAGATTCTTCAGTTTGCAGCCATCTACCAGATCCCCATGGTAGGAGCTGATGTCTGCGGTTTTGGAGGCAATACAACGGAAGAACTATGCGCAAGATGGGCTATGCTAGGTGCATTTTATCCCTTCTATAGGAACCACAATGACATCGCTGGTCAGGACCAGGAGTTTTACCGCTGGGGATCTGTGGCTAAAGCAGCTAGAACCGCGATTGAGATCAGATATAAACTTCTCGACTATATATACACTGCTTTCCACCGACAAACTCAGTCAGGGGACCCGATTTTAAACCCCCTCTTCTATATCTACCCAGAAGACAAGAATACCTTTGCTATTGACCTGCAGTTCTTCTACGGGGATGCTCTTTTGGTTAGCCCGGTAACAGAGAAAGGCGCCACCAGCGTCGACATATACTTACCTGATGATCTCTTCTATGACTTTTACACCGGAGCACCTGTTGAAGGAAAGGGGGAAATGATTACAATGAAAGACATCCCAACCACTCATATTCCCCTTCATTTCCGTGGTGGAAATATTGTTCCAATGCGCTCTAATAGCGCCATTACCACTACCAAGTTACGAAAGGAGCCATTCGACCTTGTTATTTGCCTCGATCGTGATGGGAATGCGGAAGGTAGCCTCTACATAGACGACGGTGATTCCCTTGACCAAACTCGTACAACTGAAATCAACTTCGAATATCGCAAAGGCACTCTCCGCATTTCTGGAAAGTTTGACTTCCAGCCAGAAAAGGCTTGGGAGGTCAAAAATATTTTCGTCCTGGGGCACAAGCGGGACATGAGCGGCCAGAGAAAGGGAGACGAGAACAAAGACTTACAATACAATAAAAAACTGAAGAAACTGGCTGTCAAGGTTGGAATACCGCTTACGGGGCCTTCAGAGATGACCTTTTACTAGCATTCGGATGAACAATAGTGAATGTATATATCAGGGGCATTCAGGGATAGATTGAATGGTGATAGATATTACTATCAACTCGCCTTGCTCTCTCCAGGTGGGCAATATTACTTAATGAGGCCCTTTGTATATGCTCCTACGTCTTCTCACATCCTCCCTCGTCTGAGATGAACTACTGTGACTAGTCGGCATATTCGCTAGAATAGAATATCAATGTAAAGTGCGCTACGCCTCTTTATAATATCACTTAAATCTACCAATATACCAGTCTCTAAGCATAAGTCTCACTTCACTTCCGGTCACCCCTCGACAGCTTAAGATATTCAACTTCTCTACACCCTCCCATCAGAAACAAAAGGCATCCTGCGGTTCCTTAGCCGTCTACATCAATTTTATTTACCAAGACAGCGATGCGCACGAAACGCCGCAGCTCTCCAGTTGTCCAAGTCAAGCCAAAGAGAAAGAAAACAAACCATCTTCCAGATGGAAAAAGAATCCAGCAGTCTAAAAGGCTTAATAACAGGCCTGAGTTCCATTTAACGACGGAAGTACTTCAGACCTTGAACAGCAGCAACAACATACCTCGTCCTAGAATTAAGGGGAAGATCCAACTGAAGCTTCAAGATGCCTCTGATTACCTTACAACTTGCAGACCTGAAGAATTGCATGAGATAAGACAAATTGCTTCACAGGGTGGCTTTGACCTATCTGGCCTAAAAACAGTATGTTGGCCTGTGGAATTTCGTGTGTATAAATGCTGATGTTTTGATAGGCGTTGCGCGACGGAACACATTCCTACGTTTTTATCGGGCATCCAGCAGAAGATGGGGGATATCTTAGTAACTATAGAGAGGACGAGGCTATGGATGGGGATGATGAAAATGGCGATGACGACGATGATAATGAGGAGAAGAAGGAAGAGAGTGAAGTAGTTCAACTAGTTGAATGGGCTGTGAAACGGGCGAACCGATGCAACGTTGAACACTCAGCAGATACGAGTGACGGTGGCAGACGCTCAGCTGTCAAGCCACGGTCTCCAAGTCCTTCTCTAGGAGGCCCGAGGCCGCCTATGTACTTCCCAGAGCCACCTCACCTGGACATGGACGACAAAGAACAAATCAAAACTGCTCTCAAGGAAACAGGATGCATCATGAAAGCCCTTCTCGACCGCCTCGAGGTTTTGGAAAAGAAAGCCTGAGGCAAAAAAAGAAAAGAAACGTCTAGAATGCTGAACTATGCCTGTCAGGAATATGGTGAAGCTATAAACATAAGATTAAAGATGATAATTATTCGGGGGTATATAAAACTGAGTGTAACCTGGGTCAACCTTCGATAATGGCCATTCCGGTGTCCATATCTCTCCTCCTTGGTTTAATGCTATGATTAATTTATGAAAAGACTATCAAGCGTGTAGGGCTGCTGGTCTATATGCGTTAGAATGGCACTCTCTGTCAACTATTAAGTCCAGGGGTAGTTTGGGGAGATTCATTTGTTAGATGATGGGACATCTGCCGGAAGCTCTTGCGGCGGATAATCCCTATCAGGCAGCTCCGCAGGCGCCTGTTGACCTACTCCAGCATCCATTTCCTGAGGATTATAATGTTTCTTGTCTTCCACTCCATGACTCGTATTAACCAGGGGGAGGCCGGCTTTTGAATCCCTGTCCTTGCTTTGGTTGCGCCGCCTCAAGAAGAAGAACAGCCCCAAAGCTGCTAGCGCCAGGAAAGCGACGACCCCGACAACGATACCGGCGATGGCGCCGCCGCTCAGGGATGAAGAATCGTCGTCATTACCACATTCATCCGAGTCATGTTGAACTGGGACCAATTCGGTGTCTGTTGTTGGATTCACCTGCCAGACCGTAAATTCCTTGAGCTCGTTATCAACATGTAGGTAGGCGGCTGTGAGGAAAGGCTGGCCGAGATAAGACATAACTCCCTGTCTGGTCTGAGCAAAGTTGATGGTCTTGTTGTTATCAACAATTTCCTGCTCTCCGTTGTCGTCGATCGCTACGTTTGGGAGGACGATCTGATGATTTGGTATAGTGATCTGGAGGCCAGAAGATAGAGTAAAGGTGATATTGCCGGCGAATCTGTAGATGATAGATTAGCTTCCATCTTTTTATGCGATCCATGAGGGAAAAGCGGGACATACATATTCTCCGGCTCATAGGCAAGGCTGTTGGGATATATTCCCGTCGAGTGCTCAACCGTCTTCCCAGGAAACGCTTTCTTCAGGTTCTCAAAAACGTCCTCTGGAAGAGTGACCTGAGGGTTGTCTGCCTTGATACATGCGCGCAATGCAGACCCTGCCGTACTGAACAGGCTAGTCTTATTGCCATCGGCGTGATTAACAGCAATGTTGCTCAGGTAGACGAGTAACGAACTCGGACATCCAACTCCGTCCGAGAATTTGGCTGTTAAATTTGCGCCTCCCATCTTCGCCTTGTCATATCCGCCCAGCACTAAGCTTCCATTCATCTGGTTTTCCTTCTCGGCCCCCTGCCAGCCCCAGAACAATGACCATGTCTTCGATGCGATTTTCCCTTGGTCGAAAAGTAGGTTGAGAAAGGTGGAATTTGGTCCAAGGCCTAGGGAGTTCTGAGGTATAACTCTCGGCTTTGGAAAGTAGATTGGGAATTGGTCGATTGATATATCCGAACCCAGGTTTAAAGTGTCAGTCCCCCGTATACTGATTGTCTCGTTGCCTGGGCTGCTGTCAGTCAGGTCAGGATCCGATGGCGCCCTCCATGAGGTCGAGCTCGCGTCGTTGAAAGATCCTCCATGTACCCAAGAGCAGGCCGGTCTGGTTAGGTTACCGCAGGGGAAACTCGTGTTCCAGAACGATGTGCTATTCCAGTCTCTGCACTCAATGTTAGTCGCCGTTATGGCGCTGACTCTGCGATTGGCAACAATCCGGTGTCTCGTGAAGGGGGACATACGCATCCAGGGCTGCAACTATGGTCTGAGGAGGAGTTCCGAATTGTACTCCCAACCCCCATCTGACGACATCTCGATCTGTAATTGTGGCATTCCCGATAGGCAGAGACAACGGCGGTACCGGATCGCAAGCAGATCTGACAGGGCGTGCGGTCGAAATCAAGAAGTAGACGTAGGCTAGAAGGAGAGAATAGCTCATCGTGAAGCCGCTACTCCCTTTGGATGAAGACCGTTCCCAGGACACGAGAAGATTTATTTAGTCAAGAGGGCAATAAATCTCCTCGTCGCAATCTGTGTGTCCCTGGATTGCCCTCTTTTTCTGGGAGGAGTGCGAAGAAGGGTCAGATCTCCGGCCCCTTTGCTCCAGCGTGTGTCAACTGGTGATCCTTCAAAAGCTAAGCTGCCATGTTTGGCAGGGATAAACATGACATCGTATCGCGAGACTTTCAGCCCATCTCGGACGGCTTGCAGGGAATATTCATGCATATAACAAGCCAAAGCCTCGGTCTGTCTCTCCCCCCGCTCTGCTGGCTCTTTGAGGCCATGTCCGCGTCCTAGTTACATGGTCAGCGTTATCATCCATCATCGGTCGAGGTTTACGCCCTACGAAAGAGAAGCCTTCTTCTACTTTTCACGCCTCGAGGCCAATTTCCGGCGTTGGCCTGCCATCCCTGTGGCGTGGAACAGTTGGTGGAGGATAAAGGCAATGAGCTGCCCGCAGTGGTCAGGATGGAAATATCCCCATGGATTCCTGCTTGGCTAGGAGTTACGATGTAACGAACTGAAAAAATGGATGTATATAACTAGAGAAAAATGTAGATGTTTACTTGATGCATGTCTAGCATGTCCAGCACGAAGACGAGAAGTTGTGAAGTCTACAAGGAAGGGCAAGAAAATGCATGCATACTTAGTAAGTCGATGCCTCATCCATGCATCAGGCTGACCACGAACGAACAAAGCCGTCGCAGATATTTCGGCCATCATCACACGAAGCCTGGGAGTTAGTAACTGCAGAGAATAAGTCAGTCACAGCTGGATGATCAGCTTCGCTGTATGTAAGTGATACTTTGTCAGTTGCGTTGGGTAAGTGACGGCGGCGGCTCTATAGACGTATATTCCTTCGAAGAGCAAAGTTAGCATAGATCTGTTCAAAGTCGACTCGTCCTCGTCTCTTTCATACAACTGATATTCATGATTTCTTCATTAACAGCACAGGCAGTGGTACAAGACTAAGCACTTTTTGGCACCGTGTTCCAATATATGTGTAAAAAGCGCTGCGAGCCCACCAAGGGAATATCACGCAGAATCACGGTAAAGAGCACCCAAAAGTCAAGCAAATAGCAACTTAGCCATCACAAGCTAGCTTTCCCTCTAGACTCAAAGGGCTGGAATACTACCAATATCCCCGCGACTATGAACAGAGCACCACTAGCATACACCGGTGCAGCTGTCTGAAGATTAGCAAACATAGCAATAATGGGCGCCATAACGCCAAAAATCCGATTCGCCGCAGCCGTCAGAGCGTTGCCCGTCCCTCGATCCTTGGTTGGAAAGATTTCAGGCGTATAGGCGTAAAGAACGGCATACATGATGTTGCTCATGAAGTTGTAGGCGCAGTTCCATCCCAGCAGTGCGTCAGAGGTCCTAGCTGTGGTGGAAAGGAAGAGGAATACGCCTGTCATCGTAGTGGCAAGAGATAGGGCCCCCTTGCGGCCGAACCCGGGTACCTCGACAAGAACGCCCCCAACGAGTGAACCGGGTATCCCCAGTACGGCAATAATGAGCGAGTTCCGATAGGTGATATACGTAGAGCTGTCCCCAAAGTCGGCTCCTCGGGAGGCTTGGATGAATGGCAGAAATGCGTTGTACAGAGGGAATCCAAGACCAATGAATGCCCAGACAGCGACTATGAGTGACGTCGAAAGTGCCAGGAGCGGTGTCGCAAACAGCGATCTCACATGTTTGAAATCGAACTTTTGGAGATTTCGCTGCACGGCATCAACTGCGTTACTCCTGATAGGGGGCCCTATACGTGCAAGGTCTTCGATGGTGAGAGTAGACACTTTGCCGTTTCGCCTGGCAACCTCATGTACCACCCGGACCGCCTCCGCATCCCGTCCTTTGCCCATCAAATATTTGGGAGACTCAAAGATTGTAAAACATGCAAATCGCAGGAGAAACATGGCAAGTGAGACTCCTCCCATTGCAAGCAAAAAGTATCTCCAGCCCATGTTTGCGGACCGAGTGCAGTCAGACTTTTCCTGGCATGAGAAGTTCCCAAGCAGTGGCCAGGCGACGAGGTTCACCAGTACTTGCGCCAGGGCCCAATCAACCGAGAGGATCGTAAGCAGGTATTGATGTGTTGAAGGTAGGAACTCGAGGAAGATTGCAGAGTCAACGGGCAGGTTACCGCCTACTCCGATAGACCATAACGCCGCAAAGACGCCAATGGCGGCAAAGGATGGTGAACCAGCAGCTACCAGCCCAAACACAGCCGTGATGCCGATTGTCAGATTGAAAGCCCATTTTCTTCCATACATGTCACATCCAAACCCCCAGAAGACAGCTCCCACCAGTAGCCCCAGGTTTTGCGCAAGTGTGAGATATGGTGCTCTCGACGGCATGAATTCGTTCTTCACGGGAGTGAAGATGAGCGAGGTGATGACCGGCCACATATTGTCACTGGCCCATCCAAAGCCGATGACAATGAACAGCTGCCATTGGTACCAGCCCATGCCAATGTCGAGGATGGCTTTATTCAACAACCGGGCCTTTGCCTCATATATCGGGTCGACAGAACCCTTTGGAATAGTCGCCAACAGGTCCACGTCTGAGGAAGCATCCGTAATAGTGTCGTCATAGTCCACTCCTTGCTTGGGGTCTCTAGCACTGCTTTCTGCCATGTTGCAAGACATCAACAGGTTATTGTATAGTAGCGGGAAATATACAAAAACGTAAAGAAAATGAGATCTGGTAGGTAAGAAACCACAAATCAAAGGGAAGCCATGTACTGCGGGGAACCATGGATGACAAAATATACGTCCCTCCCAATGTACCCGGGAAGAGATGATGGCTCAACCCAGAAGCGGGAGGGTTTACCCTCTATTTAACCAATCTCTGGGGAGCCACCCGAAAGGCAAACAAGTGCCAGATGATTAATATAGTATTATGTTGCATCCGCCTGAACATAATTCCATACTTCTAGTCCACCTAGAGGGCAAAAGTCACCCAGGATATGGAGCACTCTCTCACTCCCATTTCTGCGAGCCCAATCTCGTACCTTAGCAAAAAGCCGTGCGGTGAGTCACACTGTGGGGAAGCGGTTTGCAGGAGCCCGTCAAGCATGATATCGTGATGGCCGCCATCGTTTTTCATCGTTTCATCTTCTTGTCGAAGAAACATCAAAAAGTCACGATAATCAATTTAAAGTGTGATGACAAATCACAGGTGACGTCATACCTTAGGCTTGGCATGTTTACTTTATTTATCTCGCGTTTTCATTGGTCTAACCTTCGAGCACGTGACATTAAAAGCAAACGCTGCAAAGCCTGCAAACATTTAAGCTTAATAAGCCGATGATTCCATAAACTGACAGAAAACTCATTGTCTCTGGAAATCCAAGTCTACATGGCCAGGGCTGGGCGGAAGCTCTCCTGTGTCCCAGCTCGTCATATCAGAGCCTAATACAAACTCAATGGTCCCGCCGTCCTTGATATCGTCATGACCAATCCAGCTCTTCGTCCATGCCTTTCCGTTGACCCTGACGCTCTGGACAAAGTAGCTCTTCTCGCTGAGGTTTTCTGCTGTGATTATGAGCCTTGAATTGTCGCCTACGGATACGGAAACATTGCTGAACCATGGGCTTGAGAGCAGGTAGACTGGTTGTGTTACTACTGGGTACAGGCCCAAGAAGTTCCATATCAGCCAGCTGTCGATTGCACCCGCATCGCTATTCCCTATGATCTATATCAGACGATAATTGCCAGAGAGCCAGTCAGTCCATGGTAACATACCTGGAAGTCCAGACGGTAGAGTACTATAATACGAATTGACCGTGTCTCGGAGGCGAAGTACAGATTTCCACTGCCGTCTTGGAAGATAATTGTACAGGAATGGGGTGAAGAAGCTCGGTTCGTTCCCCGGGTTGAATAACGTGGTGCCTATTAAGAAGACGCGGCGGCGTTAGCAGTTGAATACCCAATGCGGTGGGTAGAATATCACAAAAAAAAAAAAAAAAAAAAAAGCGAACTTGGAGTCATTACCCAACGTGTTCGTCCCGCCAGAACCTACATCGCCCTTGCGGAGGCCTGGAACAAACATCTTGTCGAGTCTTTGCTCCATAGTTTCTTCACCTCCCATCAGTTCAATCAGGGTCTCCATATCGAACGGAACTGTCCACCCATACTCTATCGGTAATGCCTCGTAGCTGTGAGAGCTCCATTCACACTCTCCGCAGTCGAGAGGGTCATAGCCCGGCGTCACAGACCCATTTGGCCAAGTCGGTGCTAGAAACCCTGTGAAATTAAGACTGTTAATATCCTTGTGCCAGATGCGTTGCCATCCGGCACTCCTATTTAGGTATTTATCGTAGTCTTCCGGTGCGAGATCCTTTGCAACCTGGCTCAAGGCGAAATCATTCAAGGAGTATTCGACTGTCCGGCTGATAGATCGGCCAAAGTTGGGGGTCACATATCCGTACTCAAGCCAATCTGGAAGGGCACCTCGTCCTTCCTTGGTCGAACCGGTGGGGTCGGCAGTGTCAAAATTGTTGTACGGAACCACCTCAGCATCAGTCTTCATTGCCAAATAACCGTCCGTCCAGTTGATACCCTTTTGCAAACCTTTAACGTACGCATCTGAGAGGATGTTGTCTGCATTGCTTCCTCCTTGAACCTATGCCTCCATCATTAGCATATCTCATTTCTAACTATAGAAGAGTTCAATTTGCCAATACCCTTCCGTTTGCATTACCACATCTACCATCAGGCATGAATCGCTCATATCTCCATATATCTATTAAAGAACGGATAGTTTCTGCCACGCGTTGGGGCTCTGTTAATAAATAAAAGCTGTTTAGACATCTGAACGTGTCCCATATCGCATAATAGTCGTCATAATACGGCTCTGTTGACTCCCAGTGCGGGTTTTCGCCTGTCCTGTTGCTGGGAAGTAGATGAGAACGGTATAGAGCGGAATATAACATCGTCAGTCTTGTTGTATTGGTATCTGATGTCGTCACTTTGCTCAAGACTTCAGTGTTCCATCGGTTCTTTGCATCATTTACGGTATCGTTTAGATCCCAAGATCGAATCTCATCCATGAACTGGCAAGCTTTCTCTGTTGAAATGAAAGACATGCCAACCTTTGATTTTACGGTTGTCGTGTTTGATGGAAATTCGAAGACAGCTCCCACCCTATCTGCGTACTGGTACCCTTCCCTTCCGCCAATAATTGTTTGCTGGCTAGATAACCTAGCTTCTCCCCTGACCACATCATATGGGTCAGAATATGGGGCACGCCATGTTTTAGTAGAAGATGGAGCAATACTAAACTCCGCACACATAAATACTTGGAAATTTGGACCTGGTTCTTGATTAGCTGCCGAGTTAGAGGATAGCCGGAGTAATACAAATACCTTCGTTCCATCCTCCTCGATAAATCCCGTAGCCGGTATATCTCTGCCCGCCGTCCTGTAGATTTATTCGTCCATTACTATACATTTGGTTTGCATTTGGCTCACCATGTGTGGGTAGATAGTGGCTTAGATCAACCAAGACGAATTTGCCTGCAGATGGAGGATAATTATATTGTAGAATCCCAGCATGGTCTGTAGCAGACATCTCTGCCGTGATCCCATTTTGGAGCTTAGTTTTATAATACCCCACAGATGCGAAGTCTTTGCCAACTCTAGGCTGCGAATATGTCTTGTTGTCAGCTACATTAACCCCCTCAAGTGTTGAGAGAGGCATCTGAGAAATAACTCCGTATTTGGGTGCGCCTCCTGTACCACTTTCATGTAAGAAGGATATAGCGGAAATGTTGCCATCGGGTGAGTATCCTGCATTGACGTCGACTTTTCTCTTCACATCCACGTCATGACTATTGCATGAGGTTAGCCATAGACCAAGCCAGGATGGTACCGGAATGTCGGGGCTGGGGAGTACACTATTGTGTCTATTCCCACTTTGACCACTCCGAATGGCAATCTACAACAAGTTAGGTCTCTATCATTCCATCGTCAATAAACGATATAATTAGGCATACGCTGCTCCGGGGAAAACATTTCCGCCATTGTAGGAAGTACCAGCAACGCTTCCTTCGGTTCCAATGAATAAATCGACATATCGTGTCAGGTCACCAGTATCACATTTGATGCTAGGTACAAGGAAAAATAGGGCTTGAAGTGCCCAGATGGCAGCATATTTGAAGCTTTTGAGGAACATTGGACGGCTTCTATAAAAGCAAAACAGCCTTGTTGACGAGAAGTAATGGGCGGGAAGTATCGTAGATATATGCTTATTTTCCTCGTGTGACACGATTAAATCCACATCTTGCTTTGCTTTTGCCCATCATCCAGTTGGATAATGTATGTATGTAATAGTACAGAGATATTCAATAGGATTCAGCCGGGGTGGAGAGAATTCATCGTGGATGGAACTAGCATTGGCTTGTGGGTTACACTATGGCTAAGTATGCAAATTGCGGGGTGGATCGACCTCCAGGATATCAAAAAGCCATAGGCCTGACCATACAGTGTACAGCCCGTATTTTATATCCAAGGTTAACTCCTTTGATTGTTAATCGAAGGAATTTAGTATGGCTGGGCTGGCTTACGCCATATCCACATCAGTGCCTCGACAATCCAAGTATCGAAGAGCTATAAATATTATATAGCACAAAGGAAGAGGGCAAGACAAAACGACTATATCTATAATCTTGCACAAATATACTGTTATAAAACACATGGGTTTAAGACTTCTTCCGGTGCCAAAGATACGGAACATCTATATCAGTCATCGTACAAACCCAGTCCCACGAAGAGCTGTAATAAATCGGAGCACAATATAGTCGTTTCTCTACACCAGAGTCTCCCCAGTTGACAACCAGATCAAATCGACAGTCCTTTCCCAAATGTTCACTGAGTAACTGCATTTTGTCTGTTGGAGTGTGTTTTAAATGGCTGTGGATATATTCACCCTCCGCATACAGTGAGCGAGAGACGTGAGAAATTTTGTATAACGTGTTGTCTTGAGGCGATCTCGCTAGAATGAAAGTATCTTTGTAAAGATAGAGGAGTTCGGCGCTAAACTCTGAAAGCAGTTGTTCTATTGTTTGAGATGGGCTCATGCTCGTCGGGCTTTGGCTTAGTCGTACTTCCGTTCCTTTGTTCTCGTCCATGGCCTTTAGCGAGGTATCGGTGATATCTGCGGCGTCGAGATTGAGTCGAGAAGGGATGCTAGATAAACCCCCACGACCGTTATCAAGTGTCCCAGGATATCGTCTTAGTTCCAAGTCTTCGAGTGTAACAGCATGCAGAAAGTCTGTGATATCAAGAAGAGTAGCGAGAAATAGCTGGAATTTCCCTGACTTTGCAGTATATAACTTCGTAGCGATGATAAGATATGAAACATTATTCCCGTGATCATCGAACCCTGAAACAACAGGACAGGATTCTTCTTCAAGGACCTTAATATTCAGTGGGAATTGTTCTCCACGTCCGCCCGCGGAATATATGTCCTTAGATGCTGCGATAACTGCGTTACTAGGTGACTTCGCATCTAGTACACAAAACGAGCTAAAATGGTCCAACAGTTGAACTAGCTCCTCCGCACGCGGTGAGACACATCTTGAGATAGCCGAACACCCTGGGGAGTGAGGTACTGGGTCTGGGTTCCCTGATAGGCTGGCTGAAGGTGACATGGTAAAGGAATACCGTGACCTGAGGTTGGAGATGCAGTGTTTTTTTCGGACAGAGAAAGCTGAGACACTCGTATTGCTAGACCACAGTGTAGAAGCTGACGCTGAGGGGGAACTTAAATCGAGATTTGTTCCGGCGGCTGCCAGCCGATCGTAAGGGTGTTTCCGATCGCTCTTGTAATCAAAAGATGGTGAACTTTGCAACTGTGGCGAGTATATTAGGCACCAGCCGCATTTATCGTTCCCTTCTAATGGGCTGTTGGCATGTATGGCATAATTCAACCATCCACCTTCAGATATTAGTCGTAAGTCAACCCATGAATCTCGACAGTAAGGATCAGAGCTCTCGTCGATTATATGTACTCCGGTACAATCTGTTTTTTCCAAATCAGACTTGTCAGTTGACGGGATACAAGTGTCCATCTCCAAAATCGGCGGGAATGTAGCATGGTTCCTCTTCTTTCGGCTGGAAGGATGGTGCGTCCAGTCCCGGGCGAGCGGTAAGAGACATGCCCGCTTGAGACCCGCTCTTGAAGACTTGTAGGGTTCCATGGAGACAGAGAAAGTTCAACAATGTATAATCTTGCAGCATGAGAGAATCCCGGCCTAAGAGTTGTCCGTAATGCGAGTTTCCTTGATTCATGGTGTAGGATTGCAGGGTGCCGCTTAAGCTGCAGCACGGCCGGGGTATATTTGTAGGCAATATCAGCAAGAAGTCACAGCACAAACCCATATCAGGCTTTGCCATCGAGCTTTCTTTGCGTGAGCTTCATCATTATCATCATAGTTTGAAGCCGGATGACACCACATGTGATGCTGCCCGTACACGTGGAGTCGCCTCTCCAAACCCTCATCTTCGTGTGCTATGAGCCACGAGACATACACACGGCATCTCTTAGGCATCTCTTAGCTATCAAGACTCCATTATCAGCATGTCAGAGCCGAGAGTCGACGGCGAGACGTTCAAAAGATATTGAAGAAGTTGAAAACAAAAACTCGCGGCTTAAAAAGGATACATCACGTGACACCTTTTGGGACCAGAAAAGACGAGGTTCCTGATATAGTTAGCGCATACGGATCTAATGTTAAATATCTAGTGGTTATATACATAGTAGGGTACTGCTAGTTAGCTCTGAGGGTGTCCTCCACGCGAAGGGTATGGACCGCGTTAGCAACATTAGCAATGCGTTCTAGATGGCCCGTCTGCGCGAAGACACTCGCCTTGGGCTACCCACTGCCTTCGCGCCATCACTCGAGAGCTGATTCTCAACCCTGTCTATGAGTTCCTCTTATTCAGTCTTCCACTTATCGGTTCGAATTGATCTAGAGCCATGGAGGTTCTGTCGATATCCACCACATTAAGAATCCTGCTCTATCCCCGGATTCAGCAGCTGTTCGGCAGGGAAGTATTAATAAGGGAGAGGTGCGTAACGTATGTACTATGTAGGACCTGATAGAATTGAGGACCTACTACATAGTATGTAGGTCTGGCTCTGTTAGGCACAAAATGACAAAGTAGTTTATTAAGGGATACGTGCTGAGTCATTGCTGACTAACCTTCCACCCGATCCATCCTTGCGAAGAGGAAAAAAACCAGAGGAACGACTTACGACCAACCGCCGACGCATCCAATATCTGCCATTGACAGCTCCCGCGCGCTCGAAGGGCCAATCTACCCTATCCTCGCTTCCAGTTTCCACCGCTCTGCAGACACTGCGCTTCTCTCTTTTCGCCATGTCTACCACAATCTCCCGTATGTTGATCCGGCAATCACGGACAGTGATCCGACGACCTGCGATTAGACACTCGTCCACAGCACAGGAAACCGCTGCAAAGGCCAAAGATGCCGCCTCTTCAGCCACCTCGAAGGCCTCGGAGGGGCTGACAAAGGTGACTGCTGCTGCTGGTCCAGCCCTCGCTGGCGCCGTGTCTGGTGTTGGCGGTGCTTTGAAGAAAGTTGGAGGACGAACTGCCAAACTCGTCGCCTTCGTCGAATGTAAGGAGATATCTTAACCATTGGAGCCAAAGTCTGGCTTGTAACTCTGTCTGTTCTTATTATTTGGACAAAGTGCTGACGATGGCCACGTCTACAGCTTTAATACCACCAACCATCTATTACTCGAGAGTCGGCCTTGAGCTGTCGAAGATAGTCTTCCGCGGCCAGAAGATGGCACCACCGTAAGTCAATTACATGGCTTATATCTCCGACGTTTACAGTATTAACCCCATTGGGTTTAACAGAGACATGGCCACCTTCCAATCGTACCTCCACTCTGCTTTCAACTCCCTCCGCCAGCCGTCCGTCCTCTTCGCCAGCCTAAGAAATCCAAACGGCAGCATTGCCCGTCTCCGAAACCTTGACGCAAAGCAGTGGGCAATCGTTGGCATCACCACCGCCGAAGTCATCGGATTCTTCTCCGTCGGAGAGATGTTGGGGCGATTCAAGGTGGTAGGCTACAGAGGAGAGGTTTCTCATCAACATTAGTTTTATGACAAAACTTGAATGTTTACACCTCTACTAAAAAAATTACCGGCATCCAATATCCACCCACATTCTCTACCCGTGGTTTTCTTGTATCTTTCTGTATGATAGACATAAATTAAATGTTTGGTAAACCGTCTTGTCTTCAAGTTGTTAGTGTTGCCTATAATATTATTATTCTTTTTTACCGCCTAGGTGACTTAAGCTACGCATATTTACAACATGAGACGATCACCAATCAATCGTGCAAACGATCTTACCCTTAGTTCTGTTGCTCTCGATCAGTTCATGTGCTTTCTGGATATCTTCCCACTTGAACACAGAGTCCACAACATGCTGGAACGACCCCATTTGCAAGCCCGGTAAGACCTTCTCTTCGAACAGTTCCCGCAACTTGGCCTGGTAGTTTACATCCCTCGATCTCAATGTGCTGCCTTCGATCCGTAATCTTTTCATTAAGACAGGACGGATATCAACCTTATCCGGCAAGATAGATCCAGCTAACAGACCCAATAAGACGATGCGACCGTCCCTTGCCGCAAGATTCAGGTTGGGTTGGAAGTAAGTTGGACCAACATAGTCGATGATCAGATCAACACCTTCCCCATCATTCAGCTTTTTGACTTCTTCGGCCCAGTCGTTGCCATGGGTGTTGGTATTGACGGCACCCGAGCAGGACAGATCCCGAACGCAAAAGCCGCATTTCTCGTCGCTTCGGGCTGTAGCAAACACTTTGGGAGGCGGGACATCTGACCGCAAAGCGTTTGCAAGTCGGGTTAACTGGATGCCCGCTATAGACACCGATGATGCGCCAGCATGCCATAGAACTGACCGCGTGGTGTCTGCGTTATAGCCTCCTACTAAGTACAAGGCTTGCAGAGCTGTAAACCATACCTACACACCGTATTAGACCAACGTGTAGAGAAGATAGAAAGGGATGGTTTCCTTCCAGTTTGGAGGAAAATAAGTACCATACCTCACATACTCCAGCAGCATACTCCCAACTCCAGTCTGCTGGTTTAGCAATGAGCAGCTTCATCTCCGCCTCGACATACTCTGCATACGCTCCCCCATACACCAGACCAAACACCTCGTCTCCGGCCTTCCATTGCGTACCGGTGGAAGCTTGATCATTGCCCACAGCTTCGATCACCCCACTGAACTCGAGGCCTAGGATCTTGGATGCTCCTGGAGGCGGCGGGTAGAAACCCGTTCGCTGTACGGTATCAGCGCGGTTGATCCCGAACGCCTTCACCCGGACGAGACACTGGGTTGGCGACGGGTCTGGCTTCGGGACAGAGTCGTTGATGAAGAGATCGGATGCAAACCCAGCACCATTCTTGACGTCTTGTTGCTGTTAGTATATACTAACGCTATCGAGATTAGTCTTCTTACCGACTGCCTTCATGTTTCGTAGCAGAACAGGGTCAAGAAATGTACTATCAAGACTATTGATATATTTATAACGTCAGTCTATCACTTATCAATGAGAAGAGGCAGCTTTTGTTAATGGAGGGTTTTAAATGTTTAGTGCAAGGAATAATTATGCTACTCCCCACATGCCACTAACTTTATATACTAGGCAGACAATGTGAGAAGGGAGAAGACCCAAGTTAGCCCATTAGCGGGAAGGCATCTATATAGTTATAGCCTCATCCCTACCTGGACATCGTGAGGGTATTAACGATCTATCAAATATCATATAGCGATTAAACCAGCGCTTTCTATAGCTGAGAATTCTATATGACTGTCAGCATCTTCCGGCTAACCGGCTTTGCCAAAGAGGATGACTGATGGTGCAACGGGCCAAGCTTCATGATTATAACAAAGCTTGCAGAGGCTACTGTGGCGAGTAGCAACTAAGCTCACATTCAGCCCATCCAGTCTCGGGGAAACATCTCGAACTGCGCCTTCGCAAAGATACCGTGACTACCTCTCATAAGCACCTTGACATCCTTTTCAGACCAACTTCTTTGGCGCGCAACGGCCTCGATGTCTACCAAAACTTTTTTATTCCACTTTTCGCTCTCTTCCTCAGCGGCATCTCTGCCAGCGTGGTAATGTTTCTCTGCGAGCGAAATGATGTCCATCGGACCGAGGACTTCGCTCAGGGGATACGTTCCAGCGAACTCCCAATCTATCACGCCAACCACGTTCCCTTCACGTACCAGAATATTGCTGGTGCTGAAATCCCCGTGACAGATGCAAATTGGTTCTTCGTCGATCAGCCTGTAGACGTCGGCCTTTTCTCCGGCTGCTATTGCTTGTCTCTCTGACTTGAGGTGCTCGATCCATTGTGGAAGCGGGGTTCTTGTGAAGAAGGCCTTCTCGATGTCATTCCCGCCGTGTGCATAGTAGTGTATGTCTCTTACAAAGTACGTTATACCCGGGATGACGTTCCTCAGTGATATTACCTAATATATCAGGTGACATGGCATGACATTAGGTAAAAAAATGAGTTCTGATTAGTTGCAAGCCACCATCTGTTGTAGAGACCCAACACCCTTGTCCCATGTTTGGGAGATGGAAACTATTAAGTATATGGAGTGCGGGGTGAAAGATCTCGGATTTCTTCCATATACACTTGCACTCCCCAAGTTATAGCCGAGCAGAAGAGGAAATTGATCGCAATGACAGAGGAATATAGCACTTTTGAGCTGGGAGACTGGACGCTGCAGAGCGGACAGGTCATCCCCAAGGCGCATATCGCCTACAGAACGTTTGGCGACCCCAAGTTGCCCGCTATCGTGTACCCGTCATGGTACTCTGGATGTGAGTTCGCTGCACAATCGCAGCAGATACAAAGAATGTAGAGTACTAAGAGACAGCGCAGCGATCTCGGCCAACTTCTGGCTGGTAGGAGAAGACAAGGAGCTGAATCCTAACAAGTACTTCATCATCATACCGGCGATGTTTGGAAACGGACAGTCTTCGTCTCCCTCGAATACCGACCTCGCTCCTTTCCCAGCGGTCTCTGTCTACGACAATGTAAGGGCGCAGTATAAGCTGGTGACAGAGCATTTGGGGATCAAGCATGCCCGAGCTGTTCTTGGCTGGTCGATGGGAGCAGGCCAGACATTCCAGTGGGGAGCCCAATACCCTGATTTTATGGACATCATCGTCCCGTTTTGCGGATCTGCAAAGACATCTCTGCATAACAAGGTGTTTCTCGAAGGGGTAAAGAGTGCCCTACTGTCTGCCAAGCGTTTCCGCTCTGCAGGATCTGGTAAGGATGGTATCTGCTCTGAAGGTGTTGTTGCTCGCAAGTGGACAGAGGAAGAGCGAGACATCGGACTAAGGGCTGTTGGAAGAGTGTATGCTGGATGGTATATTCCCCCTTTCCCTGGGTTGACCCGTTGCTGTGCAAGCTAAGATAATATGCTCTGAAAACCAGGGGCATGAGCCAGTCCTTCTACCGTGAGAAGTTATACGAGACGGCCCTTGGGTACAAGGATCTCGAAGATTTCCTGGCCAACTTCTGGGAGAAATACTTCCTTTCCAAAGGTAATAATATAAAGGCCAAATTGAGATGTACATGCCATTGACTAAGGACTGTCTCTAGATCCCGAGAACCTCCTTGTAATGCTGCAAACCTGGCAGAACGCGGACATTTCCCAACAGGAACCGTACAACGGCAACTTCGAGGCAGCTCTCAAGGGGATTAAAGCCAAAGCCCTTGTCCTTCCCTGCAAACATGACTTGTATTTCCCGTACGTTCACTCGCATTCGTCACCACCATTTCTTTTGCTAACAATCATCTCAACCAGGCCGGAAGACTCTCAATATGAGGTTGCAAACATGGCTCCCGGCGTCGGTGAGCTGGATGTATTCCCATCCATCTGGGGACGTAAGTGTTATATCTAACTATCTGTTCTGTCCAGTATTAACCCGAGACTTCTTAGACTGGGCTGGCGGCCCTGGAGAGAGCAAGGAAGATGTCAAATGGCTCAATGACAAACTGGTCGAATTCTTCAAAAAGGTTCCTGTTGGAAATGTCTCTTAATCTCAAGGATTTGAACAGCTGGTTTTTCCATATGACAACCGCAGCCTTGTCCAGGTAGCCTTTGTGGCGATTTGCACTTCAACATATTCAGCTCCATCAACCTTTCAACGTCGATATTCCTTGTTAATTCACTGGGTCTCCCCCGTCTAATATTTTCTCACCTATTAAAACATTGTATCATTTATTAATACTCCGTAGAGTCAAATCCATATATAGATCCACTCAATATATATACGGCCTAGGGAAATGTAGAGGAACCATAACATATTTCCACTAACGGCAATCAAGAGCAAAATGACTACAAAGAATTTCACGAGTCAGCAGAAGGTTCGGTATTATGTAATAACCGCTCTTGAAATAAGCATATCACGTGACGTAGCCGCCTCCAGCCAGAATATCAATTCTTTCTTCCAGCCAAACGTAAACTTCCCAACATCCAAGTTTCTTTTCGCGATATTCGCTGGCTCCAGCCCGTCAGCATTTACTTCTACGCAGTCCAGGTGTTCTGGGGCGTCTGTATTATTCCTTGTCTTTTCTTTTGCGGTTTTCCGTGTCTTATTCCTTTTCTTCTTACACTTCCAGCCCACCCTGACTCTTTTCCCATCAGTAGCCGCGACTGACACGCCAACCAGCTTTTGAAATTCCCAAAAGAACAAATCAGCTTTTTCTGAACAGATTTATTTATCAAGAAATAGGACTCATGGCGGCTCCTCAGTCTCGCCAGTGGGGAATCACTCCGCCCCTGTCGTCAGCGCTTCCCACGCCCTCCGAGCTTGCAGAGAACGATGCGTTGATAGCGGAGTTAAAGCTACAGAATAACTTCGAGGCGCCATCCGAGACGGAAAAGCGGTTCGTAGGAGTATTTCCATTTGCCAGATTTTGCTTGATAGATGCTAACTTTTCTGTTCCTCTCCTTAGGAAGCAAACGCTACATCTTCTGCAGCGTGTGACCATCGAGTTTATCAAGGTCGTATCCAAAGAAAAGGGTCTTTCACAAGCAGCTATCGATGTATCTGGCGGTAAAATATTCACATATGGGAGTTACAGGCTTGGTGTATATGGTCCAGGTTGGTGCCTCTTGATTGCATTCCAAATGTTCTCACAGCTGTCATGAATGGGGATATTTCGCTAATGTACTCCTTGCGTCAATTTGCAGGTTCCGATATCGATACATTGGTAGTTGCGCCGAAGCACGTTATGAGAGAAGATTTCTTTGCACATTTTCCAACAGTACTTGAGAAATTTGCGCCTAAGGATGCGATAGAGAAAATGACGCCGGTGCCGGACGCATTTGTTCCCATCATAAAAATCGAGATTTCTGGGATCAGCATTGACCTGATTTTTGCACGGCTTATCGTTCCTTCGGTTCCTCCCAATCTCGACTTGAAAAATAAAGATCTGTTGCGCGGGCTGGATGAGAGGGAGATAAGATGTGTGAACGGCACTCGAGTAACTGATGAGATATTAGAACTTGTTCCCCAACAGAAGACTTTCCGGCTTGCACTGCGAGCTATAAAACTTTGGGCTCAGCGTAAGTGTGATGTCTAATTTTGGTCACGGCTTTTCTAACCCTTGAATCTACCTAGGTCGAGCTATTTACTCGAATATTGTTGGCTTCCCTGGCGGCGTTGCATGGGCTATGTTAGTTGCAAGAGTGTGTCAGCTATATCCTCAGGCTACTGGCTCTGTCATTGTTGGCAAATTTTTCAGAATCATGAATCAGTGGAGCTGGCCACAACCGGTATTATTGAAACACATCGAAGATGGCCCGCTCCATATGAAAGTGTGGAATCCAAAGGTTGGTCCGCAATCATTCTATTGACGGCGTAACCGCAGCTGATGCTTGCTTTAGATATACCATGGTGACAGATTCCACCTCATGCCCATAATCACGCCAGCATACCCATCCATGTGCGCCACACACAACATCTCCATGTCCACAAAGGCTGTCATACTTAGAGAGCTCAGGCGCGGAGGAGACATGGTTGACAATATTTTTGTTGGGCAGCGTCGGTGGAGTGATCTCTTTGCTCGACACAGCTTCTTCTCTGGGGACTATAAATACTACCTCAGCATCAACTCCACCAGCACGACAAAAGAGGCGCAAGCTATATGGTCCGGTTTAGTTGAATCGAAGCTCCGACATCTGGTCGGAGCCCTTGACCGCAAATCGTCCATAGAAATTGCGCACCCATTCCCTAAGGGTTTCGAGAGGGTCCATATCTGCAAAACTGATGAAGAAGTCGAGGCAGTGAAAGCTGGCTCCATGAAATATCAAGCAAATGACACCAAAACGGCCACCACTGATGAAACGAACGACCCTACTCATATAGCAGCCGCTGAGAATGCAAATGAGAATGTGGCGATAGCAGAGGCGGTAAAACCGCCTGAAGAGAATAAATATACCCTTTACACCACCACCTACTATATTGGGCTGGAGCTAAAGCCATTAGCACCGGGTAAGTGAGCCGCATCCATTCATGTGATACAACTGACCCCTCGAAGGCGCTGCAAGGTCTCTAGATATATCAAGCGACACCCACATGTTCAAGAATACATGCACATCGTGGGCGCAATACCAACCCGGAATTAATGACTTGAATATCTCTCATGTTCGCAAGTAGGTTACGCTCCTGATGGCTGGTAACCCGCATAAGTTACTAGTATATTAATATGGCCAATAGTTATGATCTCCCCGATGACGTTTTCCAGGCCGGAGAAGTTCGACCTACGCGCCCGAAGAAAAAGGTTATTAAGAAAGTGGAACAAACCGTTGCGCAGAAGCGAAATATCGATGCAGTAGACGTAAGTTGAAACCTCAGAATTACATCACTAACAAGTAGTAGCCGCGGGACAACAAACCCTAGGGAGAAAACCAATGCGGAGTGGAAGGACATGACCGTGGAGTGAAACCGGGAAACTAACCGCCTGTTTTCTACTTCCAGGGTCAAGAATTATCCGACTCGGCACCAAAACGCCACGTTTCGCAGAACGGGATGGTGACTCAAGCTACACCAGCATAATCCATATCTACTCTGCCGGAAGAGACTTCACTCCAACAGGGCAACCAGCCACCCTGCTCACGACCGCCGCGTCGTCGCCCTGTTCTGCCAGTCGAAGCTTGGCCCTCGCTGGCTTTTCACTGGTAAATCGGCTTGCCATAACCAGAAAACAAGGAAAAAAACAAGTTCTGACCATCAAAATCTCCCATCCATAACCAACTGACTGATCTAACAAAAGACAGGGGAAAATATGGGTATCGAACCTGTCGGTATATACCAAACTAGGTACCCCTCCTGCCACGACCACCCTGCCTACCTGCGCCGGGGTGGTATTCGCGTTCTTTGGAAGAAGTGTTTTAGGAATTTCATTTGTGAGAAGGACAATTACTCGCTTGCCGCGCAAATCGTCGGCGTAGCCACTACGGCTTTCATTACATGGGAGGTTTTTAATAACATTGTTGTAGGGTACAAATTCTTGTGTGTCTGTAAAGCATACTTGAGAAGCTAGCCAGATGAACTTGGCCGTAGCATTTGATAGCTCTGATAGATAACCAATGGCAATTAATACGGGGTCATAGACCCGCCCTTCGTACTTCTACTGTTCGTTTGTTGAAAGTAATCCATATTGTAATGTTTTCAACCGAAGTTTGTGATAGGGCAGAGTAAGGTAATCCTTATGTTTATTTCCCCCGACGTCATACCTTTAAAGACGTCATTTTCCTTGGCTGAACCCTTGAAAACAAGCCTTATGCGTACGTAGTAGTAGATAATGAAAGGGATATATCTCTATGACTATTTCTTGAGTAATGTACAGTATTCTAATCCTTCCCACCACATATGAACAGACTAGAGCTTGCTCTCAGCGTCTCCGAAAGATTAAAAACCACAATGGCCAAACCACAAGAGGGCAAGAAGCCTCAGTTGCTTGTAGTATCCAACCGTCTCCCATTGTCCCTGAAACGAGTCGGTGCCGGAAAATACCAGTCTTCAACTTCCAGCGGTGGGTTAGTGACGAGCCTGAGCGGAATATCAGAGTCCATTGGGTTTCAATGGTTTGGCTGGACGGGGCTGGAAATACCGGAAGATGAACAAGAAGAGGTTCAAAGGTTGCTGGCGGAGCGGAACGCAGTACCGGTTTTCTTGAATCAGGAGCTAGCCAATAACCACTACAATGGCTTCTCAAGTGGGTATTTCCGTATTCCCTTTCCCCGGCCATTAAGCCACGAACTTTGGTCGTCGCTAACAATACCCGATCTTAGACTCCATTTTGTGGCCGGTACTGCATTATCAACCAGGAATTCAGAATTTCAACGAGAAATGGTGGCATGCATATCGTGAAGTCAATCAGAAGTTTGCGGAAATAGTTGCTAAAGCCACCTCTGAAGGTGATCTAGTCTGGGTGCATGACTATCATCTGATGCTTCTCCCCGGCATGCTGAGAGAAGAATTTGCAAAGCAGGGCAAAACGTCCGTGAAAATTGGCTTTTCCCTGCATACTCCGTTCCCCGTCGCAGAAGTGTATCGGGCTCTCCCTACGAATCATGAGACACTAGATGGAGTTATGAACAGTGACCTGATCGGGTTCCACACGGATGATTATGCTGGACACTTCGCGGAAGCCTGTTCTCAAATATTGTAGGTTTTATCACCAGAGGGCCTACTAAATATATGAGCAGAGCTCTGCTAACCTCATTTGTGTGACTACAGGGGTGCGTCTAAGGACGGATTGACACTTCAGTATAAAGATCGAAAAGTCCAGGTTGGAAAGTTTATTGTCGGCATAGATCCAACGTGCTTCGCAGAAGCAGTGAAGTCAGAAGCCGTTCAGAATCGCATAGCCGAACTTGAAGATAAATACAAGGGCATTAAGCGGATTGTTGGTGTCGACAGGTTGGACTACATCAAAGGCCTACCCGAAAAGTTGCGTGGTTTCGAAGAATTCCTCCGAACGCATCCTGAATGGGTCGGAAAAATTGTCTTGATCCAGATTGCTGTTCCGAGCCGTGAAGATGTCCCAGAGTACCAAGAACTGGAGGCTGAGGTATATAAGCTCGTAGGCATGGTCAATGGTGAATTTGGTATGACCCACCATCTCCTCGATGGGGTGCTATATGGCAAATCTCCCACAACTTTAAACATGGCTAAAAATCCGTGAATAGGGAAACCTGACTACGCACCGGTCATATTTGTTCATCAGTCGATTCCTTTCGAAGAATTGGTGGCCTTATATGCGGCGTCTGACATATGTCTTCTCACTTCCACTAGAGATGGCATGAACCTTGTGGCCCTTGAGTATATTGCCTGTCAGCAAGAGAGAAATGGGGTATTGGCAGTCTCTGAGTTCGCTGGAGTATCCTCATATCTTGAAGGGGGTGTCAAGTTCAACCCTTTCAATTCCAGCGAGGTTGCCAGAGTAATTGATGAAGCTGTAGAGATGGACACAGAACAGCGGCAAAAAGAGCATAAGCGACTCCTTGAGTTCATAGAGACCCATACCAGGTGCGTTACAGATTCCTAGACCCTCATCAGTGCCCTTTTCCTTTGCGATCATAATTCTCTGACTGGGTATAATTGTCTGTAGCACCCATTGGGGCAACGGATTCGTTGACAAGCTTTTGACAGCGTAGTAGGTGGATCTGCATCAAATTGAGACTTGTTATGAGCGTCGTTATGTAAATCCAGCGTATTTCACTAAGCAGTAAGAATGATAATGACTTCTGTCGTGAGCAAGTGTAATAATAATATTATGGGTTCTTCTAGACTTTAAAATTTGACTGGAAGAAAAAAAGGGGACGAAACCCGTCAAAGCTTAGTCACCACGTACTAACCCATTTTGGTTCTCCAAGCTTGGCATAAATTCTACCTCGGCTTCTCGTCGGCTTTTTGGCTTAAAAGGGGGAAAAAAGACACCAAGAGTCAGCAAATATGGAGAGTTAAGCGGTAAAGACGCGCTTTTAGGGTCAATATGCCTTACGTTATGGGGTATAAGTAGCCAGGGGATATTCCGTATAACCACCATGGGTCAACCAAATTCTTTGTTCACATAATTTCCCTAACCCATTGTTTTATTAATCCCATAAAGAATATACCATTGTGAAGGGGGAACGAGCACCAATTGTTATACACTGTCAAAATCTCTGTTGAACATATAGAGAAGCGAATACCACTATGGCGGCAGAAGCTCAAGTGAAGTTAAAAGACTTTGGGGGCATATTCTCTCTTGAAGGGAAAGTCGCTGTTGTCACCGGAGGGTCGAGAGGACTGGGCCTGCATGCTGCTAGCGGGTAAGTTGGTACACTTCTCCTCTATATATCTTGGCTAACGTGGTTCTAGTCTTCTTCAAGCTGGCTGTTCAAAGGTGTACATCACTTCTAGAAAGGCGCAAGCTTGTGACGAAGCAGTTGCTGCCCTTAATGCCTTGCCAAATAAAAGACCCGGTGCTCGAGCCTACTCTGTGCCAGCAGATAGCTCCAAGGTTTCGGATATTGAGCGACTAGTGGCAGAAGTTAGCAAGACGACAGACCATGTTGATATTCTCTTTGCCAATGCTGGAGCTACGTGGGGCGAGAAGTTCGATACACATCCCGAGCATGCGTTCCAGAAAGTGATGGACCTCAATGTTAAAAGTGTCTTTTATACGGTACAAAAGTGCGTACTGTCTAGATTAAGTAGAAGTCGGTGAGAGCAGGAAAAAGGAAGCATTGGGCTAACGACGGAAAACCAGATTTGCCCCATTGCTCGAAAAGTCAGCGTCCATCGATTCCACTTCCCGTGTGATAATCACCGCATCGGTTGCCGGAATCGGCATGGGCTCTGTAGGCGACAATGCTACTTTCAGCTATTCCGCCTCCAAAGCTGCCGCCATCCATCTGGCCAAGAACCTCGCCGTCGCCCTTGGGCCAAGACATATCCTTACCAACGCAATCGCGCCTGGCTTCTACCCGTCTAAAATGGCAAATGGTATGATAGAGACGCAGGGAGGTGTTCAGGCAATGGCTGCACAGACGCCTAATGGCAAATTAGGAGAACCTGAAGATATTGCGGCGCTCGTTGTATTCCTGGCTGGCAGGGGAGCGAACCATATCAACGGTGCTGTCATTACAACTGATGGCGGAGCTGTGTTGAAAGGAAGGATGTAAATAAGTTGAATGTCTACATCTACTATTTGAGATTCCCGCATAATATCCAGCTAGACGAATTAATAGCATCGAAATCAGATGCCATTTCCGTGGTGACAAATTCAATGCGTTACATAAAGGTAAGGCTGGGCAAAATGTCTCCCGATGTTCATAGATGAGAATGAACACGCTTTCCGGCTTTCAAAGCTCGGTCAATCGTGTCCATAGCATAATACAAGTCGTAGTCATGTAATTTCGGTGTAAGGACCTGGATTGAAAGAGGGGAGTTGAGGTAGACTCGACGGTCAACAGTGTTTGAGTTCCCTAGAATCAAAGATTAGAAAGTTGATCATTCATGTTAGCAGGGTTATCAAATGATACATACACAATTCTCGATTCCTCTTGTCCCAACTCGACAGGATCTTGGAGTCCATCTCCTTGCCCGTTTCCAAGTCTTGCTCAGTGAATTTTCGGACGGGCAAATTACCGGCAGGGTAGTCGACTAGGACAAAGGACGAACAATATCCCACCGCATTATATCGATCAATTTCCGGCACGGGGTGAGGAGCAACAGGATGTATTATAGCGTCGACACGCCTAGTCTTATCAGACCCAGGAAAAGTCCACATCTTCATAAGTTGCCTCTCGATATGGGAACGCTTTGCTTGGATCTTAGAGAGATCAGCGAGAGTTCTGGGGTTTCCTCGTTTAGTGCGTCCTTTGAGCCATGGAATGAGCTCCTCTGACGTACTCTCCAATAGGTCCATCATATATTGGGCGCCATCAACACCCATCAAAGAATTAGCTACACCTTGGCATTCCCCTAGCTCAGGTGGTACGGGTATTTCAACGACCTTTATTCCATCAGTATTGCGGAGAGTTTGAGCAACTTCTTCCAAAAGTTTCGCGATGGGAGGCAATGGAGGGGTTCGGCCATCGGATCGTAGTATTCCGACCGTAAGTTCGGATGACTTTGGTGTTTCCGATTCCCATCGACCAGGTATACAATCTTCACCCCAGAGCTCTGATCTAGAGACTATCTCTTTCATCACGGTATCAATATCATCCATTGACCTTGCCAGGGGGCCCGCGACAGCCTGGAGACTCGCCCTGCTGCGCCCAGGGACAGAACAAGCCTCTTGCCCACCAAACGGGACACGACCAACGCTAGGTTTGAAGCCGTAGAGACCTTCACACATGGCGGGAACACGGATACTACCGCCAATGTCGGTTCCCATACCAATCATAGAGCCTCGCATCAAGACCGTGACGGCCTCCCCACCAGAGCTACCACCAGCGGTCAGCTTCCGGTTCAATGGGTTCAACGTCCTGCCAAAGAGGTTGTTGACGCTATCCAGTGCTCCCATGGTCTGTGGAACATTCGTCTTCCCAATGATGACAGCCCCCAGTGAGTAGAGAAGATCGACGAGAGGTGCATTCTTTTTCGCAGGTTTGAATGCAAGAGCCGCAAGGCCAGTGGTGGAGTCAACACCTTCAATGTCAAATGTATCCTTGACAGATACTGGCAGGCCATGTAGACGACCGTATGTCGTCCCAGAACTCTTGAGATGCTCATCCAACTTCTCTGCACGCTTCAGGGCGTCGTCGAACAGAGGTTCTGCAAGACACCTTGTTAGCTGGTGGGCGATGGCAGCACGCTGTTGCTCATCAGTACTCTGTAGACATATATAGAAAAATGCATACATATTCAGATAACTACTACATACTTTACAAAAGGCTTGACAGACATCCTTCGAGGAGAGCTTTCCGCTCGCGATCTCTGCTAGTATTCCCTTAACGTCCCATGATTCCGTAATCTCAAGCTCCCTGGCTGTCAACAGGCCACATCGTCTTGGAATATCAGTGATGTCTGACTGGTCATATCCACGAGTATTGGTGATTGACTCTTCAACCGAAAGAGTACCAGCGGGTATCCATCGAGCGGGAAGACGCCAGCTTTGCGGTATCTTGGACTCGAGCTGTGCCTGTTTCCGGCGAGCGATCTCTTTATATACCGGTTCAGCCATCTCAACCATGAATATTCTGTTTCTTCTTGCTTCTTTTCTTTTGAGGTTTGTTTGGAGTTGTCGTATTCTACATTACCCCAGAAAGTAAACGCATATCAAACGCAGGCGAAGAACAGGGATAGCTTTACCGAGGTGGACCGAGGCGCCAACTTTTAGCCGAAAATATGCCATAAGGTCATGTTGGTTTAAACTTGCATTACACACTTACATTTCACTCTTTAGTGGTATTTATTATACTCCATATGTAAAATGATATTGTCGATCGTGGCGCGCTAGGTACCGCAGAGAATGTAACATGTAAGCCGGCAACGGATGAATAACTCACCCCAGCTGTCCAACGGGTGGCAGGGACAGATAGTAAAAATAGTATAGTCAAGGATACCGTTTAAGACAGCGAAGCTATATTCGATTCCTATGTAATAAACGAGGGCATAAATGCTCCAGGCTGGCGATCTAGCGGAGAAAAAGGATCGTACCAGTAGCCGAGACTTACGTGGAGATCTCATAGTTGGCCCCAGAGATACACTCAAGCTATGACATGCGCTCTATACATACTATATGTAGCATGCATCTCATATCTCCGTCATCATAAGCCGGATGTCTTTCTTTTCTTTTTCTCTTCCCTTCCGTTTCTTATTTATATAAAACGGAGACTTTTTTCTTATGTAATTTTTGATGTCTTATCAAGGTTTACAAGGTTAATCTTATCAATCAATTATCAGCCTGCCAAGGCCTGCGCTAAACCCGATCAGGCCGCGGATAGTCAGCTAAAAAAATAATTCCTTGACTTTTGGGCGAAAGGAAGATTGTGAACGCAGTAGAACTTGCATAGCCACAAGCTTGGACAGCTCAGGAAGGCCTTTAAAGGATCCTGTTTTTTTCTTTTCTCCGACCACCACGTCCTCCAGCGGATTGTCCGGATACAGTTGCATCTCCCCTCTCGCTGCATGCAGACACGTACACAGACGGGGGGGACAGACGGATAGGCTAGTAGGAAGAGCCTGAGTCGGCAGACACGACGAACCGTTGGACCTGTCACGTCACTCGAGGTAACAAGCATTCGCATTTATTCCAATCACGCCCGATCTAGCTTGCACAACAGTAAAAAGCAAACAAACATGGCGGACGGCACTCGGTCTCCTCCTCATCCATTCACTCCGAGCCTCTACGCCCTCCATGGCCGATCTGAGAGTCATCCTCATCTCCCCAGAACTCCTCCTCCAGCCATGAGTACCAGCATCGAGACTATCGAGCCTGAATATCAGCAACCAGTGCCGCATATACCTTATTCAATGGAAGGATCGGACGAGGAAGGCCAACGCCCACCTCGCTACACCCGCGAGAACGACCCTTACCAGCTCTCAAGCAAGCTCAAATCCAAAGCAGAAATCGACCAGATCCAAGCAAATATCAGCAGACGACGGAAATGCATTTCAAGCGAGCAAAAGGGACGAACCAACGCTGACAGGAGGAGGATACAATCGTTTTACCGCTCCCAGAATGAGAAAATTGAGCGTCTACTGAAACCAGTTGACGAACATATCAGACATGCAAAGGAGTTGAACGAACAGAACCAACTCAAGTACAAGATTGCGGTCTACGGCAGCTTTGCCGCCAATGTTGTCCTCTCCATTCTCCAGGTCTACGCTGCCGTATCATCGGGATCTCTGTCTCTTTTCACCACGATGGCGGACGCCATCTTCGACCCAATGTCAAACCTGACCCTGCTTCTCTGTCACAAGGCCGTCAAGCGAGTCGACCCACGCAAATTCCCTGCTGGCAAGGCCCGGATCGAAACAGCTGGAAATATCTTCTTCTGCTTCCTCATGACCGCAGTCTCCTTTATCCTTATTGCCTTCTCAATCAAGGATCTCGTTGAGGGCAGTAATTCCGAGACAAACAAGTTCTATCTCACGGCCGTCATATCTGTGTGTATCGCCTTTGCTACAAAGCTGTCCCTTTTCCTTTACTGCTGGGCAATCCGGAACCAGTACTCTCAGGTTAGAATTCTCTGGGAAGACCACAGGAACGACCTCTTCATCAACGGACTCGGTATCTTAACTTCCGTAGGTGGGAGCAAGCTTCGGTGGTGGATTGATCCCGCCGGTGCCTTGATGCTGTCTGTTCTCATTTCCGGCTTGTGGACCAAAACCGCCTATTCCGAGTTTCAGCTTCTGATCGGTGTCACGGCTGACACGGAGATGCAGCAGCTTATCACCTATATCTGTTTGTATCCTCTTTCCAAATATTATCTGCATGTTCAGCGACTAATCTCGATTATAGCCATGACGCATTCTCCTCTGATCACAGCCATCGACACTGTACGTGCATACACCTCCGGTCCTCGCCTGCTTGTAGAAGTGGACATCGTCATGGACAGAAACGAGTCTCTGGAGGCCACACATGATGTTGCCGAAGAGCTTCAGACAAAGCTGGAGAGTCTCCCAGATGTTGAGCGAGCTTATGTCCATGTCGACTATGAGACCACGCATAAACCTGAGCATTTCTTGAAGAAAGAGCTATAATATCTCTGACCTTCTTGATGGAGGACGATTTATTCCTTTTTTGCTCAAACTCTTAATTTACGATGCTATTAGGGATGGGGACGACGTCTAGATAAGTTGGAAATTCTCTCGGTAATTTGGCGTTTGGGTGGTTTTTTTTTTTTTTTTTTCTTACGAGAACGAAGGTTTTCATGCTTGGGATCTTCTAGCAAGATGATGACAGCAAAAAGACTCATCAAGTCCACTCACGATGACAGGATGTCCGGTTAATATGGAGTCGCAGTTAATTCATGAATTAAGAGAGTTGATCGTTCATATGCCATTAACGTCGTATAGCTATCATCCCAAACCCTACACGGTTATAAATCCAGTCTTCCTTGCCATCATCCACAAAGCGAGTCCACGGCCCCTGCCCCTAGAACCCAGCGGGCCAGTACACACATCGCGGCTACTGTGTAAGAGAGGAGCATCCCACGATGCTTCTGCTTCAGCTCAGCCTCTTCATTAACCCATGGAAACTCCATGTCCGGCACTGGTTTCCCGAGAAACTCGCACAGGGGCTCCCATCCATCGCCCATCCTGTAGTGGAGCAACTGGCCCGGCGGCACCAGCTCCTCTATCTCCCTGTAGTATCGATCAAACGTAGTGCGAGCATTCTTTCGTATGCCCTCAACGTCCTTTGCTTCGAAAAAGCCCAGCAAGACCTTCCTCATGGCTGAAGCACTCGACAAGCCCAGCAGCGGCTGAATGACCCCAGAGAAGAAATCAGACAACGGATTCCAGAGCCCTTTTAGTACCACTCTATCCAGACTGTTAAACCACCGGTCAAAGTCCCTCTTCACCAAGACAACCTTGGCACCGGGGTACACCTTGACCAGCTGCGGGCCAAACATCGCAGCGGCCTCGGTTACAGCCTCACGACCACCATACACTTCGTCCCACTGCTCCCGGCTGAAGGTCTGCTCGTGTTTATATGTAGGGAGTACGGGGTAAGTTGTATCAGCAGCGCGGTTAAAGACACGCCACGCCGCTTCGCCACCGTCGGCGTCTGTGAGCGTATGATGCACATTTCGATAGCCCAGCGCTGTGAGCGCCTTTGCCATCGAAAGAGTGCCAGACCGCGGCAGGCCCAGCGAGAGAACTTTCATCTCACATCGTTTTGGATCTGTCGAAGGATTCATGGCTTGGGGGGTTTCTTCCTTGCTTCTTCGGTACTCCGTACAGCAACTATGAGAAAAAGAAATGATAAAAGGGGCGTTGAGTTCAGAGATAGAGCGGATGAGTATCAGCGTTAACCTGGAAAATGAGGACACTCGACGTCGTTAGAAGAGACTTTTTCTATGACAGGCCTTGTCTCTGCTCTCTTGATGGGCTATTCGTTGACGGGCGCAGGGGTCCTCTATATAACAAACGCCTCCCCCTGCCAGGGTCGGTTTGCGGCCTTTTATATACTTACCCCCGTAAGGCCCGGCGTCAGGACTAAAAGGACAAGCGTGGGCAACAGTGAGACCTTGAGACAGAGCGGTGTGTGTCTATACATATAGTAGAATGTATAGAAAGTTCTGTGGCGCTTCCAGGATGTTTCTTTAGACGACATAGTCGATGAATATAATATCAGCTTGCAGCTCTAGTGAAGGCGAGCCTCGTATATTTTTATCTCATACTCCGCAATGCTCGAACTATCTGTACGCAGAGCGACGACCCTCAGTTGCCTCCACCGACTCCGCTCCCGAAAATCTCATCTTTCCTGGTCCCTCTGTCCCAGACTCGCCTGCCGTCACTCCTTCTCTTGAAATAGACAATCCGGTGCTGGGGGATAAACTCCTCATCCGTCTGTTCTGACTTCCATCTCGACAACGGCATCTCCTTTACCCCTAGAAAACGGTCTTCATAGCCTACCAGGTAATCCCCAAAATCAATCTTGGGATCCCAACGCAGACGACTGATAACATCTGCAGCCGGCCGGAGCTTATTAGTGCTAACTGGTTTGGGCGCTGCTGCTGTGTCCTTACTGTGTGGCTTCGCTCCGCTTCCTGCCTGCTCTTCAACTGCTGGAACGCTATCCGCTTCATCGTCTTCAGCTAGATCGTCGTCCTCACATTCGTCGTCCGAGAAATCAGATGCCACCATGTCTGCCCCCGCCTGCCCTCCCCAGCTTCTATGGTCGAGTTTGAGTTCATCTAGCTCTGTTTGTTTGACATGTTCGGTGTCAATCCAGCAGACAGTGGAGTCAAAGTACTTGGTCTCTTCGTGCAAACTAGCCGTGAATTGACTTAGGGTTGCCTGCAGTGCTCGTTTACCGTCCTCTTTGCTGGCTGTTGAGCTCAAGGAACCTTGCAACCGTTCGAGGCCGATTAAGTAACAGCCGACGTACTCTGTCTCCGCGGTATGTCCGTCATTAGGCGCATCTATTGAAGTAAACCGAGCAGGCCAGATACGTCCATGAACACTTGGGACTTGTTTACCAAGATCTAGCTAGAATTAGCACTCAAAACTAGTCATAGTATGTGGGGATAGCAACATGCCATTGAGTAGGCGGATGAACCTAGACTCCAGCCAGCCTACAAGAGAACTTGCCTGAGTCGAAGAGGCACCCCAGTACTGCACATTAACCTTGATGTAGCTGTTGTAGGCTACCAGAAACTTTTCAGCCCCAGTTTGGTTATTATGGCTAATGCTAGTGTCGCTCAAGACATTAGACCATCTTGCCCCATCTTCAGCCAGAAGCTCCTCTACACGTTTGAATGCAGATATGATAGTCCTTAGTGAAGATGCAGTAACGGCTCTCGCAACATTAATTGTGGGGATATGAACTGTTAGAATCACCATTGGTTCTCTCAACAACCGACGATACTTTGACCGCGTTCCAGGGCTATCCACTACCTTGTTCTTCCAGTCAAAATTCGCATAATGGTGGAAAAACATGGTCAATAGCTCAGGAACTGTGACTCGCCCTATATCTTCATGAAGGAGCTGATGAAGCCGTGAAAGCATCATGGTGATATGGATACCTCCAAGTAGGCCAAATTTTGAGGAGTAAACTCCCGATGTTTTGGCCCACAAGGTGATACACCGATGAGCAAGTTGGAATACGTACATGTCCGGTACCATTCGTTTGATATATTCTTGGTCCCTAAATGGTTGAAGTTTTGACAAGGAATATATTGATAAGTCGAATATTGGATCATGGGGCGGTATTTTCGTAGCTTCTTGCCATCTGTATTCAATGATGTGAGCATTATATTTAACAACTTAGCGAAGAGGAGGGGAGGGGGGGATATACAACCTTTTGGCAATATTTGCTGCCGGGCAGTATTGCAGGTCAAGTTTAATGTTTCCAGCCTGTAGCTCTAGCATCATCCCTGTTGCAGCCTTGACTTTCCTCATGATACGTATTCCATGGGCGGATGCCTTTTTGAGCCTTTGGATTGCAAGAGAAAAGAAAGTGCTCGTGCTGATAGGGCCAATACACAAGCAGTCAATATCAGAGTTAGGGCCCCAGGTACCGAGACCATAGGAGCCGACAGGGATCAACACAAGCGGTGTTTCGATATCTCTCCCATTGGAATCATGGATTGGCTCCGTTAGAATCTGGGCGAGGGTAGCAACAACTGACTTTCGTGTCTTGATACCTTCTTCATCAGGTAGCATCGAAGAAGCCCCCAAACACGACTTGATTTCATCTGAGGTAGAGAGGCTCTTCGGTAAGCTTTTCAATTGCAGTTGGGCTTTTTCAGAGGCCGCTTCACTGGCTTTAACATCTTTCAAACTATGACCAATCTGCACTTCGGCCCTTATTCCCCAGTGATCACTGGCATATTCTGACATGGGTAGTCTCTCACCTCCAAGGATATGCCGTAGACCAAAGAAATTGAAATCTGTGACCTTGCTTTTGCCAGTTTGGCGTACAAAGATCCTATCGTACCTCTGGGGTCTGCCATTGACCGAATATTGGGCTGCAAGAGGGTTCAAGATCGGATCGTATGTGGCTCCATACTCACCTTCACCAAGCCCGCCATCAATGTCTGTGTCTCCAGGCTCTTCACAAGCGACAACCCATCCATCCATGAAATGGGCCTTGGATAACAAATAATTTAGTCCCAGTATCTTCTCCGCTCCAGCTGATGAAATCATGTTCTGTTTTACAGCAGCATCGATAACCTCCTGCGAAGTGGCGAAGTTGAAATCACCCGCAATCACGCTCGGGTTATCGGGGTAGTCATTATCTAACAGGTGTATGATGTTGCGTATCTGGGACATTTTACTGTCGACCGCAGCATCATTCAACCCTGAGGTTAGGTGGACGGCAGTGATAATTGTGGGCAAGCAGGAGTTCAAGTCTCCGATTCCATCCACCTTTACAATAGCCGCACCCTTGTGTCGAGCTTCAAAAGGTAGCCAGGCCCAAGAAAACTTCCACTGGGAGAAAACAACGATGTTGCGGAGACTAGGGAGAGGAGGTGATCCCTCCTGGCCTGGCGGCCCATGAGTTACAAATGGGTATCGCCGCTGCACATCCTGTTGTGAAAGTAGAAAGAGTAGGAAATCATCGCAAACTTCCTGGAGAACCAGGACATCTGCTAGCGCGTTCGTAGAGAGAATGTTCTTGACCAGGGCGTCATATCTGTCTTGGGGTTGGGGTCGGGTAAACTCTGCCAGCACATTATACGTGGAGACAGAGAAGCCGTTACTCCGGACATTTGCTGACTCTGCGGAGGGTTCCGTTACGGGGCACCAGGAAAGCTGGTGGGGTAAGAATTCATAAGTAGTCATCGGCTCAGCGGGCGAGGTAGCTTCATCGGCTGCTGCATCCAGACCGTGTAGAGACATTCCGCTATATAGCCAAGTAAGCTCTTCGGAACTAGACATGTTATTTCCAGACAAATCGATGGCATCCCAGATCACCATCTTGCTTGTCCCACTCCCGCCAAAGTCCTTTTCACGACGAAGAATGACCAGATGGCTGAGGTCCCATTGTAGAGCCGGGAGCATGTTGGCCTTGCCCAATAAAAAGTCACGCAGGTCATCATCCGCTTTAGTCTGGCCGATGGTAAGGTGTGGACAAAAATCACGCTCATCTTTACCATGATGGCCGAGAGCTTCGAGAATGGAAGACCTAAGCTGGCAAAGCTGGTCCTTTGTTTCGTCCTGTAGGGTGAGGTGGATAGTATTCCCTCCACGGTTACGGAAGAAACCTGCCAGACCTGATCGAAGTGTGGTATTTTGGCATTGAGAGGATTGGTTCCGGGAGTTTAGCGTCTCCCGTATTAACTGCGAAGCGACTGGCAGCCTATCTGCCGGTACAAACGGATAAACGAGGTTGATATGTGCAGGCCATTTTCCGTATGCCTGGTCGTATAGAGCCCTGAGACGGTCGACATCCTGCCATAGATGGCGAGGCGGAATAATGCAAAGCGCAGTCTGATAGGATAAAAGGGACAGGCTGCTCGCCTGTAGAGATTCTTCCTGGTCCGCCATGAGGTCTTGCTGTCTGTCTGTTTGATATCGGGAGCAGCCAGGGGAATAAAGACGCCAACGCTGTCTTCCCGGTCGAGACGATGCCCTTGATGAAAAGGTCACATTAAATAGCAGCAGCAGCAGCCTTGTCAACTGAATCCTTCAGTCTTCGACTTTGATGTATCCACCACTGAGTCAGAGATGCCGTCTTCTCTTCGGCTTGTATGCATCGACTGGCCAGGATGACAGCCACGAAGGCGCGGCTCACGCCACACTAGAGGCTCAACAGTGCCGTTAGTCCTGGTATTGGCTTGATAGCCAGCTTGGAGAAGAAGTCTGATACTCGTAAAACAGAGTCATACTCTTTTGGATGCTGTCAGTGGCTCTTTTTTGGTGTCTGTTGGTTGTCCTGAGATGAGTCAGTGAAACGGCCAGGCAGCAACCAAAGCGCTTTCTCTCTCTCCTTCCATCGCCATCGCCTCGCAGTATCACTTATGAAAAAAAAAAATAACAGCAGCAATGGATACAGAGTAGAAAAAAGATAGCAGGGAAAAAGAGCAAAAAAAGGGGCCCTGCCGCGACTCGAACGCGGGGCCTCTCGCATCTTTGGTAGCCCAAAGCGAGAATCATACCACTAGACCACAAGGCCGATCTCGATGGAGAGGCGGCCCTGCTTTCGCTTGATGGAGAGGAGGTTGTCGTGTCAGGGATGCTGTTGACCCCCCCGGAGGACCGTTTTATAGATTCGTGTTGTACAGTGGAATTCACAGTGGTAGGTAGGGGAATGAAATATATTAAGTTGTCATCAAGATGTGTTAACGGTCTTTAGCTATATACTATCAAAGAAATAAAAAGAGACATGAGCACCTATTTAGCAAGCATTGAACATGGCGGCTGCTAGGACGGATAGACATAGCAGTGTCCATACATTCGCCATACTGACTCGACCGGCAGCAGCTTTCTTCGTTTCAGAAGCCGTTGCCGTTGGTTCCGCCGTCGAGGTCGCCAGAACCTGGGTGGGGGCACCATACGTACTCACTTTCTCATCAAAGGCCAAACAAGCTGTCGGTAGACTGAATTCTGTGGACGTGGCTGTGAGCTTCTGGTAATGGAGAGCTTCGTTACGGGGTAGCTTGAGTTGCAATTCGACAAACGGAACGACCTCGAAGCCAAAACTCGGTTCGATATTGACGAAATCGCCAATAAGTATGTCAACAAAGTCGTGTTTATCCGTGTCGTTTTCGATTTCGGGAGGTTTTGTGACCTTTTCACACCTTTCGTCAACTCCGTGGAGTTGGCTGACTTTTACCGATGCTTGTGGGACGTTGAAGGTCACACCGGCGCCACCTTTGATGATCCCGGTAGGAGACTCGACCCCGAAGAGGATCTCGGGTGAGAAACTGACGGAGAATGTCAGGTCCGTGACACCTTTGGAGGACTGGAAAGGGATCTCTGTGAATGTGGTATATTCGCTATGATTGTTATCAGCCCAGTTTCACAGGGTGCATCTTTCGGAGGATTCCTCACTTACAGCCCTTTAATCGTCGAATTTGAAAGATCTCCAAAGTTGAGGGAGAAGCCTGAGTCTTCTGGGACCTTTAAATAAGGGAGGCAATGTTAGGGCCGTTGTCATGGCATATACTAACACTGAGAAGTCTGCTTACCGATACGTCCACTCCATAAGTGAAGTTTACAGGGTTGCTCAGAGTAACCGCTACCGATACCTGGGGAGTGAATATAGCTCCAAATAGAACCACACCAGGGATCTATAAAGTATTAGCCCCAGGTAACCAATAACATCCATTAAGTGTACTCACCGCAAAGGGGCTAAGAGGTACTGAAGGCATAGGGACAGTGAAATTAAGTAGCTCCTGGCCTGCTTCGAGAGCAAGTTCAAGTTCCACACGAGCGAACAGACTGCTAAGTTCTATTTCTACCTTCCCTTCATTGATGAATGCAAGTGCGGACAATAGGCCCGAGTCATCCTCATCATCCCCCATAGAAAACGAGCCCGCTGAAAGTTCTAGAGCTCCATTGATGCTGCATTCCTTACAAGACAGGGTGATTCCTTCAGGTCTTTTGTACAGAATAGCTCCAGTCAGCTGTTTCCGTGTGACATGGGGGTAAAGAGGCTTACAGTCCAAGAAGGCTGACTCCAGGTAACTCTGGAGGTACTAGCTGCTTATTTTTATGGCTAACATCAATCTTCGCCGAACCATTGTTAAATCTAGCTTCTGACGTAGGGACAGGAGGAAAAACCGTTTCTGGAACTGTGGGGGTTGAAGAGGAGGAAGTGCCGGGCGTCCTACTTCTACGCCTGATGGGGTTTGCAGGTCTTTGGCTGCGCCTGACAACGCTGTTGCTTCTCTTATGAGAGAAAGAAACATTGATAGTGTGAAATGCTTCCTTCCACTGAACATCCTTTCGTGAGAGGGTGATGCTATTTTCCTCTTTATCAACTGTCACGTTGGTAACCCTATATGAGAATTAGCATACACTGTCGAAAAAATGGTATCCATTACTCACATATGTGGTGCCCGCTCTTCGTCTTCGTTACAGCCCCAGTGTGAAGAGATGGCGACGAACTCTGTAGTACCGGCTAATTCTCTTTTGACCCCCTCCATGTATTCCGGTGAGCTAAAGGTCAATTTGATTCCTGACTCAAAGCAGGTAACATCAATGAGGCCATCTTCCAGATCTTCCAGCGAGAGAGTCGGATATTTGCTTCTCAGATCTAGGTTGGTGACAAGGACGGGTTCGTTTGAGCGTGCGGAAAGATGGGCAGCATGATCAACAAAATCAAGGTTTGCTTCTTTCCGCAGTAGTCCACCTGGCTGGCGTTTTCGAAGACCACTGTGAGGGTATGCCGGAGCGAGGTGTCTTGCTTGGACAGAGCTCCATGAGTTTAAGGCATTTCTTCGAGAAAGTTGGCTGGATGAGGCTGAAGCAGAAGGGTAGCTGAAAGCAGCTATCAATAACATAGAGAAAAGAAATAGCTTCATGATTGATGATGCTTCCCTTCTCTATCCATAGAAGGTATGTAGGATTTGTTGAGTAAGTGATTAACCATCCTCAGCGTAGAGGATAGCAGCCTTGTAAATATAATCCAGTCGGGGCGAGGGAGGTCCATTCTCTCGACATTGATCATGTTCCCTTACTGACTCTCATTCAGCCAACGCATGCTTCCTAAGCCTCATCCCTGTATAATAGACAAGGAGCCAGCGGATAGTGCAGATGCATAGTAAATGCAACCCAGGTATTTATTCTAGGTATCACAGCCCGTGTTTGGCCCCATTGCAGGGCTGCGCTCCTCTAGTTTCTCCCGCTAGAATATTATGGTACAGTACTGGCGTAATAATGCGGAAAATTTACCGCAAAGGAAACTCCAAGAGACGACAACATGTAGAACTAAGAACGGGGAATGGTGAGCCGTCAAATGCCATGTATCGTGTCCACGCTCTATGCGTCCGGCTAGCTATGTACCATGTATCAACCGCAAGCATCATGACACAGCCTTGAAAGGGGTTCCACCTGAGACGCTTGATGCTGCAGAGCCCTGTATCCAACATATAACCAGCGGTTTCTAATGGGTCAAATCAAATGTTGGATGCCAACCCCGGCTCGTTCCTGTCGCGGATAGTCCAGCATACCCGCATGCTTAACCAGGAAAGTCAACTGTAAATCATGATATTTGATTGGACTGGGGTTGCTTATATCAACAACGTCGGATGCATCATGAAGGCCGCTTTAAATAGAAGTCTGGAGTTGTTATATGTAGAGCTCACGAAGATAGACAGGTCCACAGAAGAATAATGTCTCCATATCATAAACACAGTATCAGCGAGTTCGGACCACCAACACTATAACCGAGCCGCGTCTAGATGTTGGCGATATCCATAATTTGCTCATAAAGGGCCAATAAATCATGATAACTAGATAGAATTGTTAGCCTGCAGCAAAGGTATGCTAGGAAACTCACCATCCACCGATTAGTTAACAGGGAATATAAAAGAGAAAAACTCGGCATATATAACTTCAAGTATTTGTAGGCTAATATCAAATATGCAAGACAAACAAGTAGACAGAAGATAATCCACCGAGGAAAAGAAATACACATGAAACCCTGAACAACCAAACATACCAAAACATAATCCATATTACCAAACCCCCCCGTAGTATGTATATATCATTCAAGTAATGTAACGTCTATTATCTATCCAATTCGGCTTTTTTTGTTTGCTTTTAATGCAGCGCCGCCTGGATGATGGCATACAAATGTAATAAACAAAAAGCAGAGAACAGAAAGTCAAGGAGAGGAGGGAATAAAAGAGAAAGATATCTAAGAAGGGTAGGAAAAAAGTGTGAGAGTGGCGGCCTGCTTCCATGTTAGTGTAGAGTTTGTGCGTGTCATGCATTATTAAAAATTAAAACCAATCTGATCCTCGTCGCATCTCGTCCCGTACTTATCTGTAGTAGTAAACAATGTAATGTACGCACCAGCAATGAATAAAAGGCAAACAAAAGAAATGCAATCAATGCAGAGACAAAACAACTAAGCCCAACCTTGTTCTTCAGTAAGTTGTTCATTTTTTCTTCTTCTTGTTATTATTAGGCTGTGCGACACCCTGTAGGATATGATCGAAACTTGCATCTGGGTTATGGTTTGCTGATCTTGCGGATGGATCAACCGGAGTGACGCCAGCGGGTAACGGTAAGGCTTCGAGGCCCATGTATATCGACGAGCGATTTCCTGGAGTTCCAGCACCGCGAGCAAAAGGCGCGCTGGGGGGCTGGAGATTAAGCATGGGTAGGGTAGGAGGCGTGACATCGCCTGGTGTGAGAAGTGGGGTGGGCTGGCGGTCTGAGGAGGAGCCGGTCGACGAGAGAGGCGGTGGGTAAGGAAATGGATGGAAGTTTTGACCCTGGACAGGTGTTGGATAGGCGTTTGGAGCGCCTGCTGGTGGGAGGGAGCCGGTAATAGATTGATCAGGGGTTGAGATGGAGAGAGATGGATGTTGATAATGTTGGTATTGTTGCGGAGGATATTGAGGCTGTTGGTAGTGTTGTGAGTATGGTTGGTACTGCTGTGGCTGTTGGGGATACTGCGGCTGTTGGGTGTATTGTGGTGGTTGATACTGTGGCTGCTGCGGGTACTGCGGTTGTTGATATGGCTGTGGTGCTTGAGGGTACTGAGGATATGCTTGATATTGTTGTTGTGGGGACTGGCTCTGTGGGGGGGGTGGCGGTGGTTGCTGCGGCTCCTCTGGCGGCTGTGTGGCAGGGTCCAACATGACGGAAGAATTCAGCTGTTGCTCATCTGCCCACTTCAGCGCAACATCCCAGCAGTGACTGCGCCTAAAAACGGCATCAACACCATTCGCAACCACATCAGACGGCAGATTAACCACGCCTGACCCGCCAGCGACACCAAACCACTTCTTGCCATTCTTTGGATCAGAAGCACACCAAGGTGACCCACCGCGGGGTGGTATGCAGAGGAAATATTCCACGCCATGCGTGCATCTGAGGTCCGGCGCGTCAACGACAAGCATAGGCAAGGACTGCACCACAGCGTACATGAAAAGCCACTGTCCACAACGCATATCCGCTAGCTCATCGGCGCATTTTCCATGGCCAACACGACGTTCATAGTTCATGAAGTTCTCTAAGAAGGGAGTCGGTTTCATGCTGGAATGATTGTAACTAGACACGAGAATTTCATTCACTTCTCCGGTCGAGAGGCGCTTGCCACGCTCCTTAACCTCGTGCTTTGGGTCTAGCTTGCGTCGTATGGAATGGATCGATGGTAAGCGTGGGATGTCGAAGGGAATCGGCGGCTGAACGGGTGGTGTACTGCGGTCATACTCTGACATGATCTGTCGGAGGGCTTGAGAGGTGGAATTTGAGTCTTCAGCCTTGAAGACTGAGGTTGTCATGTCCGCAGAGCGAGTAGTAAGGTCTGTACGATCAGCGAGCATGTCATAAAGGTCGCAGAAATCTTGGTAAAGCTCTCGAAGGACCACGCGGTTGAGCCCACTTTCCTGAAACTGGTTCTTCTTGTTGGCTTTTGGAGGCCATGAGCCGAAACGGGCGCGGTAGTAATTCATAACATTCTTTCTGTAGCCTAGATATGCATTCTTCCAGTTCTTGAAGCGGATAACTTTGGCCTCATTTGCGATATTCGAGTTGGCGATACCGGAAAACAAAGAAGGGAAATCAAACTCCTCAATCTTCGCAGCACAGGTCCTTATACGGTTCTCCAGGTCGAGGTATCCTCGTTCCAACCTCTTCCGTGTCACGGGTGAAACGGAGTTATACTTGGCTTCAAACTTCTTTAGGTCGTCCAACACTGCAACTCCGTGAGTGAACCCCTCCTGGTATAGAGGTAGGTACTTCATGCGTTCACCAAGTATGATAGCATCTAACGCACGTTCTCTCGACGCACGAACGTCGATCAAATCCAGCTCATCACAATAGCAGCCAAAGCTCGTGGTAGCTGTCTCTCCGAATGTTGACTGGTCTAAATTCGTGAACCCGAATCGATCTAGCAGGCCAGATACTTCAATGAATATACCAAAGATAGAAGGTGTGCGTGGTGTTGCAATCAGTGCCTGGCCGATAAGAAAAGCAAACAAGTTACGGAAAAGCACTAGCATATCAACATCATCGGCAGAAAGGACAGGTTTCTCTTGGCCACAGGGCAGATCGCCAGTTAATGGTACAGGTAAGTAAAGATGGAGTTCTGGCGAATCGTCGTCCAGAAAACCATCTTGGGATCGTCCATCTGATCCATCGTCATAGCTCGATCCATTCCGTGCCGAAAGAGTAGGGGAAGAGGAGTTAGGATCATGAAGTTGGCCGCCTTGCGGTCCGCCACGAGTAGATTGTGGAGGAGATGAGTTTGCGGATTCGCGGGCGAGGAGGGTGAGGGCCCCGGAGGCAGAGAAAATGGAGGAGTCGACCTTGAATGAGGGCGGGCGGCCAGAGTTTTGCGGGAATAGGTAGACATAAGTATCTCCAGCTTCGTCCCACAGATCAGTCACCTAGTTCTGGTCAGCAAAAGGCAAGTTTTGATGATCAAGGGATTTGGTTCTTACTCTCTCTCCCGCTAGTAGACTACTAATATCATAGGGGATATCGTTTTCTGTTCCGGCAATCCAAGCCCGCTTCCCGTGATTCGACGCATCATGACCCGTCTTATTCGATTTGGTAGGCTTTTTTGCTTTACTTATAGTGGCAGGGGTGGGATTCACGTTAACTCCTGAAACTCCGAGTCCCGAGCTCGGCCTTGAACCAGGTTTATTGAATCGTGGGATTGCATCGCTCCAGCTCTGGCTACGACTGTGAGCATCCGGCGAACCTGGACTGGCCAGATCTGGGTTGAGGCTGGATAAACGCGGTGGAGGAGTGTAGGTTTGGTATGCGTTCTCACCCGGCAGAGGGGCTGAGACATTTCGTGGATTCAGGCTCAATGCCTGAGTCTGTTCAGCTAGACGTTGTTCCTGAAGAGGCGTCGAGTGTACCGATGAAGAGCGGGACTGTACATGAGGTGATTTGGCGGAAGAGCGTTTCTCTTCAGGCTTTGGCGAGCCCAGTGAAAAGAGAGAGGAGAACCGGCGGACCGGGTTGTTGGAGGGAGCTGCCAGCATCACGAAAAATTATTCAGCGTCTGTATGCAGAGAACATGGACCTGATATGATGATAAAGGCAGATATCGGTTTTGTTTAATGTAGGTTTGTATACTTCGTTCGTTTGCTTTTTCGCTTGTTGCCTGTTCTTTCTTGTTGCTTGCTTGTGGCCGTTCTTCCCCCTTTCGAGTGGCAAGATATAAACGAGTGAATTGTTGAATATTAAGAGTAAGAAAAGTCGGTCCGTCTCTCCCGCGATAGATATCCTGGAGAAGCGAGAGATTCCAAAGACAAGAGAGGGGGAAAAAAGAAAGAAAAATGGCGAGTCTAAATATTCAGCGTTTCCAAGCACCAGAGGCAATCCCCAGCCAAGGAGTCAAACAAGTAGCGTATCCAAGAAAAGCAACAAGGCCCAGTTTTTTTTTTTTTTTGGCTCTCTCTATCCTTTTTTTTGTTTCTTTTCTTTTCCACCTCTCAGAATTTTTCCTTTTCTGGTTTCGCTCCCTTCCTCAGTGGCTCCTCCCGCTGCGCCCAAGGGAACGGAGGACTGAAGGATCAGAAGAAGGGCTAAGCTGGTAGATGACGAGGCCAAAAGAGGCACTCCGTATCCGAGCAGTTAATTGCTGATTTTCGATGCGGCTCTGGGTAGTGTTTTCTCTTTCGTATCTGTCGGATGCCTTTGATCGCTTATCCCTTGCAAGCAGGTCAAGGTACTCCGTATATGTATATATATGTACACAAGTCCGAGTGATCGATCGACCAAACAGGGACGATGGAGCCAGAGTCAGTCCGAGACGAAGACAAGAAGTTCTCGTATCCTGGAGCCTGGCTAGTGGCTGTTTTGCTTGGTTCTCGTCTCTCGCGTGGCTTTTCTAATGCGTTGCTTGCTCGACTTGCTACCGCAGCAGTACCAACAAGTAAAACGAGAGGATGAGCAGTGCTGGAGCCTTGCCTGGTGCAGGAATTAGTCCGCTATCTCACTGGCTAGCAACTGTCACAGTGGAGACCTGGTACTTGTGCCTGTAGTTCCGTAGTTGTAGTAGTTTGTAGTTGTTGTCGTCGTAGTTGAAGAGTTGACGTTGAAATAGAGAAAGGCGGCGAGCAGAGGCAGAAGGGAAGCAGTCTGTATCAAGTACGAAACGTCAACGACAACAACGACGACTACGTCGAGACCTCCTTTTCAACTCTCCGCCATCCACCGCCATCTTATCTATCTCCATATCAAGCCATGCAGGGGTTCGCTTCCTCTTCCTCGCCTCCCGTCTTCCGTCTTCCGTCCGTCTTCGCCTTCTTCTTGTCTATCAGCTCTCGCCTACCTACCTTGTCTCATGATCTCCCCGTTGGCCTGTTGACAAGGTCTTCCACCAGCCATCTACACAACTACTACGTCGACCATCTCACAGTCTTTCCACTGACTTTACCGCCAGCATGGCAGCCGGTCCAGTCGTCCGAGAACGTGCCGTCCGTATATATTTATTATATGCTTGATCTAAGAATAGAATTTGTATTTCCTTTTTTTTTTCGATTTCGTTGTGAGAGCATGATGGGTTTTTTGCTTATTTTGATGCATCTCAAACTTCCACCGTCCACAGTTGACATTTACACAGGAACAGGAACATGAAGTTTACAGCGAGAAGGAGAAGGACGAAAACAACAACTCATAAACGTCCACCATCGGCGTCGAAATATTTCATGTTCCGGTCCCCAGGGACACCCCTGACCCTGTGTACAATAACCATGTCCACACGAGACATCCAGACAAGACATGGTAAAACAAGGGGCTCCCTCACCTTAGCCCTCCCTGTGATCCACCCTTGCTCTACTTTAATCCACCAAGCTAGCCACGGAACTATTATGAAGGATCGCGATTTGTCAGGAGAAAAGATGGCGATGACGATATTCTACCATATTAATATCCATATTAATATCCATTTTTTATACTTATGTTATACACCACCCCATACACCGCATAAATATATCCGCAATGTGATATAGGCTGACTAAGGTCGACTTCTTGGATATTCGCTTGACAGCTATCACGACACCATCTTTCTTTTGTTCAACAAGAAGGCAGTTCTGACGAGAGTCTAACGTCGTGGAGTCATGGGGGTCAGAGGATGGCCTTAACTCACATGCGATAACTCGAGTGCGAGACATCTTTCCTCAATGTCACCCCTGCAGCTAATCACATCTCTCCACGTCCACCAGCCTGCCGCTGGCCGGGGGAAAACAACATGGTCAGACTCTTGTTCTCGTTACTTCTGTGTCAGAGCTATAGTGGATGGCCAGCATCGATACGCTGGCAAGCACTCTAGTATCCCGGTATCTCCATATATTACATTCATTTAGAAAGTCATGAGCCAGCAACGCCAGAGAAGTCAAAGACAGTTTAAGCATGGCAGAAACTGCAGGCCTGGCTGTGTTGTTCAACAGAGTTGTCAAGTGTTTCAACTACGTCCAGTTGGGCCGTAACTTTGGCAAGGACCTCCAAACAAGTCAGGTCAAGCTGTATAACGCAGGGTTCGAGCTACCTCGACGGGGGTGTATCGCTAGACCTGCACAGAGACGTGTAGAGCAAGATCGTCGTGTCTCCCGCCAGAAATGATCCAGGCACAAGCTGTTCTGGGACAGATTCTCGAGCCATTCGCACATGCGGAGGCCATATTATTGGACGGGTTTAAAAGTCGAGTTCGTACAGATGTCGTGGACAGTGCCACCTTTATTCCTGCTACATCCACCAATTCGGCCTTGCGGTGTGTGAGCGAATAAATTATCCAAACCCCGCGCCTAGAAAGCTTCATGTGGAAATGCGATAGGCAGATTATCAACCATCAAGGGCCGACGGATCTCCAGCGCATAGCCAAATGGTGCCACATAGACAAAGGAATTCACTATTCTGCTCGAGGCACATCACTGGCTTGGTCAAGACTCCGTCGAACTGTTACCTCCTTCTTAACAGTACTAGCCAGAGCGTCAGCCAGAATCTAGCTTTCTCGTCGAAGATGCAACCAAGTCTCTCAGCTTACTGTTGTCGCTGCTCAGCAGGACAGGCCCGCCAGAGACTGTTATCGTAGGTGTCGCCAACAACAATGTCACGGTTACCTCCCCATAGCCTGCAACTGGAGGGTTGTAGGTTGCATTGCAATACCGGAGTCATACCCAGCAACTGATACGCACCTTTGTTCAAAAAAGCACTTCTTAGACATACGCTCTTGCTTTAAAACTACAAGAGACACGTTGCCCCTCGCTGGACCATACCCTTTTTTTTTGTGACCGGAACATTGTGGTGCAAAGTGCTATCTTTGGCCGTATCAGAGAATAACCACCGGAACTTGGATTATCAGGGTCTATGAGAGTTACTCTGTGCGTTTCGAGTAAAGCTTTTGAGAACCGGCAGGCTGAGTTAAAATTTCTAAGACAGGCTCAGCCTGATGGTATCCTAAAGCTAGGCTGCGACTGATTGTGCAAGCAAGAGAAAATGGCTTGTCATGCTTGATAACGCAGAGATCACGACTTGAAAGTCGCTTATAGTCTCCAAAAAGCTACTGATTTGCCCCCTTTCACACTCAATGGAGTTGGTGGATGCATTCAATGGAACTTGTTGAATACCATGGGCTTACGCTGGTCGATATGCATCTTCTCTAATGACACCGCAAGTGAGAGTAGCCAATGTAGAGGCGATAAATGTGCAATTGTCGCCGACTGTACTCGCTAGATTGCATTAATGGCTGGAGAGTCGCTGGCGACGCGGGCCATCTTTATAGGGGATGTGTCTCTATCTTATATACCATATCACCCGCCTCACGCAGTATCCGAAGTAGCAGATACTAGGGAAAGCAGCACATACACATCAACGAGTATTTCATATTTTAGCATCCCCAGCAAGCCCTAGACCTGAGCCCTAACTTCCCAGCGGAACTATTGTTTTCCGCCCTACATGAGAATATCCAGCATGTTGCTTTTCATTCCAAAATTCTACTTTAGATATGCAGCAGTTCGTTCCATTCAATGGTATAAGAACTCGGATAGCCACGTGATATATGCATGCCAGGATATCATGACATACATAAGAGGCGCATGCAGGTTCTCTTGAAGGATTTTCCGCGATCTAAACAACCGACAAAAAGAGTAGTCAAGGTCAGAAGGAAAGAGAGACAGGAAGATAAGAAGATAACGCCAAAAAATAAAAGTGCATCGACCGGGAATCGAACCCGGGGCCCGTCGATGGCAACGACGGATTTTACCACTAAACCATCAATGCGGAGTTGGTGCCTATCCAAGTCCAATATGAGAATATGACTGCTTTAATCTCGAGCAATCACATAAATTCTCCCGAAATGGTGTTTTCACAGAATGCCAGCTACCGGGAGGAGCTCTAGAAAAGATGGGAGGGACCACAAATGCGATGTTGTATAATCACATATCCTGACTTTATTACCAAAGTTTGGCATAGTAATATTGATACGTTTAATTGCTAAAATGCCACCATTTTTATTGGCCTAACCTGGTAGTGTAAAGCTCTTACACTCTGGGGGATACACTCGTTATTTATAGTTAATAAGTACCAGATGATGGTAGTGGTGGGAGGATGTATGTATTTTAAGTACTCTACAGTGACCAATAAGATATATTGTATCCCTAAGTTTATGTGCAGAACAGAGCGTATGTCCCAAAATGCCTATTAGGTTAAGCTGGTAAAAAGGGTGGCATCCTAGCAATTAGGGTGAGAATGTTGATAGTAGAGTCGATCGATACTAGCTCTGTTGCACTTTGACGGATTATACAACTAGCTACCAATGATTCCTAGGCCATAGGATGAAAGCAGAAGTGGTCTCAGAGGAACGGGGTGGGCTTTGGGTTTCCAATTGTTTCGGCATTTCCTCCCTTTCTACCAAGTGCAACGTCAAATTTTTTATAAAGTTGTAGTTTATATGAAAGGATTGGGGTGACATATTATGTTACCAACTTTTGTAGCCTTCACAACCATCGATGGGTTGTCCGGGGAGAACATCCATAGTTGTCATACAAGTTTCCAATGGAGCATGTCCATGCTGCAACAAGTGTCCATCGATTTCACGCTATACGAAAGCGAATAACTCCGCAGACAGAATCGCATTTGGGTTTTGATAGACCCCTGGCGTTCCAAGAACGGGAAAGAAAAAATGTTAAGATTAGGGTATATGTGCAGTGTCGTAGGGCGGACGGGGCTTTCACCCTTACCCCGGTGGCTGGTACCTTTCAAGGAGGTGGGAATTAATGCCGAAGATTGAACGGATTCTGCTCTGCGTATCTGAGTGCCTAATCGGCGACCCTGGAGAGAGTTCACGGATAAAAAGGGCTGAACCGGAATATCCCCTGGGCCGAGGTCGTTGCAGAAAAATTTGAACACTCCCTTCAATAAGTTTGAGACGGCCCTGGGGGAGAAAGGGATCATGGGTTATAGAAAGAATGACAGCAGGTATAATTATATCGTAATAATCTTATGAGCTAAAAGCGCCGTCATGCTGTTTCTCCTGATACTCTCGATGTATCTGGGAATGATAGAGGAATATATGAATATTCTCAGGAGATATGGAAGTGGAAATGACCCTAAATCATCTTCAGATAAGTTAGTAAGCAGCCGTATATTATACTATCTTAAGGATAGACAATATATGTAATATTGATTCCCCACGAGTTTGAAACATAACAGTACCCCACGGCCGGTTTCGTTATATATTTTAAAGGCCGGAGATCTTGCAGAAATCCGAGAGCTCCACTGAAGGAATTTTCGAGAATATCGGCAATATCATGGGCCGGGGTATTTCCAATATCGCCACCGACGTTCCATCTGTCAACAGCCCATCGCTAGGCCTTTCCCGGGGGCCGACTCCAGTGGAGCTTTTTCGGTAGCGTTATCAATCATGTGCAACGACTTCTGGAAAGGAGGTTTTTTTTTTTTTTCTATTTTTTATTTATTTTTTTTGTAATATAATTTGACATGACAGCCCTGCCATTCCGACATTTCGTCTTTTGCAAAAAAAAAAAAAAGGCCGTGGAACCGGAAGCCGAGTAAGACAGCCTGGGTTGTTCCTCTTGAGGGTGTGGTCAAACTGAAAAGTTGGGATAGGGTGCCCATAGCCCTTCGAGACCAGCGTGTAGCAAAACAGTCATGGTGACATCCAACAAGGCCTGAGGTGGCTGGCTGAAGAATGCTTCTGGATACTTAATGGATCGAATAAGGTTGGCGGGAAGATACCCGTACCTTATTACCAACGAAACCCACTTTTGGTTTTTTTCTGGCTACCACGTTTTCTTGTGGTCAACAGCACACTTGACCGAAGTTTTATCGCAACGGTAAAAAAAAATATCTCCGATAATTGATAGAACTGCTAGCAGTAGTGGGTATATGTGACAACAAATTAAGAGAGAAAGCAACATGGGCAGACAGAGGCCATAACGAAAGAACAAAAACGGACATGCAAGTGTATAAAAAGATTGGTAAACTCCAGTTCCCAAAAAAAAAAAAAAAAAAAAAAAAAAAAAAAAAAAAAAATTCCCAGCATACATACAGCCCTGTATATTCCAGATATTCCGGAGAAATAAACATGCAATGATATATAAAAAAAGCATAGACAAAAAATCGAACGGTAATGGTGTAGTAAGAATATTCAAGGAAAACGCCCCCAGATGTTTAATAAATCTTGTAGGTTTATTTTACCATTCCGAACCACCCAGTTTTAAACAAGAAACGAAAAGGAAATTAGAAAGACAGACAAGAAATGTATAATAATACATTGTATATATATGGTATATATGGTGGAGGAAATCAACTCATTGATTATCCTCAGGGAGTGTTGGTATCAGGGCTAGAGAGGGGGTGATCGACCAACACCAGCTCCGGGCCTGATGTTGCTCTCAGCCATTGCCATCTGCGACGTGGGAGCCGTAGATGATGCTGTTTTGTTAAGACCTTGTTTGCGAGTGAGTTTGGCGTAGTGAAGACCACAGGCGTTGCAGAGAGTACGAGCACCGTCAGGTCCTCTTCGCCACTCAGGAGTCTCAGCACGATTGCAGCTATGACAACGGCCAGGCGGGGCAGCCTTCTATATAAAACGTTAGTTAGGGCGAAATGAGCAAAAAAAAAAATAAAATGATAGGTTAAGTATCGGAATGTTATCGCACCCTGCGCTTCTTTTCAAGGCTAGAACTGCCCATAATGTGACCATTGCCACTGGCCAGGCCGCCTCCATTCTTGTACTCATCGCTGTACATGGACATCCGCTCTTTGTCGCGAATGTGATCTGTTTTGAAGATTTGCTGGTGGTTACGCTGCTCGCTTAAAGAGTGTTCATGGGAGATTGCGGCGGAACGGATTCTTTCCAGAATCTCTGCCGTGTGGCGATGGAGGTGGAGCAACTCTTCGATTTCAGCTAGCGAGGGTAGAGAGCTAGCTGAGTCGATTGACTCTGGCCTAGTCGACTGGGGACGTTGCGAACGTGGTCGAAGTATATCTAGTGTACGGGAACTGGTGTCTCGGACCTGTAGATAAGGTTAGTGTTTTTGAACGAGTCCATTCCATGTTAGTACGGGGAAAGGAAATTAACTACCTCGTTTAGAGATGCTCGGACGTCGTAATCATCAAGATGTCTCTTAACTGCGTCACAGTATGGCATCCCGTTACCGTTACTCCTCTGCATTGACTTTACCCCATCCATTGGCGTATGATCTGAAGAGCCAAAATTCCATGTCGAATGGGCGGCCCTGCCTTCGAACGATGGTGGGGGGAAGGTCTGCGAAGGAGGGACACTTCGATGTGATGCGTAGGATGGCGGGTTGTATGTCACCGGTGATACATAGCTTGTTGGCGAAGACACGGCAGTGGACGTTGTAGAAAGCATATCAAAGGAAGGCGCATGAGAAGTACATATGGAAGTCCTGTCAGCAACTGAGCTTCGGGAAGATGATTTTTCCGACCCTATCGAGTGGGCAGAGTGATTCTGCGAGTCCTGGGACCTTATCGAGCTTTCGGACTGAGATGGAGCCGATTGGTGGTGTGGCGGCTGTTGTGAGTTGAGCAGGGAATCCCGCAAGGAAGGCGCCGAGGAATTAGTGGAAGAGAATGGATTCGACGGTCCACTCGGCCCTTCTGCGCTGGGTCCAGCCATGGGATTTGAAGACGACGCCAGGTGACCTGATGTCTGTGAGGGGCCGCATACGGACGACTGGGGATGAGGATATGGGAGTGGGTTGTTTTTGCCCAGAGCCTCGTGGATAGACGGGAGCGACTTTGTGCTAGTAGAGTGAGTGGTAGGAACATCGACCAGCCTGTGCGGACGGGTCGAGGGCGAGATATCGGCCGACGACCTGGACGACGGCGGGGGCGGAGGTGGTTGATGGTGAGTGGGAGGGGAGTAGTTGTATTGCGGCTGACTGCTGTGATACATGCTGGAGGACTGTCGATAGAAGAGATGGGCAGAAGATGAAGAAGCAGCTATTCCAGTCGCCATGGGAGATGGTGTATGCTTGCTCTCGGCTGAATGTGACGAGGTAGAAACCGGGGGTGTGGTGGGAGAGAACGAAAGCTGCTTCAATCCAGGGGTAGAATGGCAGTTTTGAGAGGCGCTGCAGAAGGCGTCCCCTGGACCAGAAGAAGATGAAGTATTAATGGTAACTGGAACAGGCACAGGAACGGCTCCAGACCAGCCTCTGCTTGTGTCGTCTGAGTCCGCCGTGCTCATTCGGTATCACGCGTGCAGTGCGTGCGCAACCCAGCCGGTCTCTCCTTTCGAGAGGAAGGGAGAGGGAAAGGGAGGGGAGCGAGAGGGATCGAGTGTATAGTATATGGACTCTGAATGGATCTTGATAGCGTCCAAGGTTTGTTTTTCCCTTCTACTTCCTTTTTTTTATTTTTTATTTTCTTTTCTTATTTTCCTTTTTTTTTTTGCTCTCGTCCTTTTTCCTTTTTTGCTTCTTGCTTCTTGGTTGCTTCCCGCGCTAAAAAGTTCGACTTTAAAATATGCTCTTGGAAGGGGACGGGAAATAACGTAATCGGTCAACCTTATTTGGTCGATAAGAGCAAAGAGCTCATATTCTGCTTCTTCTTTTCTTTGCTGAATGCGTTTGTAGTTTGGGGAAGAGGGGAATTTGAAACAGTATCTCAAACTACCCGGCGATACGAGGTGGTTCGTCTTCGTCCTGCTCGCTGTTCTGTTTCTGCGAGTACCCCGGTGTCGTCACTTGTCCGTTCACTCTTGAGGTCCCCCCTCTCGAGGGAGAAGCAAAAGCAATGGTGAAAAAAAAAAAGAAAGTGTTGCTGCTTGTTGACAGAGACGAGGGCTTCCCGGTCTCTCTCTCTCTCTTTCTTTTTTCCGGGGAAGAATTATGTCGAATGACAGGCGGTAATCGAGATTCTGTATGTATGTGTATATGTATACACCGCGTGTGTAGATATAAACAAATATCGAAAAGAACCCTCCCTGTATAAAGCTTCGACGGGGTGTCGCAGATTCACGGCCAAGGCGTAGCACGGTAGCCAAAAATTGGGGCGGCGGGCTGGAGCTTGGCCAGATCGAAAGGGACGCCAACAGAAGACCCAACCCGGCAGCTCAGTCGATGAATGAGGAGAAAGAGGCGAGACGAGGGTGTACAAAGATCGTTCTGCCTTTTTTTTATGTACGAACGGGTCTCTTTTTGCGCGTGTGAGGGTTGGATGGCGGGCTGGATTCAGATCAGATCGGATATCAGATTCACACACGCAAGAACCATTCCTTTTTTTCTTTTCTTCTTTTTTTTGGCTTCCGCTCTTTGGTTCTACTTTTTTTTTTTCTCTTGCTCTTGCGGCTGCTGCTCTGGGAGTCTGGAGTCCTCCTGTTCTTTCGACTTATGCAAGGCAAACTGCTGCTGTTTTTATTTCTTTTTGCTGTTCTTGGTTGAGGCTTCGGGATTTGGGGGTTGTTTCTTTTCTTTTTCCCTTTTTTTCCTGTGTCTATGAATGGAGAAGTCGGGAGGGAGCAAGTAGAGAGTAAATAGTTAAACAGAATCAAGAGTAAAGACGTAGAAGTAGTCAGAGTAGAGGAAGAAGGTCGAGGTTTATGAAGTAAAGACGCTTTAACTAATGTACCGGATATTACACACCGTTTCGTGCTTTTTTTCTGCTGACTCCTTAACAAGTTTACGGGGGGCGCCTTTAACATCCCCGAAGGTTTTTTTTATTTTATTATTTGGCACATGTGTATTATATGCGGACTTGATATATGTATGGGATGTTTTTTTTTCTTTTATTGTAAAAAAGAGAGTCTCAGTGGAGTGTGCCGGTCGTTTTTTAGATCAGTCAGAGACACGTTTTTTTCTTTATTTTTGCGAAGGGCCAGTTCACAAGGCCTAGCGTCGGGGATTTACGATCCTTGCAATGAGAGAAAAAGGACGAAGCAAAGGCGGGCGAGGGAGGGAGGAGAAGGGAAAGAAGAAATCAGACATCACGGCAGAGTTGCGATCAGGACGAGAGAGAGCTTACAGATTCATACGAAGATCACACATGACGATGGGTTTGGTGGCGTGGACGAGCAGATAGATCAGATCTCGCGCTCACGCTTCTTCAGTGGGACAAGGAAAGCTACAAGTCTCAAGGAAAGAAAAGAAGAAGGAGAAAAAGCAAACAGACAGACAGATGGCGTGGTGGTTTACCCCCCTGACCTTACGGCAGCCTGCTCTTACAACGGAACCGGGGGAGGGAAGGGTTCCTGGCCATGCTCTGGGACGAACAAGGGGGAAGAGAGAGGGAGAGAGAACGGTGATTATCCCATGATGCGGATGGAGATGGCAGATTTGGAGATTCGGGGGGGACCAGCAGGACGAAGAAGAAGAAGCAAAAAAAAAAGAACGACAGATCGGGAATCCGGCCCGCGAACCATCGAGATTAGGGTCCTTTGCCCCCTAGCAGGGGTTGGATACGAGGGGGGAAGAGAGGGTTGGTTGACCTTGCTCTCTTCAGCGGGAAGCTCGATCGAAAAAGAGAGCGTCGCTTCGCCTATACATAAAACGGTGTTTATACTGCATAATATACGCCGTCAAATACGCACTAGTTGGATTGTCCATGCACGATAGCAATCCGGCCAGATGGAAGGCGGATGTGGCGTGGATGTGCGGACATAGCGTCGTACTATGTACAGCAATACATGTACAATTTCTCTCTTCCTGTCCTTCCTTGGAAGACCGGTTGAGCCGCTTGGTTTTGATGGAATTATGTGTATGAACTTGCTCCGAGACACGGACACGACTCGACTCCGTGTGGACAGGAGAGGAAAAAATGGGGAGGGAACGAATGGCTAATGAAAGAGAGAGAGAAAGGGACAATATGGGACACGGGGTGGATTTTGGACCGCTGATCCAGGAAAGCTGTCATGACAAGACATCTGTTGTCTGGCTTGCTCGCTGATCAGTCTGAAAAATAAAATAAAATAAAAGGCAGCATCATCAAGTCAGAGACGACGAGCACTCGCATATACGGAGTACGACAAGGCCTGGATTATCTTTTCACACTCGGGAATATTCTCTCCCTGGTTCCCCATCCCACTAGAACCGAACCCGAACTGAAAAAGTAGCGGAAAATGGAAGTGTAACAATAGGAGGTGAAGCCGAATATCTGGATCCAAGTTGCCAGCTGGAATGCTAATAGCATATACCTATGGGCCCAACAAACAACAAACAACACGCAACACAGGAGCAAGTCAAGCCCCCGAAGGTGAGACAGATTACCTATTACAATCGCTGTGCTGTAATAATTGGCGGAAATATATACAACTAGCCCATTGGCGGGTGGATTGAAAAATATATCCAGGCACTCGGGATTGCTTGAACCATGGCTCAAACCCAGGCCAGGTCAGCAATTGTCACTATTATTTTTTTTTTATTCCTTTTTTTTTATACGCCGTTACATCGTACAGGAGCAGCCATCCATACGCGAGTGCGCATGATGCTGTCGTTGTACAGAATGTTATATCTCACCTTCCATCCCTATCAACTCCGAAAGCTGTTACACCGAAGATCGAGATGTACTCCGAGCCATGGAAGGCAGATTAGAACAGAGACAGTCAAGATCTGAGATTGCAGTTGTCGCATATACACAGCCCTTTTACTTTTTTTTTTTTCCATTTTCCATGTGTTCGGACTTTCAGGTTTGTCAAAAAGCAAATCACTCTATATATAACTAACAGGGTTTCCGGCTGTTAATTTTATGGAGAATGCACAGGATCACAGATATATATATTTTATGCACTAAGGCTGCATGCTAACTTTACTGTCTTAGATCGGAACATACGATCGATCGGGCTTACAGGATGCCCACACACAGCATGTTCTCTTTCTCCATTCCGCTAAGCCTGATCAACGGGCCGCCTCACCAATCTGGCAGGTGAGCAGGGGAAATGCTGAGAAAGATGGGCTCCCTTCTTGTTCCTTATATATACACACACACACACACACACAACGTTTATATATCCACCCCGGATCGGAGAATGAACCCATCGTCAAGACACGAGAACGAGGGAAGAAGCGGGCTCGGGTTCCAGAAGTTCTGTCATAGTCTTACGTCTCAAACCTGCTTTCAGTCCCCTTTTTTTTCCCTTTTGCGCATATGCTCCGTATATATACACACAATATATACTTAGGTACATTGCTGCTGGTCCCAGGATGCAACAGGATGCATATTGTCAACGGCTGAGCCTGCCAAGGGCTTCTAGGGATCTTTCCCGCCTCCCCAATCCATGAACCCATTCCCCATTTCCACATGAGAAGGATAAAAAAAAAAAACCGCATGCGGAGGATGTCGTCATATGCATCCAGAAAACGAAGGCTCCCCGGTGGAGAAGAAAGACGAACAGAGTGGGAGGGAAAAAAATGACATGTCCATCTCAACGGTCATCTTGCGCTGCCGCCGCCGTTTGGTTTCAAACCCGCTTTCGTTGCAATGGGCGAGGCGAGGAGCGAAAATACCGAAAAAGAAATAAAAGCAGCTTTCCTCTCTTAATGGCCGGGGTCTCACCTATAATCTGGCCTACCTATATTTCTGCTTTGTTGAAAAAGATAGCCATATCATGCATTTTATTGGCGGAAAGCGATGCTTCCGAGTGGTGACCTGGCTATAATATGTCAAACAAATATAATATTAGGCCATCGATATTATGCAAAAGGATGGCTTTTCAACTTGGTCAACAAGAGCGAACCCTGAATGAACCCTGCCAATAGCCGAAAGATCCTCGAACATTGTCTACACGGTTTCCATCCCCCGAGGCAAGTTATGCCAATACACTTACGTTATATGTTCAAGCCAGCCACGAGTATGGAAATCTTGATTTTACAAACAAAATAGCCTCTTTCCAACCATTTAAATTATACGAACGATGGGATGCAATCTCCCATCTTTCGCCTTTCCCACATGTTTCTGACATGGTCTTCATCCCTGTTGGTGTGATGGAACAAGACAGATTTCATGCAAGATGTAAGATGTTAGCTTCCAAGCTTTCTCGAGTCGATACAGTGACTATCTGCTCATTTGCTAGCAGCCGCAGCGCCTCCCTTCTTATCTTACTGCACCGAAGGTCTAGGGCTTTCTTCTCTTGTGTTCTCGCATAAAGCATAGAACCCGCACATATATACTCCGTAGAGCATCACGCCTTCTCAACTGCCACACTGCATCCTCAGTTGCGTCTCCTTAATCCCCCCTCCTGCATCGCATCGTTCCTCTGACCACCAATACCGTCACGTAACCTAGATTAGGTTGATGCAGAATCCCCATCCCGTCTCGTGTTCCCTGGTTCTTTCAAAGACTCGAAGCTAGACATGGGGAAACCACATGCACAGCCAAGTTTAAAAAAAGGAGTAAGCATGAAAAGGAAAAAAATTTCCCTAATAGGGGCGCCTACCGCGCAAGCAGGGGACGGGGAAGAGGGATGCTGCAGAACCGTTCCCAACCCAATCACGTCAGACGCTTCGAGGCCACTTATATAATATAAAAAGACCGTTGTTCTCGGGATTTGCAAGACCTGTTGGCATCTCTCTTTCACTTCTCTTCCTTTCTTCTCGACTTTCCACTGCCTCGTTCTCGTTTTGGAGGGAGAAACCCGAGAAAAGGGGGCAAGTCTTCCCTGGGGCAGTGCATCGTCATTAAACCGATTTAGGATTGGGCCTACAATCGCTAAAAAAAAAAGTAGGGAATAATATTGTTATTCCTGTGCTATATCATCCTGCTCTGGCTCCCCTCGGTATCACCATCCGATGATCGGGATTTGCAACTTTGCAATCCCTGCGAATCGTATCTCATCTCAATCTTCAAAACGAAAACGAAAACCATAACTTCTGATTCATAAAACCGTAAAAAAATAAATTTGCCCTGTTTCTTCTCTCTCTCTGCGCAGATTATTATCTATTATCATTAGATAAGAATTGGTTAACACTGATAGTAAATAGCCTTACTCCATTAAGGCCTAAGAGGAGAAAAATCCCCGAAGCATGATTGATAGTCTTCTTTTTTCTTTTCTTTTCATTGTTTTCATTCTGCACAGGCCTGCTCTGCGTGGGGTTCCCTGTTCAGCTTGGCTCTCCGGTCATGACTGTGGTATCTGTTATATCTCCTAGCTTATAGATGGGAAATCAATAAATCGACATCTGCACAGGGAGAGGGGGAAAAAGAGAAGAGAGAGATGGCGCTCTAAAACAAAGAGACCCCGTTCCATGGATATCGAACGATCGATGGGTATCACAAGTATGCTCCGTATTATAGACAATAATTGCACAATATAATGGACTGAGCAGCGCCCAGCCATCGACTCTGCGCCGCTTCAACCTTCCGGCCGGACTTTCGGACCTTGATAGTTATCAGATAATGCGTACATATATGTGAGGATGCAGGGTGGCCCGGCCGTTTCATGGCGTGAAGATCCTCTTGGGGGAGCAACAGTGGAGGAGATTTAGGCTATGCTTGCCCCTGACTAGCCGGAACAGCATGGGTTGGATTGACGCAATGAGAAGGGAAAAGAAAAAAAAATTGTCAGTTTTGCCTTCGATGTCTGTATTGGGAAACACGCATATATATATTTTTTTTTTTCGTTTTTATCAGATAGCAAGCTATGCTCCAGTCAGCCCGGTATCCCTAAGCCAAACCCGACTCCAGAGTACATTGACTGCATTGTATCATATCACATTAGACAGGAGGGAAAGCAAAGAAAAGAAAAGAAAAGAAAAGGCGGGAAAGAAAAAAGACGAACGAGGGGGTTTAACTGGCTAGAAGTACTCTGTACAAGGGTGGTGTCCTGAATAGAATATTGAGAGAAAAAAAAAGGAAAAAGACAGTCAGAAAAAGCAAACCTTTCAGGCCTGTCAATTGTCAGGAATTGGTTTACCTGAATTTCCCTTCATGGGAGGATTCAAGATCGGCAGCGCTGGAGACGCTCTGGACATCTGCCGCGGTTGGACCGTTGTCAACTTCCACCGGATCGTCCTCGAGATTCTCCTTGGTGTTCACTGGTTGGTCCACCTTTTCCCAATCATCGTCATCTTCGAGATCTCGGGCTGTGATAGTGCTATTATCAGGAGACAACTTGGCCTTCTTTGCTGTGGAACCGCCAGCCTGAGTCACCGGTTCAGATGTTGGCGCATCAGGAAGACTGGCGGCGAGGATCTCTGGGGCGTGTGGACCTCCTACTTCGGTTTTTGTCTCTTCCCTGGTGGTTGAAGAAGGTGGAAGATCTTGCGCAGTGGGAGGGAAATATTGCCTATAGAGGCAAATTAAGCATATTAGCTGGTTTCTTTCTTGGGTTCATTACCCACGGTGGAGCAAGTTAAAAAGAAAGGTAGACTATATATACGTACGGAAGGAGCATATCATATGCCTTGACATCTTTTCTTTCAAAGGTGCAGAAGATGACCCTCTCCAATGACTCGGGATGGGACTCGAGGAACTCCCTAACCACCTTGATCGCCACGGCGGCTGCCTCGACGCTGGGATAGCCATAGACTCCGGTGCTGATCGACGAAAAGGCGATGCTCTTGGCTCCGCTTGCAACTGCAAGTTCCAGGCTGCGTTGATAGCAGCCTCTCAGCAGCATCTCTGGCCTACGCACGTCACCCCGACCACCTCCACGAAATCTCTCCATCACATATACCGGTCCCACAGCATGAACGACCTTCTTGCATGGCAATCGATAGGCATCGGTGATCTTGGCATCACCCGTCTGGCATCCGTCAAGTGTACGACACTCACGCAGCAGGTTTGGGCCTGCGGCTCGATGGATAGCACCATCGACGCCGCCGCCACCGAGGAGGGATTCGTTCGCAGCATTAACGATACAGTCGACTTCTAGCCGGGTGATATCATGAGTTACATGGCTGATGATATCGTTGAATCGCTGTGAAGCAGTAGAGATTTGCGGGGTAGCCGCAGCTGTAAGATGTCTGAGGCGATAGAGCAGAGACAGGGTAGGGATTTCTCCCAGTGGGAGAATACCAGACGCCATGATCTCTCTTCTTGCTGCTATCTTTCTCTCTTTCTTTTTTTCTTTTGTCTATTGCTGAGAAGTTCACGGATAGCTGTTTGTAGGCAGAACAATTCTAGACAAGTTATGACGTTTGTATTCAAGAGCAGACGAATATCAGCAGCACAGAGCCATTCACTCCATGTATTTCTCGTATCTTAGCATCTGCTGGCTATCTTGTTGTGTCTTCCTCTTCTTCCTCTGTCTGCCTCTTCCTGGTTGTTCTTTTGTTTATTCTGAAGCTTCATCTTCATCACTTTGGAAGCTTCGAAGCTCTTGTGGGGGTTGAAGCTATCACGTGATCGACATAACGGAACGGCTTTTCGTATCACCGAAATATAACAATATTTACATACGATTCTATATAAATACATAATAAGAAGAAGATAAAGATGGAAGACACAAAAGAACAAAAGAGCGGGAAGAGATCTCAGGGGGTGAGCTGTAGCAGGCTGTGACAGACGGCCCCTCAGGAGAACCTCGGCTTTTTTGTCTGTTTATACACGGATGAGGTGCATATCAGACCTGTAAGACAGCTTGCTTCAACCACAGACTTCCCGGAAATATAATGTAACTAAGTATACAGACATAGTATTGTTTCACTGGCAGGGCAGATCTGATGGATCTCACGAAAGTCACCGTGAAGAAGCTTTTATTCATCATCTAAAACCCTGTCCTTTCACCGCAATATCAAACGGCCAGCTATGCATAACAAAAGGTAAGCATCGAACCCCTTTTCTGACGTATACAACATATATACACAGACCTATAACAGAGAAAGAAACAAATGAAAAAAAGAGATACTAAAAGAGGGAAAAAATACATATATAACACTCATATGTATACATACTAGGAGTCAAATCCCCCACAAAAACGACCCACTGTCTGGCTTGTGGATCGCGATGCGTGGCTGGAAAAGTCGTTTATATACATCGTCTCCCGAAAGTTAGAACGAACCGTTGACACCAAGGTCTAGCGCTTCGTCTTCTTCATCTCCGGGAAAAGAAAAAAAAAAACAAGACGACTCGCTTGCAAGGGTGAGGTGGCAGGGCGTGTATAGGGTGGCATTCTACGAACAACTAAGGGCGCCTCCAGGCCAAACCAAGTGGAGAATATGGGCCATTCCCTGATAATAAATCAGGTAAGCTATATCTCTATCCAGTTATATGACCTCTCTTTCTTCCTCCGGCTAGACCTACCGGCAAGGCGTTCCAGGACTAACGATTCTGCTCAGGCCATTCGACGTATGCGGGAAAGCCTCTTTCCAGAATTCCTTCTTTGGGGGCGTTGCTCGACCAAACTTGCCAGCTGAGACTGATATTCGACTAAAGCACCCGATCGAAGGTTGGTCTGACCCGTGTGAGTCCAGGCTAGGGAATACTTTCCCAAAGCAGGAGTGCTTCATATAGAGGACACTTCATATATGTTATCACTGGGGACATATACTTCTTTTTTTTTTTTTTTGTTTTTTGGTTTTTGACTCTGCCAGTTGTCGATTCAACTTGCTCGAATCAGATATTAACCCCCTTTTCTTTTCTGTCCCTTTTAACACATGCTTCCAACTCTCCCGAGGAATTCAGACTTTGGGATTTTCTAGCTTCTCAAGCTGGTGGAGATCTTAAAAGACCATCGCCTATTGTTTGTTGGCGGTATCCGTTGACACGGTTTCTCTGATCGTTCTGGTAGGTGTCCTCGTTTCATCATTGGTTTGCACAACTATTAAGCAAATCTGGCTGTCGTCGATGGAGTGGCGGGTTCCTTTCTCTTACAGGGCTGTTAAGTCGCCGGCTACAGGTCAAGATTTGCAGCTAGTCTTCTCAAGGCAGGTCGATGTTGACTTACCTCCAACCCGCACTCATTTCCCCAATGTTTTCATGTCTGCTACCTCTCTCGCTCCGTATCAACCGAGGCCTGGTTGGAGTGGTGTGGCAGCTTGCAATTTTTTATATTTTTTTAACAGAGAAGCCGGCTCTCTCTACTTGACTCGGCCATCCCGAATTCTTACGTGTACAGGGTCTGGTTGTATCAATCTGTCCGTGTCATATGTAAACGTAAAGACTGGGTTTGACCATATACATACAGGAGACCATGAAGATGCCATGTCGGAAGTTTAGCTGCATGACAAGGCGAAAGACTTGCCCCAAAAATGTTTCATGATCCTCCAAACCTGGGATTCGGATTTCCTGGGTTTCTCTCCCAGGCGTCCCGAACGATTTTTGTCCCACCACATCAGCTGCTGTGTGCTTCAGGGCTGCATTCAGCTGAGGCGGCACGCCTTCACAGCCGCAAGAAAGCTGCCAACCAACCGATCTATGGTTGTAATGATACATTACACAGCAAGGAGGCGACAAGGGGGCCAAATCCCCTTGTCCAATGTTATGCTGCATCACAACCCTCGACCGAACTGGCGCCTTCTTTTTGCTCCAGCGTCAATAATACCTCGCCTGCCGCCTCCCCTCCCCCAGGCCGCAAAAAAGAATCCGGGGAACCATTTGCACAGACTCATGGGCGGTGAAGAGGTTTCCAGGCTCCTTGACACTATCAGTTTGGACAATCCAAGCGCGGAAAAAAGAATCCGTCATCCTCATGAAGTATACATGGATGCGGCTCCCTCAGTTGAAAGATGCTAATCCCAGCAAAAATGCAAGAAGATCACATAAGTACGTACGGAGTTGGATTATTCTATCATTTCCCTTCAGCGCTCTCCCTATGCAATTATGAAGTTACACGGCGCCTGATCTGGTTTGTTACATGCATTATGCTTGCTGCTATCGCTTGGGACAGTATATTTTCTTTTTTGTTTGAGGATGGGATTATCGATTGTGGCTCAATACCATCATCAAAAGAACAGCTCCAAGCGTACGCTGGCTTACCCGCTCCCTGAAGCCAGTGTTGAGGATCAAAGCACAATCTTTTATGATCACCCTTGTTTTTTATGAATATTCAAAGAGGAAGACAGGGTGGCCACTGTCATAATATTTGTTCTGGGCCATCTTCTAGCTATGGGGCGCTTGCTCATCATTCGACCGGAGTATGACTTACATTCGATGGATTCGATGGATACCTAGCAATAATTGCTTGTGTGTGAGAGCAAAAGCAAATAGTGCAGTTCGATACGGTTTTGGATAGTGATTACTATACTTCCCGAAGTCTGCAGTGTGTTGGCGACCACCCTACCGCGAAGTAAACTTCAGAGCTATACTACATAGTATGGAGCGTATATATTTCGATCCAGGCCAGATTGTAAGTTGTACACCATCCTTCAGGCTGAAGAATATTATATTTCTTTTCTATCAAGGGGGAAAAAGGAACGAAAAAAGGCGGGGGTACATCCCGAGGTTGGATCGGCTGGACGATCCTCGATTGTGCACAAGTCTTCACTCGGAGAGTTGATCGAGATCTTGCATCCTTTTTTTCCCTTTTCTACCTCTTCTTTGTTGGCTGCAGGCATAGCCCAATGTCGTATGCTCGAACAAACGATAGTCGATTCGTTGGTTTTGGTTATCTATCGACAGAACACAGACGAAGAGGGGGAGGCAATTTAACTTTCATAACTGAACGCCATCGGACTGCATGAATCTTCTCGCCATCCTGCTTGTGGAGAGGGGAGGAGGTTTAGAAAGGAGTAGAAGGGTTTTGCATATAGATATGGTATTGAATCAAGAAATATGCAAATCATCAAGCGTAGGGCATTGTAGAAACCGATTATCCTCATATAGAGTATAACCTTGGAAAAGGTGCTAGGTTGATATAATTAGTTATGAGCCTTAGATATAATAAAAATACAAGTAAATAAATAATCTCGTTGGAATATCATACATATCTTCCACCTGGTGGCGGTCTTCCCCACCAACAGTAACGTGTTACTATTCTTCAAGAAGAGTAGACGGAGCAAGTCGAACATCACGGCTAAGCTTGGCTCTGCTCGCGCCTTTCTCCAGAAGAAGCTTTGCTGTTGCTGCCTTATTACGAACTGCGGCAACTGCAAGAGCAGTCATATTGCGGTCGTCTCTCTTATCAATGGGACAGTCTGAATCGAGCAAAACCTGAACAGCATCAACGTAATCGTTAAACGCTGCCCGATGCACCAGATAGCAGTCCCATTGCCCTTTCGGCCATTTCCATGTGCGAGTATCGGCAATGGCCTTGAGAGCAGGGGCATTACCAGCCATAGCTGCCAACTCTATAGCTCTTGCAAATTGTAGTTCTGCGAAAATATGTGGATTCAAACTGTGTCTAACCATTCGATTAATGGTGCTGACTTGGTTCATCAGAACAACCCGCTCGAGAGGTGTATGGGTGACATGTATGCGAGTCACAGGGGTAGTATCCCAAAAAGTTACCGGGGCTTTATACGCGTACTGGGCAGGTGAGATATAACCAATCTTCGGCCATAAGTAAGGCTTGGGTATAAAAATGGTATGATTGCTGCATGAAGACTCTTGTTAAAGCGAATAACCTAGCTTAGATCTATTGCATCCAGCTCTGCAGCAACCATACACAGAGTTTCCGTGGAGAGACTCATAAGTGTAACCTCCCCAGATTTGTGATCTTGTCCATGAATGTAGGCCATTAGTAATAGTTTAACTATATAACAAAATTGGTTAGCATATATGATCAAATAAATATACCTATAGGGTTAACCTATAGAAGAGGGATAAACATGCAGATGTTACTCATATTCACACGCGTTGACGCTAGTTAAAGCCTTAGTATTCACCACTCCAAGTTAGGTAATATATCATTATATATTCTGGAGTTAGAATGGTATAATAGAGAGTGTAATGAAGAGAGTGCCTAGGATATCCATATAGGCTGTAAGCCAGGACTGGCGTAGTACCCGAGTATAAAAGCACTTAGAGAGGGGGAGGAGTGGAGTAAAGAGCATAAGAGTCTTTTTTTGTTTCTGAATAACAAGAAGCTGTATAGCTTACGTGATGGTGGATATAATAAGTCTCTTGGTCGGGACTGAGCAGCAGAAATAGTGTTCTTCTGCTATACTAAATGTATTCAAGGTTGATATATGATGCTCTGATATAACAGTAGCAAATGGGGTATTGAGGAAATATCCTCTGCTATTGTAGCCTTGACCTTTACAACCATCACAATAGCACTAGTTAGCCTATACTGTTGTAGTAATCTTTATTTCTGTGGTATTATAGCCATCAATGGCATCTCGTAGCAACGTAGAACTGTCAACTTGATATTCTGTCGTTCGGATCTAAGTTCCAGAACTAGCTATGCCAAGACTTATTATCTTATCAGATCTGCAACTTCAGATTGAAACTATCTCGCAAAAGGCTTATAACATGAACGTCAAAGAGCATGAAAATATAATAACAATAACCCCTCGGGACAGGGGACATTCTTATACTCATGTTATCTTTATTAAATAGATTTTTTATACCATCGGCCACTCGTCTTCCTCGATCGACCCTCGGAAAAATAAACATTGGTGGCTGTTATCTCTCGCCAGTGCTATCGCATTCGAACACCACTCCTTTAAGACCTCAATCTCCCCCGTCCACGCCCAATCTCAAACATAAGCACAGTTCTGCCTATTCATCCAGCTACAATTGCTCAAAGTCCAAATATGATGGCCGGAGCAATAAGCATAACGCCGGCGGGCCGAGATACTTCTTTGGCAGAAATGCAGCACTCGGCACGATCCTCATTACGATCCAAGGATTAGCCCTCTTTATCGTCTTCCGCGAACATGTTTTGGATGTGAAATGGATTAGTGGCGCATCTATGTCGCCGTATTTGAATAAGGGTTACAATGTGGACAATATCGATAGTGAGATGGTGTTGGTTGATGTCACATATGCCACGAAGCTGCATTTACAGAGGGGTATGGTGGTGGTATTTCCGTTAGTATTCTCCTATTTACCCATCTTTCATATAATTGGTGCTAACTAATATTTATTTAGATCATTACGCGGATCTAATTCCACCACCGAACCGAGTAAACTTTCCGTGAAACGTATCATAGCGCTTCCAGGGGACATTGTCACTACACGACCGCCCAAGACCGGTGAGAGGGGCCAGAAAACCCAACTTGTACCTTGGAATCACGTTTGGGTCGAAGGTGATGCTACTGACCCTGACCTATCTTTCGACAGCAACACCTATGGACCTATATCAATGGGCATGATAAAGGGTCAGGTCATGTGTGTCCTACGGCGAAAGTGGAGGACTTTAAAATGGTGGGAGTGGGAAAATGAAGACGACCTTGTCGAGAGTGGAGGAGACCACGGAAAGAGCCAAAGAATGAGGGTTAAGAAAGATGCGGTTACTGTTTACGATCCTAATACCAACTAATTGTTGTAACGGGCCTATGTTTCAATATTTTTATAAGATAATTATATGATGGCGAATATACAATATACAAACGCAATCGCTCCTATTAAACGCTCAAGTTACCGATAATTGCAATATGACAACCGGAATCATACCAAAATGCCCTCTATAAACTAATATGCTCTGATAAAGATAAGGCTCGGGGAGGTGGGACGCATATTTGGTCATTTTTCTGGCACGATCCTCATATCCTCCTGCTGTTGCAGCCTGTCGATTTCCGTTTCAATAGCCAAAACCCACAAATCTCGCTCTGCTCTACTTCGAGCCTTGAATACTATTGATCTCCCTGATGTCCCGAGACGAGAAACATGCCTCCATTTTCGCTTCTTCTCTTTACCTGCCCTTTCTTCCTCTCCATGGAAAAATACTTTGCGGGTACTGTTCCAAATAACAAAAGTTGTTGCTGTATCTTCATCAGCAGATGTCCAGCCGTCTGATAGATATATACGTGGCGTTGAGTTGTGGCTTGGGTGGTTGTTGTTAAATGTCTGACTGTGGTATAGTAAGTCAGAACTAGTAATAATACCACTATACAGATAACAATCACGTAAATCGAGGACGGTTTGTCTAGACTGATGAGTGTGTGGTATCTGTTCCCCTGAAAATGCCCTAACCGAACCTTGGAAGATGAGCAGCTGGCCTTCAACAAGGATGACGCTGCATTGTGAAAATGAACCGCGTCTGCGAGGTTTACGGTAGAGGTGACCAGATCTCTAATATAATGTCAACGCGTTAATCTTGGAGAGAATAGTGTAAGTGGTCCAGGACATACCTTGATTGCCCGGCATCCAGAGGGGCCACAAACATTAAACAGCTCAGGAGAGGCCTCTGCCCGTGCTACCTCCCACTTTTGTGCAAACTGTCCAATAACTGACTCCTGCTCTTCATCTATATCAAGCCTTTCCAAATTGTGCTGCCGAACTGATTTCAAGGTATTGATATCGGCCTTCGTCCGAGACTTCCAGTATGTAGCCAATTGGCCCATCCTGCAAATCCAAGCATCACGGGTTCGATTGTTATACGCTCGCAATCTAACCACCATTCCATCGTCAAGTATAAGCTCAAAGATATTGTCACTGGCAGTACCCGAGAAACTACCGTTGACATGGCTGTTTCTGACCTGGCCCCGGGTTTCACCAGAATTATCATCATTATTATTCTGATGTTCCATATTTTCTACGTTCGACAAAGCCTTTATTTCAGACACTCGGCACAGATTGACATAACCTTCTGCTTGGCTAAGGTTGTTGGTATTACGTCGATTTTCTGCGAACGCAATCTGATCACGGTACTTAGCGTATGACTTGTTGTTATTGCCGCTGCATAACCATGAAATCTTTCCATCTTGAACCGGATATGGGTCAACTTCGTACATAACTGGTGAGCCCCTAATAGTTTCAGAAGCCGTAGAAGAATGGGTGTTGAGTACAGTGGGAAGCTTCGGAGCGTGGGGAGTAGATGCCTTTGTTGGTTTGCAGAAGCAAAGGTATTGGTCTTCACTGTAAAAATATAGGCGTTTAGAGAAATCCTTGCCCCAACGTCGGTGGGTACCTTGTTGGGATGTGAGGAGAATCAAGAACCCTTCAATTGGGGAGGGCTCTTCCATCGGTGCTTCGCATGATTCCACGGCAGTGTAGGTTGGATAATGCCGTTTCGGGCGTAGCTCCAAGTCATGTGAAGTTCTCATTGCCATCGTTCCATACATTCTCTCTTCATTTCCTCCCTGAATCCACTCTATTCGGTCATACCGCCTCCATGCTAATCCAACTTTTTCGGATCTCTTCCAGACATCAAGAATCTGGGACCACTCAGCACATTCAGACAGTGATTCCATACAGGTACGTATTATTCCAGTAGACACTGCCTGTTCTTCGCCCATTGTATTAAGAGAACCTTCATTCTCGTCGTATTTATCTTTTGCAAGGTGTACAAAAGGATTTTGTAGAACAAGAGAGACACCAAGGTCAGGGGCGTGAACAAATAAGCTAGAGGGTTGTTTCCAGCCCAAAGTCTTCCGGATGAAGGTATACCATTCCACTGAATGTGCGGCAGCCCGGGCCCTCATAATGAATATACGAGTACCATTCGTCTTAGTAGGGTGCCAGACAACAACTGTCTTATCCAGGGAGGAAAAGAGGTTTACATTGGCCTGCCCTTGGATAAGCCTCACTTCATGAACATATTTCTTCTTCATTTTGGTACCTTGGATCTGTGGTATCACGCGTGTTTTGTAGAATTGAAGAAGATATGGAGTTTGTTCATCGTAACCTTGCCGGCAAACAACAAGATATTCCCTCCAATTTTCCACTGGTCGTGTCTCTATCTTGAGGCTAGCATTATCATTATAAAAATTGGGTACTGTTTGTGCTGTAACGTCAATACGAACCAACATCTTCTCTGCTCTTAGGACCTCTCCATTTTGGCGAGCTTGGCGTTTTTGTCTTCTACTTGACCTAGAGTCGCTAGATAGGCCCAAATGGCCCTGTAGCCGACGCTGCCCATGGTCAAGCCTCTCTTCTACCCCAAAGCGAACTCTGTCGGAAATAACACGCCCAATAAGTCCATGATCTTGTTGGGAGTTAGCCAATTCGGCTTCGGTCTGATCGATTTCTCCACGGGGTTCTTGAGGTTGCAATTCTTGCGACTGGGTTTTTATCTTCCTACGGCGACCCGAGGTAGCAGATGGCTGCTTATTATGAGATATTAAGGATGATTGTGACCCAGTGTCAATTCCTACTACTGCACCATCAGCAGTTGATATAGCCGATGCACCAGTAGTGGTTGCATAGCTATTTCTATATGGCAATGAAGAGGAACTTGGAAATTCGCCACCTTCAGGATTCCTTAGTTCTTGCGATTTGGTTTTCGTTCCTGCTAGAGTGTCGACTTCGGGTCTGGTTGATTGGGTTTCGATGTCGGGAGCGGTGAAGTAAGCTTCGGGGACATTGTCATCTGATGACATGCGTACAACGGGGCTAGAATTTGTTGCAATAGGGCTATTTCGAGGCCTCGATTGGCCTTGTATGCGCTTTATATTTGGATGAGAAAGTCCATAGTGTGCCACATCCTCGGCATCCTCATCCTGACGTTGGACCTCTCGAGCAACATCTATAGATTTGATTATCCTGGGGTCCACACGGCCGCCCCCCGAAGATTCTCCGGCAGTTCTATCGTTCCCTACAGGCTCTTGTAGAGTTTGGCTGTCTTCGTCTTCCGCCTCAACATCATCGGGCTGTGGGAAGCTCGGTCGGAATCTTGTAAGAGCAGATGCGCCCATGAACTGAGTGGATTGACGTTGGTACCCGACAGATGTGTCGGCTGAAAAGGTTTGGTTACGAGACGAATAATCTCTGATCCCGAGGCATGATTTATACCAATTTCTTCGACGATTTTGTCCCCAGCCCTTAGGTAATGGCCCGATAAAGAAGCGTCGATTTGTGATATGCAGGTGGTCAGGCGATGCGTGTTGCTGCCCTCCCGAATGATTAGGATCAAATCAACTATTCGAACTCGGGGAGCTCCATACCAATTTCTGGGCTGTGAATGAACTGCATTCCAAGCCGTCGTGGTTCTCTTGGGTTGGGGGCCAAGAGCTAACAGTTGGAACCTGCCTTTCGCCAGGTGGACCAGCGGAATCCATTTCCCCATTAACGATCGGACGGCCTTATCTTCCGGAGAGGAAAGGGTTACGGTAATTTCTGAGAGGCATTGGAGGCTAGCATGACGATATTCGTTCCAACTGACGTGGATTGCTGTGAAGTCGGACAAAGCAGACATGAAAATAAGGTCTTTTCTGTTTTGGATTTTAGGTTTTCCATTATGACGTAAGGCGTCAAACATGGGATGGTCCGAGCTTCCATCCAAGTTTGCAGTGTTTGCGGATCCCCTGCTGACGTAATATAAATCATTGTCTTGGAAATTTAAACGCCCCGCCAAAAGGGCAAAAGGGGAGGGAGAGGTTGACATTTCATGTTTACATGTCCTCTTTGAACAACTCTCTGCAGATATCAGAGAGGATTAGCTATTATCACACAAGCTTTCACCAAAAATACCCTCAGCAGCCATGGCTTCTACTTCTGTAGCCCCCGAGGGCGGCACATGGCTTGACACCATGAAGAGGTCCTTCAAGGACGTGCCCATCGACGAGTCCAGTGATAATGCTATCTCAACCACGGAGTTCCTTGAAGCTGCGGAGTCTCTGGTTAAGCTATTTGGTAGCTCTGCCGCCACTTGAGATTCCCATACAGATATACTAACTAGTACCGTTTTTCTCTGACTGCAGATATCCTTGGTTCTGTCGCTTTCACCCCCGTTAAGAACGACTTGCTGGGCAACATCAAGGTGTGCTCTTGGTCTCATTCCCAGGAAATATCTTCTATAGTAAGGTGCTGATGATAAATGTCCTTTTGCTGTAGAAAATCCGAGACCGCCAACTTGCTGCCCCAGCAGAGTCCGAAACCCTCCAAGCCCTTGTTACCAACGAACTGAAGGCAAAACAGCACAAAGCCACCGAGGGTATGGTCTGGCTTATCCGGTAACTATGCCTGAAGCCTTAAGAAGTTTTTATAAACAAACTTGCTTACAAAGGAACAAAACATAGCGGCCTTGATTTCACTGCCCAGGCTTTCAGCAAGAATCTTGCTTCGGATAGTGACGAGCTGTCAACCTCCTTCCGAGAGGCATATACAAACACCTTAAAGCCGCATCATAGTTTCGTGGTGAAACCTATCTTCAGTGGTGCTATGTCAGCAACTCCGTATAGGAAAGACTTTTATGCGAAGTTGGGGAAAGACGAGCAACAAGTTCATGCCGCAATGAGAGCCGAAATCGCTGCCTTGGAGAAAATAGTAACCATTTTGAATGAGTTCTTGGCAAGGAAAGAGTGTAAATGGTAAAGACATTCATTTATCTTAGCCTAAATCTTCTCCCTCTTTTATACCGGAGATAAAAGAGTACTTGTTAAAAAGCCTTCATGATATTTACCCGAACATAATATACAAATGAAGACCTTTACCTATAGGAACGAGCTCGCTATGCCTCTTACTTTAAACAAGTAATACCGGGTGTAAGTCTCTGAAGTGTACTGCACAGGCTTTCGTTTTCATTGAATTGTCATGGCTTACAAGTATCAATGGCTGAATAAATCGTGCAGATACTTCCTCTTTAGTTTCTGGATAATATGTACTTGATAACATAACAGGATAAAGTAAGGTAAGAAACCCCTAAAGCTCTGTCCGAAGGTGTTATAAAACTCCACGTAAAATAAACAATCAGAAATGTAGACGGCCGTCAACGGCTGTGACAGAGAGGAAATAAAAATGGATAAAGTGGAAGAAAGTGTTTTTCAACTGATCAAGCTCAGTTCGCCTCGCTCTACAACCAATCGAATGACCTCCTTGTTCAAACCACCCCAATGCTTCTTACCTCTTAAGAACCAATATAACATAGCAGATAGCGTGCTAAATGCAAAAATTGGCAAGGAGTAGTTCATATTCTGTGCCGTAACTGGCAGTAGTGAGGGGAAAGGTAGCCAGATTGTCACATATGCAGTATAAACCATTGCAAAAATGTTGACAGCAAGGCCATATCTACCCAAGTTCCACTCTCCTAATTCCAAGGGGCAGTCTCGAGAGAACCGCGCAAATACCATACATCCAATGGCAATAAAATAGGAGCTGAACAATCCGATGGAAGAGAGGGCAATAAATGCACCGAAAGCTGTAGTGCTCGCTATATTGAGACATGCGAGTACCATAACCACTCCAATAGAAAGCCAGACGGCACGAACGGGGACACAATGCCTTTTATCAATCTAATAGGGGGTATGGTTAGTACCGAGGGTTACATCATTTATTACCACAAGTGATTACTTACAGTTGAGAACCAAGTTGGGAGGCCACCGTCACGAGACCATGCCCAAGTAAGACGTGATGTTGACGCAATGCTAGCAAGATTAACGGCGAGTGAAATAATAAGCAATCCGCTAACCATAGCGGTTGCTGCCCTCACGGAGCCGGTAGCTTGCCGACAAATCTCGATAATGGGGAAATTTGATTTCAGAGCACCGTCGATTGGGCCCATGGTGAAAAGGATAGTGATGATTATCGAGTATGCAAGAATCCCATTTGTTGCAACGGTCCAGACCATAGATCTGGGAACAGCCTGCTTTGCCCGACGAACTTCCTCGCTCATGTGAACGGCTCCGTCAAACCCTTATATACACATTCGTTAGTATCCGGCTTGATATATTCGTGAGGAGTAAGAATATCTCACCCACAAAGCCCCAGGTAGGTGTAAGTAAACCTAGGTTCCATGAAATGAAATCATTGTTCCATCCTGAGGAAGAGGTATGGTCCCCAAAAACCCATCCAGCGGTATGTCGGGGGGCCATTGAGACCAGAACAACGACAAAGACTATAAACAGAACCACATGGAGGATCCCGGCCAGTAACTCAATCCACGGGATTAGCCAAAAGGTGTACATGTTCATCAATCCTTCGATTATTAGCATAGCAAAAATAATGAATGTAAGATGCCACCTTTCGGGTTCATAGGTAGGATAGTTCACGGTGACTAGGCCTTGAATCATATTGGCTGTAGTGTTGGCCACGCCAGCAAGGAGGGACACCCATGCAAACCAGGTTATCCAACCTATATGTTCAGGAGTTTATGAGAAATGGTCTTGATATATTATAGTTATCAAGAGTTTATCATACCTTGCATCCAAGTGATAAATTTCTTATGTTTCTGAGGAGCGAGATAATGGGTCCAGTGGTACTGAGCACCAGCAATGGGCTGCATGGAAGCCATCTCTGCCATCGAAGCAGACTGTGCCAGTCCACCGGCGATGACGACAATAATCCCCCAAGCCAGAGCTCGAGGGCCACCATTGGTAAAGACTGCAGTTAGATTTCTAGAGAAAAGCAGCCATGGCGGTGGGTCAGTTATGCAAATATCATGCATGATATTTAATTATGGGAAGACATACAGCCCCATCGTCTCCCAACTGGACATGAATGTCAGGGAGAAGAAGAAAATTTGGGTGAAGTTGAAAAGTTGCTAACAGGTGACTGTGTTAGCCAGTGTGTCTTGGGTATATAGTATATAAAAAGGGAGAATTGAAATACCTTCACCTTCGACTGGTCTGCTGAGGCTTGGTTGCTACCAGCAGCCGGTGAGCCTGGCTCAGCCATCGTTTTCTGTTTGATATTCTTCTCTAAAGAACCTCCATATGGCCTCAGGCAATAAGCACCCTTCTTGTCCAAGGAAGTGAGGCTACTTCCGTCCATCCTCAGACAGAGAACTATCCAAACGGGCCCGTTAGAATGGCCTTGAAAAACCAAATAAGCAAAAAAAAGAGAGGATATCAGACGAGAACACTGCTGGTTTTTCCCTGGGGAATATCTACCGCGGCAAAGCGTTCTAGAAGGACAAAAACAATAATAGACAAGAGGAAAAGAGCGTGAGAATAGAATAAGATAAAAAAAAAGGGGGGGGGGGAGGGAGAGGGAGAGAGAAATGTACGGAGGAAAAGGAGAAGGGAGCTGACTTTTGACTTGACGCTGTGTGATCCATTTTCTTTCACATCACAAAGAAAAATAATATCATTCTCGTTAGGGTGTCAAACATGGAAATTCGGTCCATCGCACGGAGTGTCGTGAGTCGACTGGTAACATCGTCTTCCCCCGGGCTAGACGCGACCTGCATGATATTCCCATGGTTGCTTTTTCCCTACAGTCGTTTTTTTGTTTTATCCCCGGCTTCTTCCCCCTGGTGTATCAATATAGTCGACTACAATGAGCATATATATAAGTGGCGCAAACCCCGGCCATATCACTTCCGTTTAACATCAAGGCCTCCGTGACTTGAGTTCAACTGCTCAGGGGCAAACAACCCAGAATAGAAACGAGAAGATCAGAAGACCGGAAAGAAGAAGAAAAGAAGGAAAGCCTACCAAAGTTGTTGGAAGCGCCACGCCAGGGGCAAAGGCTTTCAGAGCGACTCTCTGCTGCTTCCAGGTTGGCTTCAAACCAGGCATATCAAATGGGATCGCCAGCCAACTTTGGGGCCGGTTGCTACACAAAACAAAACCCATGGCAACCATGCCCATGTCGACACTTTGGCCAGAGAACAAAGGTGGTTGCCAGTGTGGCGCCGTTGAAGCCTTCTAGCGTGCGATGCTAGTCTCCTAAGTTGCACCCATCCACGAAACTGGTACATTTTGATAGTTGAGCTCCGACATCCCGCAAGAAGAAGCAAAAAAGGAGAGAAAGGGGGAAAAAATAGAAACGCAAGGACAGGAAGAAGAGGAGTAGGAGACGAGCAGAGAAGTGCCTAATTCGGAGTTACATTCCAAGTTACATTCCACAAGGTGGAAACCACAAAATGACCAGTCGATATGCTCTCCTGGTCGTCGTTGAAATGTTCTGCAGCGCGCGGCTCAGGCACGGATGCAACTCCATTGTTGGAACATCTGATCGGATCTACGTGACTGATGATCTACGTCGCTTACCTCTATTTTCAAAGAAAGCAAACCAAGGAGTTGCGGGATAATGGCTCAAATGAATCGTCTTATTCGGACGTTGAATAACGATAGTTATATATCCAGCTTTTCATCTCCGTGATTGCTAACTTAGTAATTGTGTTCCCTGCACCACGGAATACTTGATATAATTATCGTTTCAGTCCTATGGGTCGTGATGTCTAAACGAAATGTAGACCCGCTCTATCAGCCTTTTATACAGCCTACACACGAGAACCACAGTCCGTGGGTCATCGTGTCTACCTGTCTGTTCATGATTATTACCTTCTCCGTGGCCACTACAACACTTATTGCGCGGTTTAGAGTCCTCAGGACACTGGCATGGAGTGACTGGTTTCTGCTTTTTGCTACTGTATGGACATCCCCCCTTTGCTAGGTGAACTTATACCCTAAGCCTTAGTTTACCTGTACGGAGTGTTCAAACATCGCTGACTGGAATAAGTGTTTGTCAATTGCAGAGGGAATATGCATCAATTTTGCCTGTTTGCGAGGGTTAGGGCGGAAATCTAGCGCCCTTCAGGGTATGCCAATGGAAGGGTTCCAAATTGTATGAAATGATACATGCCCCCCTTTCTTTCTAGTTTTGCGTTGGTCGAACATTAGTTAACCAGGTTTTCACCGGATAGCTTATATACATAAGCCAAATACTCGCTCTCGCCTCGTTAGCATGCTCAAAAGCCTCAATCACCCTGCTTCTTATTTCGATTAAGCCGCTGAAGAACATCCTGTTGATGTGCCGTATTCTTCTCGGAGTTCTGGGAATTTGGGGTGTGATCGGCATTATATCCCTTTCTTTGCAATGCGGACTGTCTCGACCGTGGATTTCGGGGGACAAATGTTGGCTCAATCAGTACGCGCTACATGTTGGCCTTAACATAGGAAGCATGGTTACAGATTTTGCTCTGGTCATTTTACCGTTTCTCTTTGTGTTTCAGGTGCAAATTCCTCGGCCTAAACGACTGGCCATTGCTGCTCTTTTTGGCATAAGAACAATGTAAGCTGAATCAAGAGGAAAGATAAAGATTTCGCTCATATCCAAGCAGTATCTTGAAATTGGAAGCATTTTGTCCATCAGGCTAACATGAAAGTACTTCCTAGTGTCCCTTCCTTCACTATTGTGATGACAGCTATATCAAAATCCTATTTTTCTCCCAATACACACGAGAAATCTTGGTTGGCCGTTATGCCGACAATATGGATGCAAGCTATTCTTTGCGTTTCAATTGTGGCTACCTGCATTCCAAATCTAAAACGACTGTTGGCTGTTCTTCGAACTGGATTGATGGCTGGAACGGTTAACGAATTCTATGAGCTGTCAATTTCGGGAGGCAGTAAAGCTGTGACCGCGGGATCCCAACTGCGTTCCGGAAAAACGTCTTATTCGAAAGAGAACTACGGTGCAGGCACACCACGGCCTTCAACTTCTGGAGGTAGCGTCTCTGGGACACCGACCATCCCTTTGTATACAGGAAAATCTCATGCTATACACCACCTGCATCCAAATACGACCTTTGGGGTATCCACCACCGGGAAAACGGAAAATTTCGACAATGGAAACATCATCGAATCCAAAATATCCGGCCGCAAAAGCCCAATATTCAAACTACCGGATTTCCTTTGGGAACGAAGTGAGCTGCCAGGAATCACTCCCCCCAAACCAGTTGACCGTAGTTCAAGTCTTGACATCTTGACAAGAGGGTGAAGAATCCCCTTTGTGTATCCTCGAGGGTTCTTTGTTGCGGAACTAAATTCGTGATGACCAAGCCTCTATTGCACCGACGGATGGCCCGGAGTTTCAGTCGAACAGCCCAATGTACTGGTGCACAACAGCTACATTATCCAAAGCTCATAGTAACAATGCTGATGAGGCAAGTCACCTTATTAGCCACCGTTAACAGTCTCCGGATTGAACACGCGGATTGGGCATCTGGCTCTCCTAGTCAGCTTCCGGCTTGGGTGGGGGTTTTATCTTCTATTTGTCAAGCTTTGTACTACATCTATTTCCTTATGTACATATTGAAGAAAAGGCACGAGACTATATGTCTCTTGGGCTTTCTTACTTTATCTTTGCCAGAAGGAATATTACAGCCAATTGGCTCTGGGGCTTTGCCCGGCTGGTACAACCTCTCCCTAAGCGGTGTAACGTTTTAAATGGACGATCTATTCAATATCATTTCCCGTTATTGTGTCTATCACATTTCAATTTCAATTTAAATCTTGTGCTATTCATCTGTCAGGTACGCGTGTGATGGAAGGACGCTTGGTGGGCAATATATTTGCCTTCAAAAAAAAAAAAAAAAAAAAAGGCGTGGCATGAGCTATACTATCCTCGAGAGTTCTGATCAGGAACTGATATTTGCCTTTTCCAGCTCTGTGATGAAAAAAAGGAAGCTGGTTGATAGCTATCTATCGGGTTACACGGTAGCTGCGCTGATAAATAAAGCTACCCCCATAGTAATTAACTAAACAAGGCTGAAAATATACATGTGATCAATACTAACTTGATATCGCCTGCTCGCAGAAGCTATCGGCTACTGTGATAACTAGGTCCTTAACAGATGCGCCCTTGCCGCCGTCTAAGTAAGGCCGTGCGAACTAACCAGTGCATTTGGAGGTAGCGTTTATTAAAGTTTACTGCGCGCCTCCTTATGAGAAGCCCTTACTATGTATGCAGCATCAATTACATAGTATTTTCCCAAAACCAAATAACCTTTGCTGGACGATGATAGAGTGATTTCAATGCTCCTTTATTTATCTCTCCTTTATCAAAATCCTGAGCCCCACACCCCACCCCTTAGGAACTTGGGTACACAAAGAAACCAACTATATTTCACGAGATATAACATGCGAAAGAACCCAATGAAACATGCAATAAATAATCATTTTAAAAACCATACTTGTCATATTATTTACTTCTCCGTTTCCTTCACTGATAACACGAGGAATCGTTTTCTTTCTTTTTCTTTCAATTCCTTTTTCGACGCGTTGAGGAACCTATTCTGATGGCCGGAGAATGTAACGGAAAAGGGGAAGAAGCCGGAGGCTCCTGTGGCAACTATGTGCTCTTTTCGGCTTCCTTTTGCTTTTCCTTCTCCTCTTCTTGCATTTTCCTCTTTTCTTCGGCGGCAAGCTGGTCGGGTCTCCTTACAGCAATAGCCTTTGGTTTATAATCACTGAAGTTGCTTTTCAGGAGATTCTCCACAAGCCAACAACCGACATAGTCTAAGATCATGGTCAATGTAAGTCTGGCTCTAAAACCGGCCTCGAATGGAACCAATCTGAGCTTCGTGTTGAGTTCTGGGATAAATTCGGTCGCGCAAGAGAGTGCTACACCGGATGTTAATACAAGACCCCAATACATAGCGCGGTTTTCACGGATGGACTCTCGGAAAGGTCGGCCCTGGTAGTTGATTGAAAATGTAGAAATTTGCTGAATAAGTTGTAGCAAGTAAACAGCGCTGTTAAGAAGAGACGGCTCGAATTCGCCTTCTAGATCAATCTTATCCTTGCGTCTGGAGCATCTGAGTTAGAATATCTTAAACATATATTCAGGAATTGTGAGCGAGGCAACTTACGGCTCAATGGAGTATACATATTGTGAAATGTAAACTAGTGTAACAATATGAATCGCAAACTGGCCTAGAATTGATCCCATGATGTAGATGTTGAAGATATTCGGCTGTGGCCGCTCTTTTGATAGTCCTTCAACAGCCTATTTGTATTGTAAGCAGGCAGGTAATGGAGGGGGGGGGGGTCGGGGGGGCAGATCCGTGAAGCTTACCTTCGCGCGAGAGATGGAGAAGAAACAGACGCTCATCAGCATTCCACTGATCGTGACCTGTCCATCTCCAAATTTAATACCGTCGAGATAAATCACACTCAGACTATAGGCGCTGATCAGACAATTCAAAGCGAGAATTTTATACATCTGGATGGTGGCAACGAGAGTGCAACGCCCCTGTCGGATAATGTTCGGGATAGCAATGACATTTGCTAGTTTACTTGTGAATGGAGCGGCAACAGATGCATCACCAAGTTTTAAAGTTGGCGGCTCATCTTCATCCAATCCTTCCATCATGGATGAGCTTAGCCTGTCGGCTAGAGAAGAAGCGGCAAGAGTTGCTTGCTTTTGTTTACGCTGCTGGGGGGTCAGGTTGCTATCATCTGATTGTTGCAGTGCTTGAGCCCCAGGGGAAACAGTGGTTGGCGTGCCGTTCGCTTCTGAAGGCGGTGCTCCAGTGGTAATTTTCTTTTGGGCTTCGCGCAGCATGGCCGTTTCATAGTGAGGATTATTTGGTCCCGGGGGGTACAAGTGGGCAATATGGACTGGAATGGGGGGTGCTGGCTGATTGAACCTTTGCATGAGCGCTACCTGCTTTTCGTAAATCTCCTTCATCTTTGTATTTCTGAAGTGCTCCGATATTTTATTAAGATCTTCTTGAGTTCCATTGAGCAGAGCGACACCGATATGGGCCTGCTTAAGGGCTCCGACATCGTTGGTTCCATCACCACACATCAGAGTAGTGTATCCAGCTTCATTCATGGCGAGCAAAATCTCTTCCTTTTGTTTAGGAGACACTCGAGAATATACCCAAGTGTATCGGATCAAATCAAGAAGAGCCGGTTGGTCTCTGAACTTTCCTAGTGCGTATCCAGTAACGCAGAGGTCCTTCTCAGCAAGGATGGAGGGATCAATTGGTTTAGTAGGGTCAACTTCAACGCTGAATTTATCGTCAACACTTCGCCATACGACCTTCGTGCCACTGGTATCGTGTTCGGGGGCATCGAGAATAAGGACCTCCCGGTCAATAATTTCCACTTTCTTTGCTACGTGGACAGCAGTCAGAGGGTTATCTCCGGTAATCATCACAACCCTGTGACTACTCTCGTTAAGCATTCGGACGGCTTTAATCGCATCATCTTTTAGTGGGCATTGGAGCACAAGGAATCCGGCGAAGTGCAGTTCTGCCTCGACGTCTTCGCGTTTCAGGCTGTTGATACGTCCCTGTCCTAGTTCTGTATCTGAGAGGACTTTGTACGCTAACGCAAGAACCCTTGCACCGTTGCGAGTGAAGTGTTTAAAGGTTTCTTCATAGTATGGAGGAGTGGACACAAGCATGGTACTGATGGTTTCTGGGGCCCCCTTGACACCAACAAAGGTAGCTTTAGATCGTTTAGATGAACGTTTGTCGAAAGTATTGACAATTGCCACCGTACTTTGGCGTTTCAATGCAGATGAGAACTGGAACCGTCGTTTAATGTTGACGGATTCGAGGAAATTGTCTCCCGCCCTCCCAGCAGACCCTGCTTTGCTAGTCAAGGTGTCATTTTGGCCAAGGGTCCATCCGAGCGAAGTGAGAGTTGCCTTCTCCATTGGGTCACCAACAATTTCGCCTTCATCTAATTTGACTAATGCATGTGCAGTGGCAAGAACTAGGGTGGTATTATCATGAACATCAGTAACTTTGGTGACGGTTGTATGTGCGCCATATTTATCTGTAGGAGCCCCTGCCTGGCCAAGGGTTAAGCCTGCAATTCCCTCCACAACAAGATCCTCTCCAGTCAGGGTTCCGGTCTTATCGAAGCAGGCAATATCAACCCGTCCCGCATATGGAATTCTGAACGGTTCGGTACAAAAGATTGCAAACTTGCTGAGAGCTGCAAGACTAGTATTGACCGCAAGACTCAACTCCATTGGAAGCTCAGGGGGTACGACACTGGTAATGATCAAAACACAGTCGAGTAGCAGCTTGGATCGTTTTCGGTCTTGAGCAACGCCTTCCACCCAAACATACCAGGAGGCTGCAATGGCAAATATCAACAAGAAGAGAATAAACATGAATGCTTCCACATTGTTTGCGGAGACAGGCTCCGTGGAATAAATCATTGTTCGCACAAGACTACCCTGGCTAGTTTCGAATCCAGTGCGAATGACTATTCCAAGAGCACCATTATCAGGGGCAGTAGGGGCGCCGTTTAAAGGTTTATAAGCACTGTCTGATCCAGCTTGTGAATTCGGATGGGTAATTTGCAAGACTTTGGTACCACCATATAAGAATGAATTCTTATCGAGGCCTTCCGGTTCAATCCGGTCATTCGCCGGCCTTAACTGGATGGAATCCTTGAGTAAAGGGGTACTTTCTCCGGAAAGCATGGCTTCGTTGACAATGGCACTCCCCCATACGAGTAGTATATCGCACGGAACTCCACTGTCATCTTTGGTCCGGTTCACTGACACTAGGTCACCTGGAAGAAGTTTCTCACTACTGACTTCCACCCATTGGTTATCTCTGAAGACCCAGACGTCGTATGGCTTAATACTCATGCCTCGGAATTCCGTTAGAGTTCTCTGTCTCTGCCATACCACGGTACTTTCAAAGATCACCAACATAACCAATGTGAATAGCGAATAGTACCAGTATTCATCCAGAAGCCAGAGACCAACACAAAACACCTGGAAAACAAAAAATGGAGCGACTGCATGTTCCTTGAAGAGTTCTACAAAGGTAGGCACAGGAATGTCGAAGGTGTTATCTCCATAATGTTGTTGGACGCTCTCAATTTGAGTAGTTGATGTGAGACCACGGGATTCCTGGAAATATCCGAGAGTTGGCTTTGGCTGAGCGTCGAGAACATACTGTAGTGGGGTAAAGCACCCCTTTTCAGGATTGTAGCGGAAGCGTCTTTTTTGGAACAGAAATGAAACGACTTCGGTTCCTCCAACTTGATCCTTTACCAGCCTGCAAATCTCTGCGGAACCAGCGTTTGCGGCAGGGATGATTTTGATAAGCTGTGCATCGGCAACAGATTGAGCTGATATAGTTGTGAAGAGAGCGTCAATATTAATATTCCATTTCGTCATCAGCCATAATAGAGCTTGCACGGTAGCAATAGATCCGGTCCACAAGGCAGCCCACTCGGGGGCCTGGATATATGTCTCATATCGTTCAGGGGAAAGGTAGAAGGCAAGAAAAACCGGCCATACTATCGTAAAGGGCCAAACGTAGACGCGGAATTGAACGGGTAAAGGATTCCGGAGGGCCGCAGATTGAATCTGCGGGTTATCTATAAGTTTAGACCTGCAAAGCGAACCGTTAGCTAGCCACTTTGCTGGTTTATTTCCACCCAGTACAGACTCACATGACGGTTGACTCGAGCTGACATGTGTTACTGCGGAACAAATAAATTACATTAAAATATCTGTTAACGGCCAGGAAATAGAAGATAAAGGAAAAATCGGGACAGGTCAACTATATCCACATCAAGCTCTCGAGGGCACCGTGTGTCAAGCGCGAGAAAGGAGGTTGAGGCCAAATCAATAGAAAAAATAGCTTGCTCCTTTCAAACGCCCAAAAACGCCAACTTTGGATCGAATTTCGTGGCTTCATTGATGATTACATAATGAGGCTGGTGTGTTGAAATAAGGTTAGGTTATCGGATCCTCGGAAGCCAATGATAAAGCGGAACAATGCTTACATCAGCACTCGGAGTCAAAAAGGTTCCATAAGTCTGATTACATAACGCGAAACCATGGGGGAAAAGGCGGTTTTGGCGTTGGGAGGAGAAGAAGCATCATAGGGGCTTGCTCGCTGTCGAGCCGTTTTGATATCGTCACAGCAGCATGTGTAGGGGCAAGCTGTTGCCCTCTATAGCCCTCTGCAGACCATGCCTAATAGATCTATAGGCGGAGGCAGAGTGTTAGGCAGTGGACGGTCGATAAATCCTGTTCCCCCAAAGCCACCACCGAAGGGTTGCTCGTCGAATGCTATATCCCCATCTGCCAGCAGTGTTTCTCTGGCCTCACAGGCCTCCAACTCGCAGGTCTCATCAGACACACAAGACCTATCCTCGAGGATATTCTTAAAAAATGGAGATTCATCTATAGCCAAAACTACCCGCGGCGCTGGGGCGCTGGTTTGTCCTATCTGCAATGAAGGGATGGTGAGATATATCTTGGAACCCCCTATTTATATATGTGATATAGCCTAGTTACTGACATTTTGCCAGGTAACACTCTTACAGCTGAACAGGTAATGCCATATTTATTACATATCCTCCTATCGGGTAAAAATCATGCTTACGGTTGCTTCTAGACACCTTGATGACGTGCACCGGAACCTCGAGGATGAACAACAAGTGGAGGTGAAGGACTGGTTTCAGATGCAGGTTGACAAGGCCAAGCGATTTCAACCTCTCGCTGTGCTTAATCAGAAGCTCAAGGGCCTAGAAGTCTTTGAATCCAACCAGAATACACAGCCTCTACCACCCTCAACTCGATCGGCTGCTGAAAGCTCAGTTTCAGAGGCCCCCAAACCCATCGATCCCGATGATTTAATAACCAAGACCCACTGGCAGCAGCGGTTACTTAATGACGTTTGTTTGGACCCTATGTGTGAGAAGCGCCTCACGGTGACAAATGGATGTATTAACTGCAGAAAATGTGGCCGTCTGTTCTGCGAGGACCACACCATGTACCAGATGAAACTATCAAGATCTGCCCAACATGAGCCGGTTCGTGGATTTTGGTATCGGGTCTGTGAAACTTGCTATAAGTCGAGGGAGGGCTATAATGACCTTAATGGTAGGGCCCAGTATGCTCTAATATCTACAATTCACCTAGGCTAAATCTTGGTTAGGAGTGGAACGTGATCACACCGAGACATTTAAAGCTCTTCGGAAACCTACGATTGACAAAGCCTTTCTTGAAATCTCTAGGTTGGAAAAGAGATTAACCCGTCTGACGCAACTCCTTGCTGGACTACCTGCAGAGCAAGTACAGTCTAAAAGATGGCCCATTGGCTGGCAGACAGACCAAAGGAAAGTGCTCGAGCAGTCTATTGTCAGCTGGCAGGATGATGCAGAGGTTTCAAGCTGCCCTTTTTGCCAGCAAGAATTCTCTGCCTACATTTTCCGAAGACATCATTGCAGAACGTGTGGTAGGGTCGTCTGTGGCGATCCAACAACTGGATGTTCCTCTCTAATAAACCTGGATGTGACCAAATGTATGCTCTGCTCTATCCTGCTCTACTTTTTTTACTATAACTAACTGTCAAAGCAAACCCTCGATTGTCAGAAAAGCCAGCCCCAGATAAAGTTAACCTCGATGTGCGGTTATGTAAAGACTGCAAGTCTACAATATTTAGCAAAAGAGACTTTATCGAAGACACGGCAAAGGAACCGCCGGACGCCCGTGCCTACAAGAATCTTATACAGTTCGAACGAGGCATTCGCCTATTGTTACCGCGATTTCACAAAATTTTAGCCGCTCTTCAGTTCGTCTCCCTAGCTCGACTGTTCTGTTATACACACGCTTCAAAATTTATTTTCTGACTATATATAACTAGAGACCCTGAAAACCCGCCAAAACCGGCTCAACTAACGGAGGCATCGAAGGTTCGTAAACGGCTTATGGATTCATTCGCACAATACGATGTAGCCGCAAGGCGTATTCGCGACCACCCGACACAATCTCCGACACAAGAAAAGCTCCAACAAGCGATATATCGCCAAGCTACAGGCTTCCTTCACCTCCACATGCTTCCGCTTAAAACGCTTCCCAAGATCTTAAAACATGCCACTCCTCATGGCAGGCATTTTAGTAGCTTCGATTCATCATCTTCGGACGGCAGACGACTAAATGGGGGAACTAGCACCGCTCAACCCCGTTCTCTGGCTGCTATTAAGTACGGTAACCCCGATCAAGGGGGCAGCAGCACTAGCTTGGCTAGTAATAACAGCAGTGCGCTCTCAACGCTCGAAGAAGAAGAGAAGGAGCTGCGCGATCGGCTTATTGTTCTCGAAGAGCAGAGATTCTTCGTCTCTGAAATGATTGCTGATGCCAACAAACGGCGTAAATTCGACGAGGCTAGTAGCCTTGCTCAGAACGTCGCGGATCTGAATAAGGAAATAGACCACGTTAATGGCATGATCAGTCAGTTGGACTTTGAAAGCCTCTATACTGGCGATGCGAACCAGTGATAATTGCATTTTTCTTTAAAAAAAGAAAGAAAATCATATCTTTGCATATTATATCTCTATCAGTATGATTATTATCAGCCTTGAAATTCCTTCTTGTTCTTGGAGCGTTCCTCATTTCCAAGGTCGGTGGCAGGCGTTCACTTTTCTCTTTTGATTGAAGAATTATTTATGACCCTGATGATCCTGTATCTTCTAGTTCCTGGGCAATGTCACTATCTCATATCTACTACTGCTACATATATGCATGTACATTCAATTTCTGTTTCTTTTCCATATTAGTTAGAGCTCCACAGTCTAGGATAGCTAAAGCCGTCGTATACATATTCTTCATTCCTCCCCCCATGTATGAGTATTCAATTATGAGTATTCAATGACATGCCCAAGATTGTGTAGTAGGCTTCTAATAAAAATCCGAAATCCGTCTATGACATCAAATTATTCAGGTAGGCAGCCAAAGTTTTATTAAAAAGAGGTAAAAAGGAATTGAAAGTTGTGAAGAGGTTATTATCTTTCCATATGTCTCTACAGAGTCCATTTGTGCAGGAGATAAACGGAAATGTAACGTAGTAAAGCAAACTCGTCGACGCATAATAAACTCGGGTAGCAAAATAACGCTGGAAAGTAAGATACAGGGATATTGGCGAGAACAAGCAACACTCTGATTACGCGTTTCCATTTGTCTCTTGATTGGTTTGACCTTCTCCATTGGCTGCTCCGGCAGAAACACCTTGTCTCTCCGTCAAGACAGTAACCAACTGAGTCAGCTGCCTGACTTGCTCCTTTAGCCCCCTAATTTCCAGGACGCATTGGTCAACCTCAACATTTGGCTTAGACTTGGTAACAGCCATATCCCAGGCTTCAGTCTCAGGATGGTCTCCGACTTTCTTGAAGTCGAACTCTGCGGATTCAGCAGCGTTTTCCCATTCTTCTTGGGTATCGTCGTCGTCTTCACCCAAACGGCGATTGAGTCTGATCCGTTGAGCATTGGTAGATTCAAGCAATGCGGTAACGAGGAGGAGAGGAGAATAGATAATGCCCATTACGTAGTTGTTGAGCTTATCATATCGGTCAGAGGGCAACCACCATTCGAAAGGAATGATAAGGCAGATTATTTCAACCAGGTTCAAGGCTGGACACTTGGTTAGTTATAACGCTAGTGAGAAATAGGTGACCATGAGTTACTTACGTGCAATGAAGACATTCTCATCTGGGGCCCGGACATACTGCAGGGTTCGATGGGCGAAGAGACCCATGTACTCGTTGATCGCATTGCCAGTGATGTCTTCATAGGCACTATTATAGAGAGCAATCAAAATATTGAGTAACACTACATTAAGCGATTAGTATGATGACTATCCATATATACGAGGATAGAAAAGTAGGAGAATACTCACCAACCATCACTACAAAAGTGAATAGATAATAAAGTAGGATACCAAACGGCGGGGCAAACCCTTGGAACTCATCGAACGATGGGTTCTGTAGGACTGTATTTGCCATTCCTTGAAGGAGGACTACGGCCGTCATCTTATTTTCGGGATCTGCCTGGTCCATACCGATGAAGCCTTGCATAAAACCGATAATAACAACAGCCAAAAGAGCAAAGAAGATCAAACTCTCCTTCATCATGACTTTCAGTACCACAAGCATTGCCCCGAAGAAACGGTAAGTGTCAAGGTACAGGAGGAGCCGGCCCCAGAACATCGGCGATGAAAATGCGAGGAAGTTGTAGCTCAGCTGGTTGTAGTAGTTACGCTCCTCGTTGTCGACGTTCTTTGAATGGGTCAACGCTACGATTCGGAGGATAAAAGAAACCAGGAGGAGAGAGTAAAGTGTCGAGTTGAACGCGTTCCAGAATCCAAAGTAGAAACGGCCAACTTTCCAGAATTTGGTGGCTTCGTCGAGGATGAAGCCTAGGGTCATGCCGTAGAGGATACATTCCACCACGTCCAGGTCACCGGTTGGATTGACGGTGTTTATCACAACTGTGAAGAGAACGAGGTAGAGGATGGAGAAGAAGACTTGGACAGCATTCTGATAGACCGGTGCTCTGAGCCTATCGGGGTTGAAATGAGACCAGTACGAGGGGTTGTTTCTCTCCCTGTATTCGATGAAGTTGGTGGGATCTTGATCGTCCTGGCAGAGCCAACCCTGCCAGAGGTATTTGATACACTTTTGGTATCCTGCGGACCCGATCACTACCAGCGCATGAAGATCGACTGCACGCTCGATGACGTTTGCAGGGGATGTTGGCTCTCCATCTCGCAGGATTGAGTAGCGCTTCAGCAGCACCTCCAGCATGAGATAGTCTTGGTCTTCTTCCGCTTCGATCCTATTCCTGCTGTTAGCTGATTCTTATCGTGCAAGGTGAGAATAAGAACCATAGTACATACAGTCGTTTCGCAAGTATCTCGCACGCGACTGCGCGTAGCTCGTGGAGGTCTGAATCCCATAGCTCGACCAGAGCCTGAATCTTGAACCATCGAACACAAACGAGAAGACAGAAGACGACACAAGCGCGGTACTCTTCTCCACCAGCCTCTCTGGCAGTCTGAATGACCTCCTTCGTGATAACGGTGCTGTTGGCCTTTGTAACCAGGGACTCATCTAGCTCGCAGCTGATGACCTGCTCGACCTGGTACTTCAGTCGCAGAGCTACCTTGGTAACCTCCTTGGCCGGCAGAGCGGGCGTGACAATCTGATCGCGAGTGCGAGGAAGCACTACAGCATGACATGGTGTTAGCGACTATACTCCTGGTCTCAATTGATTTAATCTCTCCAGGTACTCCGTATAATACGTACATCGATGGGTTTCCTGCAGGTACTGGTGCCGCCCTCGACTGGGCTGGTCACTGAACAACCGTCCCCATTGAACCATCTTGAAAGGACCAAACTGACGGATGAGAGATGGTCGCTTGAAACGCGCACTCCTGGCAAAGGAGAGAGAGAGAAAGAAGAAAAAGAGAGCGGCTTGGGCTGTTTAAATATACAGGGCTTGCTTGGTCTGTTTGATCGTGAGGGGGCCATCCATGCACTTTAGCTTGATGGACGCCGAACGAAAACATCGCCACCGGGAAAATGGCCAGGCTAACAAGACGAACTAATCATTACTTTCTTTTTCTTCTTCTGCTGGCTGCTATGCTTGCAAGAGGCGATACGATTGGTGTGAGGAGTTGTCTACTGATCTTTGGCCTGCCGCTGGCCAAGACAGTATCTGAAGCTCTCTCTTTATCAAAAACACAAGCTCGTCCAAACTCGTTCACCTTTTCATATTAACGTTGATATATTCAGTTCATACTCTGGTTGACAACCAGATTGCGCATCAAGCCTGCCCAAGTCGTTGCTTTTTTGAGTCCCATGGTCCATATTCTAAAAGGTAGAGAAAAACGGCGACAAATTTGAGGGGAAAATGGGAAAAAAAGAAAAAAAAAATGGGGATGGAAGAAGAAGAAACGAAATTGGCGGGCGTTAGGAAACTGTACATTTACTCGACAACGCCCTCGTCACTCTCGCTGAAACTCTCGTCACCGCTGACTTCCTGGTTCTCGCGCTCCCTCTTCTCCATGAGGGCTTGCAGGTCTGCATCGTCTTGCTCTGTAACGGCCTTGGGAGCCATCTGAATGACGCACGAACCTCCACCAGCCTTTATCTTCTCCTGGACCTTTTCGATTGCCTCCTCTAGCAGCTTAACTCCCTGAGTTTTATCTAGGCAGTGGTTTGTCAGGACGTATAGAGGAGGTGCCACAAGCTTGACTTTGACTTGTGGGCTGACGGCCTCAGCGGCGCGTAGGGCATCCTTGACAGCGTCGATACCGTCATATCCAAAGCAGGTAACTTCGATATCGGCACGGACTTTGGTCGGGGGTGGGGTAAGCCTCTTGTTGATGTGTGAGATGAGCTCGTCCTTGACTACGGCACTAGGGAACGTGACGTCTTCCCATACGGCAGGGTTCCTATGCATCCCATTGTTAGAACAGCTGTCGTCGAAACCCCACATAAATATGCCCGGAAAATCGATCTTACGTGATGGAGAGCTTGAAAGCGTCGTTGGCGTGTCCGTATTTCTTATTCAGAGGCCATCCAATTTGCTGGTAAAGTTCCTCGATAGGGGTCTTTGTCTTCTCGGCAACGTGACGCATAATCGAGTGTACAGATTTGCTCTTGTTATATCGTTCCTCGCACTTTCCGACATCCTCGGGTGACACTCGACGTTTCGATAGATCAATGTAACCTGAAGGGTAAGAGAGGAAAGACAAGAGTAATAGATATCAGCACCAGATCAAAGGTCATAGCCAATCTCATACATCACACACGCACCTTTCTCCTTGTCCACTCGCAGAACGACCACGACCTCGTTACGCCCGACTCTGATGAGCTTCTGTATACTTCTGATACGTCGTCTGGACAATTCGGACAGTAGAATCATGCCATCGATGTTATCGTATTCGAGCAGTTTGACATATGCTCCCATCTCCGCAATCTACTCGAGCCGTCAGTATTACCCACCTCGTCAAAATAAGAAATACGGTACAGATGTTCACCTGCTTGACGGTGACCATGACAAAGCTATCAATCTCCGGGAACTTCTCCTCGTAGAAGCGACAGTTGGTGAGCGACATGGTGGCGGGGGGCGCTGGTGCGCGGGTCAAACTTGTGCGTCACAGAAAGTTGATGCGAGCTCGAGGTAGGATTCGGTCCGTGGCTCTGGCGGCAGTAGTCAAGAAGCCCTTGATGAAAGATTGCTGCCACGGGTAGAAGCAGGGCGTCAAACGTGAAATGTTCGGTCGTTCCAGTCGGTTTCTCCGTGCAAGATATCAATATTCAATATTCTCATCCTTGCAAATCGCAAAAACATTTTCCGTTTGTTCGACAGATAGTGGGACAGTCACGTGGACATTGTATTAGATAATCAGCTAGTTTGGCAGTTTTGCGCGTGGTTGGCGATATATTTGATGTTTTCGTTTTGATATCGTCTACTATCCGTCGAGTTTCTCTAAACCGTATATTCCTTCATTGTAGGAGATACGGCTGCTGGCCAGGCTCATCCTGTGCATATTATACATACGGTATACCTACGCAATGCAGGTGCATTTGATACCTTCGCTCTATGTTAAACAATGTAACTATACTAAACTATGTTGCCACCTCAGCTTGTAAAAGAAGCTGCTATCCGGTTTGCAAACGCTTTCAAAGCCTTTCAACCTCACCATCGCCGTGTTTCCTAAACCAGATATATCTGTGGCCGCTTTAACATAATAGTCACGTGCACTAAAGAAGCACTATCTTAGTCATCCAAACCCTTGACCAATAAGAATTTAAGGAAATCTAACGTCACCAACTTTCGACTTTTCGAACGCCGTTCAAAGTTGTTGTTCCAGCTTCATGAGACCTTGGCTGCATCCCAGCAAAAAACTAGAGGGTGGAGATGGATGTTGATGGCGTCGGCTGGGCCTGTTTGGGTGTATATATATAAGAAGCACACACGGCCCCCCCTCTTGAGACTCATGAGCAAGGGGATTGCCTGTTATTTTATTGCTAACACCTAACAGTTGCATATATATATAGATAAATACCACCTGTTGATACCAGAGCCGAGGGGACGGGCAACCTAGCAGCAAACCGTCACGATGAGTAACCCTCCTAAGAATGATGATGTTAATGCCGGCTCCAGGCTCCTCGAGTCTCATACTTCCAACCCTGTCGGTGATGCCCGTAGCCGCAGCCATGGCACCTTTACCCCGGCATCGGCCCAGAGCTACGGGGAAAGCAGCCAGCTCTCTGAGGGCGGATATCACCTTAGTAGAGATGGTATCTCTTCTGCTCCCGGTGGTGGGAAGTCCGTCACCAAGCAGCTAGCTGAGGCTCACGGCGTGAGAAACCAAAGAGCCATGTACGTCGTACCCAATAGATGGCGGAGTACAGAGATATACCCACGGCATCAGCCTGGTGAAACAGCAAGCAGCTAACCTATGTGTCGGCTTTCTAGGTACCTTGCATACTATGTGCCGTTCTTCAACTGGATAACACAGTACCGCTGGTCTTACCTTCGAGGTGACTTCATCTCAGCCTTGACTGTCTCGTCCATCTACATCCCCATGTGTCTCTCGCTCGCATCCAACGTTGCTCATGTACCCGCTATCAACGGGCTATACTCGTTTATCTTTCATCCATTTATATACTCCATCCTCGGTAGCAGTCCGCTATTGATCGTGGGGCCCGAGGCCGCTGGGTCTCTGATGGTTGGGACAGTCGTTCGAAACACGGTCGATGATGGGAAAGGCATCGATGATGATGCTCGTGGTAATGCTGCGGTTGCCGGAATCGTAGTAGGAATGGCCGGTGCGATGACTCTTATCGGAGGAATCACTCGTCTCGGCTTTGTTGACAACATCCTCAGTCGTCCGTTCCTCAGAGGTTTCATCAGTGCCATTGGCTTTATGATCATGGTCGATCAGCTTGTACCCGAGATGGGACTGAGTGACCGAGCCAGAGACGTCATGTTGGGTACATACGGCAGCTCTGCAGAGAAACTGATGTTTTTAATCCGGAACGTCCAATATAGCCATGGTCTTACTTGTGCTGTTTCATTCAGCACGATTGCTATCATCATGGTCTTCAGGTTCGTGAATTCTTGGTAACCCGATCAGAGTTAAATTATACTGACTTGTCTATAGAGTAATGAAGAAGCATATGGAGCCGCGCTATCCGGGTGTGGTATTTATCCCAGAACAGTTCTTGGTCGTTGTGCTATCTGCTATCTTGACCTGGTCGTTAGGGTGGGATAAAAAGGGACTCGTCATCCTTGGAAATGTCAAAGGCACTAGCAACCTATTCAAGTTCGAGTGGCCTTTCCAGGCAGACAGGGTAGAACATATACGCAGCGCTATGAGCACCTCCTTCATCATATCACTCCTCGGCTTCTTCGAATCCTCAGTCGCCGCCAAGGGCATCCGGTCTGCGAAGGGGGGCGGGATTGAAGGCATGACTTACAGCCCAAATCGAGAACTCGTTGCTCTGGGAGTTGCAAATATGGTTGGCGGCTGCTTCATGGGCCTTCCCGCCTTTGGTGGGTATGGTCGAAGCAAGCTTAGCGCTGTAACTGGCTCCAAGACACCAATGACTGGAATATTTATTGCTTTGATTACCCTAGCATGCGTCATATGGCTACTTCCATATTTCTATTACCTTCCGGTATGTTAATAGTGAACTCCCTTTGCCTCCCCTCTGTACCAGGTTAATATATTCTAACCTCCCCTCAATTAAGATGGCGGTTCTTTCCGCTCTGATTTCAGTAGTTTCGTATACCCTTATAGAAGAATGTCCCGAGGACATCCGCTTCTTCATCAGAATCCGCGGCTGGTCAGAGCTCGTCCTGATGCTTCTAATCTTCTTCTCAACCATCTTCTATTCCTTGTACCTTGGTATTGCCCTGGGGTTGGGCCTCTCTCTTCTCCAGATAATTCGCCATGCCACCAAGCCACGCATCCAAATTCTGGGCAAAGTCCATGGAACCAGAGACCGATTCGAAAACGCCGAGATTCATCCCGAGCATGTCGAGTACGTTGCTGGTTCGCTAATTGTCAAAATTCCAGAGCCCCTCACCTTCGCCAACACTGGTGACTTAAAGAACAGATTGCGCCGGCTGGAATTTTATGGCACGAATGCCGCTCACCCTGCTCTACCACGTGTTCGGTCCCCGGAGCACAACAAGAACATTATATTTGATATTCACGGGGTAACCAGTATCGACGGATCAGGAGTGCAGGTACTCAGCGAAATCGTTGAGGAATACGTCTCTCATGGCGTGCGAGTATTCTTCTGTCGTATTCCACTCCCTGGGAGTGAAGTGTTTCAGATGATGGAGAAGAGCGGCATCATCGATACATGTGGTGGTATAACACACTTTGTGCCCACCGTCGACAGTGCCCTTCAACTAGCAGAGACGGAGTATATAGGTTACGAGTGATGGTTATGGAACTGTCTCTATCGTTCGTTGTATCTGGAAAAAAATTAGTTTATACGTATATACCCTGAGTTTAGCGTTGATCTAAACCAAAGTTTTACGGCATTTTCTTTTTATCTTCTTGATGTACGGATTGGCATATAAACTGATAAGATATTTAACTTCTTGCTCTCGTTATATTCCTTCAAGTGAAGTGCTTTCTGTACATTTTAGCAATCATGATACGCGGGCTTTTCTCACACCTTATGCTTCCATGGGCGGGCCGGGCACTGGAACCTAACAAGTCATTTCATTTTGGATTTGTTATCTTGAATATAGATAGCTCTTTAGACTGTCCTTGATTTCCCCAGTCCAAACACATAGCCCTACTGACAGAGTTAACCGCCGCCTTCTTTCCCTGTAGCCCTTGTAATCAAAATTCGCAACAGTTCTTCGTTTGCCTTCCATACAAGGCCCCTTTCTCTTTCATCGATGTCAATTCCATCTCCCTCTTCTTCAATATCGGAATCATCTAATAGAATGGTACGCCCTGGGTTGGCGAGGAATTTTATTCGGCCTTCTGAACCAAGAACAAACGCACCACAGGAGACTTTTGTTAACCTAATATATTTCCCTTTCGGGTTCTCCGTTGACGTGGCTGACTGTCCCGTAAAATCCGTCAGATCTAATTTCATAGCAAGATTCTGGTCAAAGTATTTTGACAGAGCTGTTAGAAACGGCGCCGAAGGGACGTCTTTCTCCTTGTGACTGTCGGCTTCCAGAGTTCCAAGGCCATGCTCATAGAATGCACTGAGAGAATCGCGCGGAAGATGTATATCGAGAGATTTTAGATCCGTTGAAATCGGTGGTGGGAATGAGAATGTTAACTGCACTTCCTTGACAACGGATTCTATAAATGTGCGTGATTCCACTGTAGATACAACTCTCCGTCCACTCGCTCGACCGCTCATACGATTGAGCGTGGCCAAATATTTCTCAAGAGCGCTGCATAAGAAGCTCGATGGCAAGCGTAATACAGAGACTCGAGTGTCAAAGGTCTCAGATAAGAAGGAAATCAGCGACTGTCTCAACGCGTTTGGCATCCTAGTTACCAGCAGCGGTAGGAATGTAGTGCCTTCTGCTCCGCCGACGCTCTCATTGCGATATCCATCCGGACCGGCCAGCAGGGCCGCCTTATAGCTGGCATTCTCGTACTGCAGGCTGATGAGAATTCCAGCAGACTGATCCGGGGTAAGAATCAAGGGAGAATCGTGGTCAGGGTCTTCCAGTATAGAATGCTCTTCATTCCAGTAACTCCACGTTGGGATGTTTGTCCACTTGCATTCCTTGAGCGCGCCAGCTCTGGCGAGGACATCATCCAGGCGACTTGGATTGGCAGACGGCACCGCAGACTGTACGATCCCACCTAGTACATTTCCTGTGAGTGCGTCGCGTAACTGGTTGGCATAGGCGCGAGTACACTCTGGCGCATCAAGGAGTGGCTTGCTGCTATCCTGACTATGATACAGGCGCGAGAGTCGATGGAGTGTCCAAGATGTCGAGAACAACTCGGTGCCTGATTGAGCCATTTATATTTCACTTGTAGACATCGCGTATTTCATCTAATGTGACGATGGATTAATTATTGTGGAGGGATAGTTTGTATGTTCGTTAGTTGACTATTTAACCAAGTCAAAACATGTTGGTATTGCTACTCTAACACTCGTACATTTATGTTATCCATAAACAGCATTTTTTATTTTTTTTGCATCTCCAGGTGCCTTGGTTGCCTTTGATATTTCTTCCCTCAGTATTCCTCACTTTTAGTTCTATCCCTGATCGTGCCTTCACTGCTCAATTTCTGCATCTTCAAATTCTTCATTGCCACGTTAAATTTTACATTCATCCCCGACTTATTGCCCACATAATTATCTTCTAGCCCTTAGTCGCTTGCCTCGGGGCTTTCAATGTCTTCGTCATCATCGGAACTGTTGCCTTTCGCTTTGAGTTTGGGCACGTTCGCTCGTAGTTCTCTGCTAGATGAGAAGAATGCATTTCTCTCGTTTAACATTTTGCCCTGGCATATATAGCCCATTGGCGTGTTGTTGAACTCTTGCCCTTTCCGTCTTAAAGCTAGCCATTCCTGAAGGAAAGACAGTGGTTTGGATGTAAAGCTGAGATTGCTCGTCTTGACGGTATTCTCCATGTCCTCCTCTGGCATCTTCGTCAATGACATATCACTCTCCAAAGTATCTGGAGTTATCTCGGCCATTGAACTCGCGAGCCCCAGATACTTGCACATTGGTTCATATTCAGAATAATCAAAATATACCCGGCCTGCTAGAATTCCAAGCTCAATAGTCAGCCAAGAAGGTGCTTTCCAATTTTCGGGTAATCGCGGGATGGAATAAAAATCTAAATTGTTGAAGCGTAACATTCCACGCGTAACGGGCGCGGCATAGGTCAGTAAATGAGTATGGATATGCTTTGATTTCTGGTGGAGATGGATCAATAACTCTGCTTCTTCAGGAATAATCACAAGGGCAGCCTTTGAGAGAGGACTCCATAATACCCAGTTTACATGACGCTACGGAAAAAATTTAGCAACCAAATCTAGCAATTTCAACTCGTTTTTTCTTCGGGTTAAGATGTGAAGGATACTTACTATGTAGTTGTCATTATACTCGCCAACTGGCAAACGTATAGTCCTCAAGAACTCTTTGGAAAGAAATAATTTCGATGAGGTTGCACTGGAGTTAATACCATGCTTTTGTCCTAGCCCAGTCTTTTTTAAAGCTATGAATGCTTGCTGATAACCCGAGGAACAGGATGTCAACATCCCTGTACGACAAAACCTTTCGATATCTTCGTGAAGGCCAGGAAAGACTAAAGCCGTGAAACGAGGAGCTTTTTGAACTTCCCGGATGGCTTCAACCTCATAGGCGACCTCTCTCTCCTGTTCTACCTCCTGTAAAGCAGAGCTGTGAACAGCGTCCCCAAAATCCTGGAAACCTTTCCGCCGCTGTTCAAGATTTTTAACATGCGTTGCGATTTGGGGGGAGTACGCTGTTACAGCAGCCCTCGACTTTGCTTTCGCGACTGGCTTAAAAAGCTCTTGTAAAGTTTGCATTTCCTCTTGTTGCAGAGCCTTACAATATTGTTGCCGTTGGTTTGGATCGGTCAAACACTTTGGATTATCCAAGGCTGCTTGTGTTCGGCGGCAAAAGTCCATACCCTGAGAAAAGTATAGGGGTTGAATCTGCTCTATGCCAATGCATGTTTGGACTAAGAGCCAGTAGACAACATCAGCAGCTTTTACCGGAACGGAAGCATGCAGTCCTCGAGAGTCGAGTATACTGTAGTGAACTTCAGGGGGAGCGAAAAATGTAATTGATTGTGTGGTACCGAGCTGTCTTAATCTCATAGCAGCTATGTGTGGTCAGTAAATGTTTCTACATTGGGCATTTCATGCCACTTACCTTGCACAGTATGATCTTTTGTTTGTCCCAGGCCAAGAGTGAGGGCCCCAATTGCATCTCCGGGGAATTTTAGATCTGTGCCTCGGGTATGAGCCTCGTCAAGGTATACAAGGCAGTCTGCCAAGTTATCAGCATAAGGAGATGCTAGAAGGGGGACTTGATAGCCGTTGCGATAGATGATATATGGCTTGTTCTCAGTATTGAAATACATCGCTGCTGGGGCTTTCCAGTCAACCCGCAGCCATTCCTTCACTAAGCTCAAATTGTCCATCTCGAGAATTTGGGCTCCAGCGTCAATTAGTACTCGTATTTTCATGTTTCTCAGGAGCTCGAGGAGCCCTGTTTCCGTCAAACGCTTTCCGTCAGTGTCTTTAGCAACCACGTATTGGCGGGCCCGGAGAATGAAGGTTAACACTTCAGCATTTGTATGCACTAGCGAGTTGAGATCCTTTTGTTCTATTGTTAATGGAAGTACTGTGCGATTATCATTTGTCCCGCTAAACCCAGTTGTCATTGTTCCAGGGTTGGCACGGGGTGATGACAACGGAATATCCCATCCTGAAGCTTGCAATTTCACCCTGAATTGCTTTGCGTGTTTTGGAAAGACAAAGTGGTTAAGAAAATAATTGATGAGAGGCATTTGATAGCGGAGATGACTCCAAAGCTGGAGGACTTGTGATTCATCTTCGGTGTTTATCGTGTTCCAGTCACGGAGGATCTTAGGGAGTGTTTCTGAGCTATTGCTCCACTGCTCATATGTGGTTGATGGGTCACTAGATTTCATAAGGCCATCTAGGCATTGCCTCACCTGTGGAAGCTCCAACCCGCCGAGATAAAACGCTAAACAGGTAAATAGTATGGCGACATCCGGATGTCCCCATTCAGCTTGTTCGGATGGAACCCCCTTTGCAGTAAATGGAACCGCAATAGGGTCCCGTAGAGGATGGAGACCATACTGTACATTCCAGCGCTTTTTAAGTGTGAGAAGCAAAATCCGATGAACTAAAAGTCCCCGCAACAGATATATATTCCGCCTCGCTGCAGAATTGTCTGGAAACAAGGAGGATACCCGCTTGACAATTTTAGGTGGTATTGTTGCTTCTGAAATGAAGGCTTTGATATCCATAAGCTCTGAGTGGCGACAGTCTTGAACAGGAATCACTGAAGTTCGACCGTCTATGATATCCTTAACGATAAGGCTCATCAAAGCTTCTTCCGCATCCTTTCGTAGGAAGTAAACAATTGGAAAACCACCTTTAGGCCTTGGAATCACTTCGATACTTTTAGGGTATCTCTGCCAGAGTCCCCACACATGGCCGGAGAATAGTTCGAGCAATTTCTCTGCAGTCTCCCATCGTTGAGGGTGGCCATCTACTGTGCTCTGCGTACCACTAGGGTATATAAGTTGTGTCCGAGGAGCTAGAGTAAAGTCACATTCATCCAAAACATCACGACAGACCTTTTGCATCCATTCATTGATTTTGATCATCTGTTTTGCGTCAGGCAATTTGTTATCGACCAATCTCTGCTGGCCACTAAGCTTGAAGGACATCATATGCTCCGGAAGACCAACGATAACGCCAGCAGATGACATTATGTCTTTGTGGATTTTGAGATAACTATTGATCATATCCGGGCTAGTAGGCGTTCTGCGAGAAAACGGAACATGTCGTATTTCTCTCCCTACCAAGCCACCAAGTCTTCCTTGAAGTACCTGGGAAGTTTGAAGAAGTAGCGCCTTTGGCACAACTACACGAAGAAGCTTTGTAGTGTCTGATAAAACAGCAGCTACCATCGGTATAATGCAGGAAGTTTTACCTAGGTACAGAATTGTTAGCTAACCAATTCCAAATTAGTCTCCCGATTCCCTGAGCGTGGCTCCTTTCAGTCATGCGGACACTGAAGCACAAACTGCAGCCACATAAGAGGCTAAGTATCAGGTTTACCAGTATTAAGGGGAAAATAAAATTTGTTACCTTGACCCATATTCATCTGCAGGACCGAATTGGCTCTTGAAGACGGGGAAATAGTTGCATACGCAACATCAACTTGATTAGGCCTGATACAAATATCTGCGTCAATCTGTAGTAGTAGCCAGTCCGGATGAAGGGCAGGGTCCCAGTTCAGATGCGGCGTATATTTTTGCTCATCATCAAGTATCTGGTATTTATGTCGTAAGTACGCATCTTTGATTCTCAGGAGACGTTGTCTGGAAACAATTGCTACTGCAAAAGCGATGAGGCTCTCTTTCATTCCAGGTCCAAAAACACCCTTAAAGGTGGAACGAAGCTGCTCAAGTAGGGTAACTGTTGTCATGCAAGGCCATAGACCTGCAGAATGTAGCCAACGAAAACGTAAATCATTTCCGTTCAGGGCAGACTTGAGATGCTCGAGGTGGTGCTGTACCTCTTGGGTCGCTAAAGCAATGTTCTTATAAAGAGTGGAGGGTTCAAATTCCTTACTTGTTAGTCCATGTGCAGTTTTAATAACTCTCAGTGCATTGAGACTAGTCATTAAATCTTGTCCATATTGTTGTCTAACTAACGAAGGGGAATTTGCAATTCTCTTGATGATTTTTTCGAGTTCAAGGGTCTCCGAGAAACCCCCTCTTTGAGGTGTAAACATATTCTGAATATCTGCCTGTTCGCCAGAATTGAGAAAACTGTGCTTCCCACTACTTGTAAGTAGGGTATCATGACCATTATTTACGGCCTTTATCGGATAACGCTCGTGAGTATATACCATGCAAGGCTTGCGTAACAGATTGCCCATAAGAGTAGGGATATCAACTCCTCGAGTTCTAGTGGGAAAAATTTCTGTAGCCATGGACTTAATGCAGCAGTTGAACGGTTCGAACTTTCCAAAGTTGTTGGAGAGTAAAGTCGCTTGGACTTTGGCAAGATAGTTAGATAATTCCGAATTTTGGAAAAGCCGAGACCAATCTGGAAGGATTAATTTCAAGGCTAGCTGTACGTCCAGCAACGAGATATCAGGCATCTCTAGTGTACTTGGCTCAAAACAAGGCCATTGTGCAAAGATAAATTCTGAAAACGCAACAGCATCTCTTTCGACTCGCTTCTCATGTTCCCTTTCTGCAGCTTCAAGTCGTTTCCTCGTCTTGATGTTTAGCGGCAAAAAACCCCGTTCGTCTCCAGTGTATGGGACACTGCAATTCTGGATTAATTTACGGAGATAGGCCACCGTGGGCTGTTGGTTGTAGCGAAAATCCTTATAATGAACCCACTTTGGTGGATTCAGAGATTTTAGGCTTGGAACCGTAGCGAAAAGAACCAGAGTCCGTATTATTTCCATGTCAGCGTGGCTGGAAAAAGACATCAAGGCCATCATCATCATAAGGCGGTACTTCTTCTCTGCCTCAGAGTTGCGGCAGAAGTTAACAATCGAACCCCAAGATTTATCGAATTGTGCATCAAGCATATCACTTAAGAGAACCTTGTCAAAAATTTGATGGTATCCTCCTATTGTAGGCCAAGCCTCCAGCTTTTTGATCAAGTCAATATGAGCTCCTGTGTTTGTTGACCAGTTTTTCACAAAGCTACTGATCTCAAAGACATTGGTACGGCTTTGATCTTCCCGGAATCGATCTCGCGACTCGTACATTGTATCTTCCAAAAAGGACAACTCATGAAACCCCGCATTAGGCCTTTGATATGCATTTCTTCTCCGATAAGCCCTCTTCATCAGAAAATCATCCCAAACGGGCTTGGTAGTTAGCTGACCAGCCTCATTAACATTGAATTGCCTCAGCTGTCTCTCTGTTTCGCGGATTTTCTCAACTAAAAATGAAAAAATCTCATGTTGAATCCATGGTGTTAAGTTCTCATTCCAAGTAGTGTGCTGAACAGTCTTTGAGCCTGGAGGGTAATAAACCCTAGTTGGAGCCAGCTGTGCGATAGACTGAAGAGTCTCATGGGGCCCAGAATTCACCGTAGTCCATGGCTGGCTATAGCCCGAATCTAGGCAATGAACGGCTTCTTCCGTTCCTGTACGGCCTGTCAGCTGATCAGGTATAACAAAAGACGTATACGCGTGAAACTGAGCTTTGACATATAAAGTCCAAGGCTCAGCTGGGCAGTCTAGCCTCCCAAGCGAGTTATTGATGAAGAATCGACCGTAAGTTCCCTGATTTTCCGCAAATACGGTAACATGAATGCCATTCCTGGTGCTGCGTATAGGGCCCATGGGCACGATGATACTGCGCTGCTCATGATTATCCACATCGCGGAGGACGAGCTTGCTGTTTAGCCCATACCATGTACCTGCATCTTGATTCATGTCGATAACTGAGTTCAATTGTTTGCACTTAAGGTATCCACCTTCAGAAACGTTAAAGTCAAGTTCCAGGCGGCGAAGTTCCACCGAAAGGCGTCTCTCAGATGGCTGAAAAATAGTTATGTATCCAGGGTTCTCAAAACCGTCAAATACACTAGTGACAAGGCGGAAAAGCTGGCTGTGAGGATCAACCAAAGTAACAGTACGGCGACAAGCTTTTCGATTGTAGAAATCGACTTCCCAGTTACTCTCCTTATCATGCCATATGTTGGGTCTCCTTCTAATTTTAATTTTTCCAGTTGACAAATTAAGCCAATGAATGCAATTTTCCACCAAGGGTCCAGGAAGGTCAAAATTCCTCTTAGACCCGAATATTTCGCAGGGGAGGAATTCATAAACTATGCCCCTAGTCTCTGCTCGAACAAAGGTTTTGCCATCCCGAAAGCCTATGTGGATTCTCTGTTTATTGACCTCGAAGGGAAAAACATATGACATACCCTGGAGCGACGAAGGATAGACAAGTAATCTCTGATTTCCAAATAGGCGGTCTATAACCATGGCATTTCGGTAATTTGCTGGAAGAGTTGCTAAAGGCTGACCATCAACAAGTAAATGCCCTTCAAGAATGTGGTAATGAACAGTTTGCTTCCTTGAGGTGATCGTAGGGCTGATCTCAATCTCAGCCCATTCACATCCTTCTATTAACTTAAGGTCAGAGAATTCTCCAACCGTTTGAGAGCTCTGAGTCCAAATTTCTGTGATAACAGCACCTAGACTACCAGAGTGATTATTCAAAGATTGTGATAGTATGGAGCGCATCCGGTATACCATTTTTAAGTCTCGGATAAGTGCACGTCGTGGAGATGGTGATAGTGACTTCAAGTCACTAGGGGCATTATCTTGGAGTGAGATAGATGCCTCAATAAAGCAGCGTATATCTCTTTCCGTCATGTTCCCCGTGTATCCCGGAATGTTTTCCGCGTAGACAGCAAAGGTCCTCCTTAGAAGTAATGCAACGATGAAAGCGAATTCCGAACAGTTCGCAATGATATCTGAATCACCAGAGGTGCAAATTTCATGGCGTAAGTGCCGAACCCATTTCAATAGAGTTTCCTGGGCCATTCCTAGTAGAACGAGAGCCTTCTCAAGAACCTTGACTGGAGCCAAACTGCATAATCGGAGAATCAGTGTAATTAGCATCTCCATGCAATCAGTCTCTCGCCAGTTTGATGCAATCCCAACTAGTCGTTCTTGAAGCATTGTAATTAATTGAGTGCAAAAAGATTCATCGTGAAATATCTTATGCACTACTCGAAAAGGGTCATTTTTATCTCTTGGGCCTGCCTGTATTGCAAGTTGGCAAATTAACGAGGAGGGACCCTTGGTGCTAAAGTTCAAGTTTGAGGATCCAAGTTCAACAAGGATTGTAGGCCAACGACTAATAATGCCGGAGAAAAGAGATTTATAAGCCATGAATTCGTGAGCATTCAAACCCGCAGGACAAGACGGTTGACTTGCTATAATCTCATAAGAGGATGAGCCTGACAAGCTGCCTTGAGGTGTGATGGATGCAAATGGAGAGTTTATAGGGGTATTCATCCGAAGATGGTGAGAAAAGCTTGCAGTATAACTTTGTCGGTTGGAGAATGTTCCGGTGTAGGTATTATAATATCTAACTTTTAGATTATTGTCGAAACATATGTCCTCTAGTCTCACTGGAAAATAAACTCCTCTGTAATGGGTCGATAACAAAGACTTCCTCGTTGATGCAAGTGTAAATCCGTACGGGTTGCCAGTAACAAAATTTTGGAGTTCGCTATACTCATAAATTAATAGCTTAGGTTCAATTTTAGGCTGCGTATTAGGGCAAGCCATAACACCAAATGCCTGCCAGGTTGCGTTACGGTAGGCTCTGAAAGCCTCTGGACACTGAAGTTCAAATACCACAGCTTTGGCTTGAACTGGATTGCTTGGAAGTGGGTGCTCATGAATTTTAATTGTCATGCGGTTTGCCCGACGTTGATCGTAGCATTTCTCGCAGTTGTTATCGTGATCCACCCCTCCAAATCTGTTGGTGACGTAACTACAGAAGGATTGGGCAATTTTCTTCTGCAGAGCTTCAAATTTTTCGCTCATAACTTGCCAATCACACACTTTTTTCTCGTAAGCCCTCTTTGCCTGAGATATAATCTTCAAATGGAGGCTTTGAAGTATATGAGCGTCTTCTGATGAGTCAAAATATTTTTCTGCAAAGCATCCCTCTGTCGGATCGTCAAAAATGGTTCTCCGAGACAGACTCTGTGTACATCGGGTATCGATATATTCCTGAATGGTGTTCAATCGGGTTATGTCTCTGAGACTGGATAGCTGTAGTACATCAAGTAGATCCGGCGAGATTCCAGGGTGATAATCAAGCAACAAGGGGTATAGCTCGGTTGCATATTTGTCAAGTGCCACCCAAAGTCGTATGACATTTAAAATCATGATGCTCTTTTGCTCAGGGTTGTCATCGTATGGTTTTTCAACTTTGTCTAGATACTGTTTGATGTGGCCCGCAATCGTGGTACAGGCGCTGGGTGTGTCGACATTGAGATTTAGGAAGGCTTCATCAGGTATCAACTCTTGCATAGAGAGGTCATTGTAGATATTTGCAAATGTGCCAAAAGCATTCGAGTGCTTAGGGTTGAAGTCCTTGTAGTTCGACCATTTTGAATTCTTAGATAACCCATCTCTTTCGTATTGGGATAATACTTTTTCAATTTCTTCCTTACTATTTGTTAGAGAAAGGTTTAGCGATTCTGCATCTGCATGAGTTGGAAGACGGGGAATTCTGCGTTGAATGTGGGCCTTGAATGCACTCCATTCACTAGCAATGTGATCATTAGCATTACTGATAGAGCTTTGGAAGCTGTGTTCGAATTTTTCAAACAATCGGTCATAGATCACTCTGTCGTCGTGCTGTGCTTTCTCCCGATCTAATTCTAGCTTAGATAGGCGCCTTGCTAGCTTTGCCTTCAGGAGCGACAGTTTATCTGGCGAGAGTGAAGCAGCTCCAGACTCTAGAATTCCAGAGAACATAAGGCAGAGTAGGAACTTATAATATGCCCTTCCTTTTGTCGCGCCAAATTGCAAACGTAAATGTCGTTCAATTCCAACTCGGAGAACTAGCCAGAGTGGCAACCTTCTCCAAGGCTTACCACCACCAGGAGCCCAGGAAACTTCGTCACGGACACGCTTCCTTAAAAGGGGGGGAAATATTCTCGAGCCATTTGCCTCGAGTAAGGTCATCAGCATCTGAGTAATCAAAGCTGGATCGGTGGTATCGCGGTTTTCGAATGCAACTGATCCAGCTTTTAGAACACAAGCTGCAAACCTCTTTATTGATTCAGTGCTTGCGCATTCGAGAAAATTTGATAGTGACTTTTGGAACGATTCCTGGGTAAAAACAGTATATGGAATGACAACGGCTTCGCCTGGGAAGTCCCATTGTAGTGAACCTTCGACTGAGAGGACCTTTTCAGATACCGCTGATGCCTCGAAGGCTTCAAAAAGCACTATCTCTTCTCCATCTCTACACAAACATAATCAGAGGCTGTGTCTATAAATGCGGAATACCAAGATTGATGTCAGCTTACCTGTAGTCTTTGCAGATAAGTAGCCCAGCATTCTGTTCTTTAACATGGAGAATGATAGGGGTCTTGGGTTCAATATCCTGAAATTCACGTAACAGTGTGGACTTGTCTAGTTTACCACCAAGGTTGGTAGCCTCGCAAATCTCAAGAACCTTGCCGAGAGACAGTCCGATAGCACTCAGGTCTTTATCAGAGTCAGATTTAAAGGCTAATGACGCGTCCTGAAGGAATGATAGAAGCTCGTATCGAATATCATCATCACAGTTTTCCTCCTTTCCAGGAAGACGAGGCGGGAGCACTATGTGATTGAACACGTACTCAAGCTTCGAGCAAGCTGAAGGGGGGTAAGGTTTCTTCATAGCTGTTAGATTACTAGACAGATATGAGGGTGTTTTCGGCCAGAGTTTAGATAATTAGATAAGGGTCTTTCACATTCGCGAGGAGTGTATGTTTTTTTTTTTTTTTGGGCCTTTTGTGGGAACGAAAAAAAAAGGCAGAAAGCAAATCAAAACATACCAAGCTCCTTATATAGCGTGAACGCCACTAGATCTAGGCAGCTATGCAGACGGGAAGTTCCATATGCAGCGCTTATGTGCATGCATCCATGTCAAACAAAAATTGACCAATGCGCCCCAAGTCATATAACGTTGGACGTAAATCCCATTGGGTATGATTCTCCTGTCTGGATTTCTTGAAATACATGACTCTCACAGGGCTTACTACTATCAGAGGCAGTGGTATCTAATACGGCGTTTAGCCAACGGTTCTTCTCTATGGGAGCGAATGCTGCAATATCCTGTATTTCCTCAGGTGCATTTCGTCGATGATCTCCTCCATCCACAAGTAAACTTCATGCTCCTTTCCGCTTTTCAGAGTGTCCAGAACCGCTGAAGACCAAACTCAGGATATTTGATAAAGTATAGGAGGCAAATATGCAATTAATGATGTCTTTGCCATCGAGACCATAGCTTTCTAAGGTTGACGTTGTTTTGACCCATATCGAGCTTGAGCCATGGAGTAATTAGGTAATCTAGTCAAGGAAAATATTAATTCCGATATATTGATGACATAAGATCATAGTATCTGGGGTTTTCCGCCTGGCACCTGCAGAAGAACTAAGGCATAGACTCATCCGGGCATCCATGGATGGGATTCCAAAAGCTGCCTATATAGGTGCATAGGTGCATTTATTAGCCTCTTGATTAGAAGTATAAGCTGCTTCATCTTTTATGACCTTCTAGGATTAAGATAACCAAGAAACAGGTATCACGGAGAAGTTATAAACAACCGATGTCAATGAAAACTACAAACTTCGCTACGTATTTGAGCATTTGAATAGAGAATTACCCTCTTTTCGTGAGAAGTGTATTCAGTCGCGGAGAGGAAACCAAAAGAGACATGTCACAAGCGGGATCGTTAGCTCTGGAAATAGCACATATGTTCTACCTATTGTGCTGTAATAAATCATTATGCAGCAATATACATCTTCCGTCTATACACAGCTTCCCGGGCCTTTACGGCCTAGTATATACGCATTCCCAATCTCACCCAACGTTTTAACATCCAGCAGTTTCTCATAATACCCCCCCGTATTCTTGTCCCTAGTCATGAGAATGAACCGCCGCAGGTGCTTCATGCCATCTAGCACCTCCTTGACACATTGAATCAAGAAGGTGCCAAGCCCAGTTCCTTGATACTCGGGTATGACGAAGACGTCTGCAAGATAGAAGAAGGTCACATTATCTGTAACCAAACGAGCGAAACCGATTTGCTTCATCTGCGGGGATGGGCCCGTTGACGCTGATGCTGCTGTTTTCATTTTATTTCCGCAGTTTGTCATGGTATAGAGGCCGAAGCAAATGGATGAGTCGATGGCCATCAGGAGTTCTTCTTCGGGCAAAGACTTGGCCCAGTATATGTAGTCTTTTCCAAATTCTTCATTCAAAATAGCAGTTGAAAGGAGTGATTTATCCATAGAAACTAAGAACCGTACATCCTCGCCGTCTTTGGAGGGTCGGGTCCATGTCTTTGGTGTCGAAGGAGGTAAATTTGGCATTATAAAAAGGTCCGGTATATTTTTTTTTCTGTCTTTAATATTTTCTTAATTCCAAAGGATTCTTTCTTTCTAGGACTTCCATCTCTGGTGTCCGGCTGACCGACATCTTGTTACTTATCTGACTCATGCCGAAATGAATACGACAGAGTTCACCCGAAACGCCCTAGCGATGACATTCCAGCCTTAGGAAGAAAATGCCGAGAAGCGGAAGAAGGGAAAAGACGAGGAGTTATACTAGCATTGGGATAGCAAGGTTGTTCTAATTTGACAGGCTGCTGGTTCGGATGGAAGACATAGTCTACCTATAATACAATCCTGTTAGAAAACCGTCCTCACATAAAATTTGATGCGAAATCAATTTGCGATGGTAATGATATATTTTTACTCCCTCCATACAAGGGTGCGGGTGTGTTCTATACTTTTTTAAAGTCAGTAGCGTGTGGCCTAAATGAAGTGTTTATAGCTTCATATTGATGATAAAGGCGGAATTATGTGACTAGTATTAGACGCTCCATTAACAAGTTATTCCTGGGCTTCAAAATCTGGGGACTCGGTTTCTTCTGCCTTCTCTGTCTTCTGCACAGGGCCAAAGTAGTTGCGGAAAGTATGTTCTAAAAGCGTCTCGCTTAGTTGCATATGGCGACCGGGTATCGTCAAGAACTCCAAACGAGACTGTTCGTCTAGCACCTTTAACCCGAGCCAATCCTCCTTGTAAATCTGTCGTTGCTGTAGTTTAGTGTGTTCACCTGAGGTGGCATTGACCTCTGTGAAATGAGCGCTTTCCTTCGGGATAACAGTGGTGTCCTCTTCAAACATATACATCACAAACTTATTCAGCTTCATCAAATTTTCCCTATACTTCTCATTCTTTTCTTCCCTCTCGTTGTTGATATCAGCTAGGAAATTGCTGTACTTCAGGTAGTCATCCAGCTCCTCGGGGTCACGGAAATATTGCGCGGGTACTAACCCAGACTGCGTAATGCTCGACCAAGTTCCGAAACGCAACAAGGCATTGAAGCTCCAGCATAGCCAGTCGCTGGAATCCTTGCACGCCGTGAAGCTTGCAATGCCGTTATGCTGACTGCCAAAGGTAATTAGATTGTGAACGGGAGGCTTGTTACAACGCTGGACGTATGCTCTCAAGAATTGGCCACCCTGCGAAAAACCAAGCGCATTTATCGCAGGTGCACTGTTTATTATGGGATCTGACGCGAGTTTCTGACAAACTTCTTCAACTTGAGTGGTGACGTTGCCGAAGAAAGTGGCATCTCTATCCTGGGTCCCGGATTCACCGAGTCGAATTACGTGTACGTATGTGCCTGGATTGATCGTTTCCGCAAGTTGTGCGATACTTTTCATTCCTTCATTCTCGTAGCTGTCTCCTAAACCGTGCCATATCACAAGAGGCAGGAGATCAGTGTCAGGTTGGATAGGGGACGAAAGGACGGAGGTGAGGACGGAGGAAAGGAGAAAGGGAGAGAGAAGTGATATAATCGTTCTACTCATGGGGTTAACCGCACTATGAGAACTGTTTTATAAATAAGTGTGAGGGTAAGAACTTCAGTTTTCGTCATCAAGTTGTGGAAATGTTTTGGCTCGCGGTTGTTTGAATATGGCTGTGATTATATAATGCACCTATTGAAATGTTTTAGCGTTTTAGCGCGGCAATAGAAGCTTGATGACTAATCAAAAACATACCCTAAGCAGACGCTTTCGGCCATAGTGGAAAAGCGCAAATTATTGCTTGAACGCCTTCATTTACATAGGATTGGACGAGAAGATTTTTCTCTTCATGTGGACCCCAAAAACTTACGAGTTAACTTAATTGTATTAGGTAAGATAGCTAAATTTAACTCTCTCCTTAATTCTTCTATCATGACTATGTCTTCCCGGGGCAAGCTTGAATATTCCCAGCCCTATAGCCAGTGGGCATGCTATGTATGGTTCTATGCAAATAAAGATATTGCTCGTTTCTACGCCTATAATTCTTCACCTTTATCTTTGTATTGACCTAATAAGCTAACATGTCCTTTAGGAGCTGGTATGATATGCCCTAAGGGCATAGTGCACTAAATCAGGGCAACCGGTTTACACTTAGCATATTACGTATGTTCCAATACACGTTTGAGATAACTGGCGAAGTGTATTTTGCCTATAGTGAACTACCCTACTTGAGTATTTTCCACCATCGGGTCCCCCAGATTCTAAAACTTCACTAGAACACTCTTCCAGGCTGATTGGGAGTTCTTGGCTGAGTAAATTATTACTCCAGACGATCGTTCTCCGAGAGATCAACTTCCTGACCGTATACTAAGACCTTATAGGCTCGAAGGTTAGGGACCTTAATTGGGGATAAGTTGCTATAGCAGGGCTGAGGCTTTGGCAGAGAGTGAGAAAAACCCGCTTGCCTTTGCTCCGTATTAGCATAACGAGACACATACTGTGTCGGGCCATTTAAATCGTAATACTGCTGATGAGTATTTTGGTTTTCCCGGATTTCCTGTATATCTAAATGTGGTGAGGATATTGGGCCGTAGGAAGAGCATCTAGATTTGCTATAAAGCGGTGGCTGGATGTACTTCTGTAACAACGGGGGTCGATTGAGCGAATAATTTTGAATATAATCAATATTCTGGTGTCTTTTGCGGCGTGCGATATCTCTTTGTAGCACCATGGTGCTATTGCAGTCTAGCACATATCGTGGCGGATATTCTATTAGATTGCCTGCTCCTCCTATCCACTTGGGATCTCTCGAGATTATACTCTGCGCGTTGCCTCTCGGCTGGAGCGGCGGAGTTCTCTTTTGCCGAGGGTATATTTCATCTCTCCCCGTTGATGATTCACTTCTAGTTTCTCCCTCTAGGCACCTTGAAACTTGCGGCGTAGGCATTGGTGGTGGAATATATCGCGTCTGGTTACCGGTTGTAACAAACGAGCCTCGCCGATCTAGGACGGGAATATTTGATATATCTGGGCATAGGGAAGCATCAGTCTGATTATCCAGTTGATATTGTTCTTGTTCTTCAATATCGCTATTGCAGATTATATTCTGCGAGCCCTTGACTCTTGTAGAAGCTGTGCTAATGGATCTTCCAACTCTATCTCTGGTTGAGTTAGTATCAAATAATATCGACTCTGCCGATTCATGGGGAAACATGGAGATTTCAGAATGATGAGGTTCAATCTCAGGTTCGCCCCTTTGTTGCTCTACCCATACACTGATATCATCAGAGCTCGGTTGAGTTGAGGAACGCCGCCTTGGTCGTGCCATCTTTTGCCGTTTATTCGGAGCTTGCTGAGGGGTATGTAAACCAAATCCATTTTCCCGAAACAAAGGTTGCCTTCTTCCAAACCGTCTCTTATCTTGCTCGTGTGCGGCGTTCAACCTATAGGGTCTCGAAAGGCTAAGGCCTGCCCAATCTTCCTTTCTCAGCAGCTTCTTCCTCATCTCGTCAACCATGGTGGTAGAGGAATCTGCAAGAGAATCCTTTGTCTCTCGGTCGTAGTTATGTGTCACTTGCAACAAACCGCTAGTGTTTAACAGTGCCGCTTGGTTCTCATTACGGGTGTTTGTTCCATACTCCCTAGAGGTCGCTATAGAGCCAGGGCACCCAGCTTCGTAGCTTTCTCGCTCGCCTGTCGCCCATGTGGTGATTCTGAAAGGCGAAATGGGCTGAGTTTCATTAATGACCCGTAGTTTAGCTTGGGCAACGCGTTGTTGCTGAACACCCTTGGATGATGGTTTTGTTTTGTATGAGGATCGATGTAAACGGCCACCAGTCCAGTTCATCGCGCACGTAGGAAACAACCAAGAGCGTGCTAACCTCTAAAAACTTTCAAGCAAAAGATTGACAGAAAATAAATTGAAAATTTATGCTTAGAAAGCGTAAACTTATCTGCGCTATACGTGTGGGTATGTGTCGCCTTTTTCTTGGTTTTGTTTATTTACCCATCGATGTGCGCAGTTATAACTAACAAGTTTAGAGTTGCTTATAAATAAGCACTACGACTACAAAAGTTACCGTTATTCTGGGATATTTATACTTAGAAAAGGGGCGTTTATGATAGACTGAATATCTTTAATTGGACGCATTTAACTATAAAGACTTTTAATAAGGAAGCAACAGGATTTAAAAATCATGTAAAGAAATAAAAAGCAACCAATAACACCTTGAAAACGCCATTTTGAAAAGAGAGAAAAAAACATTCTTTCCGGAACAGATTTACCAACCCTCATGGGCTGGTTTCTTCGTCGGTTCCGGCTCCTTCGTGGGCTCCGGCGCCGGTGGTGGTACCGGCTTCTTTGTCGGCTCCGGAGCTGGTGGTGGTTTCGGCTTTGGAGCCGGCGCGGGCTCATCCACCCCAATCTCAATACCATACGTAAACTTCAGTTTACGTATACGGCCAATAATAGGCCATAACCAGTTTGGGATGGTAGCCACATTTAGCTCCTGTTTGAGGAGCGCAAGCTCGGCCTCCGAGCAGTTGCCGGCAGCACACTTGGCCACGCTGTCGGCGTCAGCGTGGTTCATCCCCTCGAGGATGGTGTCGATTTCGGCCTCAGAGAGGCCCTCATCGCGGCGCGCTTTCTTCGCGCCGACGGTATCAGAGCCTGGCTTGACAGGCTCGATTTTGGAGGAGATTTTCCACCCCCTCCCAGAAGGATCCTCCTTCAACATCTGGGCCGCAGCACGAAGTGCGGCCAGGTCCTCCTCGGAGCACTCTCCGGCCACACACTCGATGTGGAGAGTCTTGGAGGGCCGATCTCCTGGGTATGCTGTTAGCTTAATAGCTCAAAAAGTCATGAAAATTTTTACAGTGTGCTTACCACTTCTGCCGGCCATCACCGGCAAGGCGAGAGCTGGCTGCAGGAAGGCAATTCCTGCAGCAACAACGAAGACGAGGTTACTGAAAGTTGGCATTTTCAGTGTCTGTAAGGTAGATGCTGTTGTTAGTTAGACAAGTTAAGGTAGGATATGAGGTAACAACCTTACTGTTGTGGGCGAGCTTTTTGGTATATATTTTGATATCGTGGTGTTATAGTGTGGGAATGTTTGAGTGAATAGTAATATTATGATGAGGAAAGAAAAAAGAAAAGGAAAGTCGAGGGAAAGGGAGCCAGAGCGAGCTATTTATGCACGACTCCGGCATGCTACGGGAGCGTATTTTGAGCCGGCTAAGCAGGAGCATGATATGCCGTCATCAACAACGCAGGGAACCATGGTAGCGGTATGTTGCAATCATTTTTGTTATTGCGAGCGCGAAGGAACGCACCTCCTATGACGAAATGAAGTCGACGGTGAAGTACGTATGTTCGGTTCTGGGCTGACACGAGACTTGAAGCCGGCAAGTGAAAGGGCAAGGCCTATTAGACTACCATGGAAGATGATGCCAGTAACATGGTATATGTGATCTGAATAATGTAGATATTGATGACGCATTTTAGCAAGCCTGGCGATATAGTTTGGTTCCTGAGAACCACGGTTCGCGGGGAGGATATAGAAAATAACGTCATGTACTCTCCATATACGGCTCATTGTGGTATTACCCAAAAGTGCAAAGGAAAGAAAAGCTGAGAGGCTCACGATTTCCCTTTCTTTTCTTCCTTTAGTTTCACTATTTTCTTTCATGATAACCATACCCTAAACGGTACGATACACAAATAGGACATAGCGCTAACTGGTTTCTTGTTTGCACAACATATCTTCACTTGGGAAAGGAACATATCAGGAACGTAAAAGATGTCGGAATACTACCCAACTGCAAACGAGTCTTTGGTTGAGAGAGTGTTAGTACCCCAAACAGTCTCTCAGATAGCATCGTCTTCCTCAAGTACAAGCCCTAGAGAAACGGTGGCTGAATCTGACGAGTGTTACTCGTCGAGGAGTGACTCATTGCTTAGTGGCGGGGAGCCTCGGAGTGATGAACTGCCTGAGGTTCTATCCGGGAGACCAGCCCCTGGTAACTTCGCAACTGGGGAGATGGTTGGAACTGCCTTTGCAATCTCAGTCGAGGCTGCAGAGAGTAGAGGAAGCGACGGAGAGTCGGGGCTTGCCCATCACTTTGCGTTGGTAAAGAAGAAAGTGCGCAGGTGTGGATGTTTACTCTTGCTTTTGTATGTGTTTTGGGCTGGCATGATGTTCGGTTCAAGTCAGCACCAGAAGTACAAGAGTAGCTATCCTGGCATCGTATACTGTAAGTTAAATGTTTGAGGGGATTTGATCTTGTACATGGAGAACCCCAACTGAAAATGGATACTAGCGCCCGCCCGGACTGTACAAGAGTATCAATCAGTTCGCTTTGATGGGGACATAAAAACGATAAATTCGTATAAAGGACCCCCTAGCAACGCGATAGATGAGGCCTGGAAAGCTCTATATGATGGTATGGTAAGCCACAGCCTTGCCGAGGGAAAGAGATAATGTCCTAACTATCCATGACACAGCCGGACCACTCTTGGTGGACAAAATGGAGCTTGAGGCCGTTGGGAAGGAGAGCATCGAGTTGCCGTCGCGCCCCGGAAAGCACTTGGTTAAGTTGGCGGTATTCCATCAGCTCCATTGCTTGGTATTTGCATCCTGCTATTTCTGGAAGTGCCTATAATTGACAGTGAGGTATAGGACTATGTGCGCAAATATGTGCATAGAGAGCACTACCGCATCGACGACAGCCATGCCGCAGTCTCCGGGATTGATCATGCCGGTAAGTTGGACTATGGCGTCTCGTTATCCGACGTTGGTATATTTGACCGGTATATCTGATCACCATCGTATAGATCACTGCATCGACATGATCCGCCAGGCTCTGTCATGTTCGGCTGACCCTACGCTCATAACCTTCAAGCAAGATGGCCCATTTGATACAGTGGAGGCTGATTTCAGTGCAACCCACGCTTGCACGAACTTTGAAAAGATGCGTGATTGGGCTAAAGATCGGGCCATTAATATGACAGAGGAAATCATCCGGAACCCAGTGCCGTTTAAGGATGCAGTGATAGTATCGCTCCACGGCCATGGAAATAGAACATCAAAGGCCTGATGTTCTCACTTCGTATCGCCGTAGCCAGCATCAACACGGCGAAAAGTGAAGTTTGACGGTTGATGTCTTTTGTCTTTATCCCTCGTCTAGGAATTGCGGGATCTAAAAGGCCTGAGATCATCTCCATAGATACCCCCGGATGTGGAAAGTGATAATGGCGACTTCTTCAACGGAATGAATCCACCATAGGGTGAAGAAGCATGCCGATGCCGACGGCGTGGCCAAATGTGCTGCTAGCGCATGCTCAATGGCTGACCCCGACAGGGCCTTAACAAGTCTACCATCCCAAGCTGGTTATGGTTTGTAGTAAACTGAAGTTTACGTATGGTACCCAAGGCTAGGAGCAAGGAGCCTAAACTGAAGCCCAGCACTATATAGGGGCGATATAGGGGTCTTTTTTCGGATGGGTGCTGGGAGCTGATTATCACAATAACTTGTACTCCTCGTCATTATGGCGCCTGGTCACAGGCTGTGGGGCAGCTTAGCTTACTGTTTCTCGGGGCGAGCAATCAAAAGTCTTCGTTTTCTTCTTTCCTGTCCGTGAATCGCCAGTCCAACATGTTTACCTACCTATTCCTACTGCTGGAACTGATTTTCATCTCATACGCCTGCACGTTGACGGTCTGTAATTCGTCTATCCCCGGGGCGTTCTGATTAACCTGTTCTCGCTATTTTATATGCCATATCTCTCTGCTTCAAGCAAAATCGCTCTTATTCACCAAACAAGGACATGCAATATCATCTACCGAATGGATTTGAGGTATATACAAGAAGATGAGGTTTGGCCTGATCCTCATCGAGCCGGCACGTGAGCATTTCGGAAATCGGATTATTAGTATCCCTTATATATCACGTGGTAAATTAGTCATCAAGGTAGTGTTTTTCACAAGAAAAAAAAACATCCCAAAAAAATTCTTCATGGACAGAAAATCGGCTGTTTCTCTTCATCTTTTTGTTTCTCTTCGTTGAACAAATAGATGCTGTCTGTAAAGACAATGTTCCCTTTAGACGAGTGAAACGGGTCCGTGGCGAGGAAAGGAGCCAAAGTAAACATGGCCCATGTTTACCTTGATGTCGTTTCTACCAAGCATAACTTGCTTGGAGAGATGGCTCTATGAAGATGGCCAAAAGGTATGTCTACAGCCATTTCATTTTCTCTGTGCAGCTTCTTTTTTACCTCCTCTCTTCCTGCGGCCTCTATGATGATCCCCATGTACAAAGCATAGTTCAACTGAAGGTCCTCGGATCGCTGAACGATAAACCCATCACCATCTTTCACCTTGTCTGATAATGGCCAACACACATGATTACATATATATTATCTCTTCCTTTTGCATGCCAGCCAGCTAACTCGGAACTACAGGCTTGTCGTGATCCTTTTGGTGTGTAACACCAATATATCACCCCCGTTGCTGGCTTCATGCATTGCTGCCCAACCTCCCTGGACCAGCCATCCCTGGCCAATCATTGCCATCCACCCTCAGTTACATCGGCGGATGGACTTGGCTCCCCTGTAAAGAAAAGCAAATATTAATGGATGCGACCCTCCAGCGAGCCGAGGATTCAAGTTTCGTATCTGACATGAGGTAAAAGTCGCCCTTAATTTTCTGCTGTACTATGTAAAAGAGTGCTTCGTATGAGATACACTGTGTTGTTTCCATGCCTTTCGTCCACGTCCCTCCGTAGTTGTTTGTTTTTATGTGATAACACGCATACCATCCCATCAAGGGGGGTGGGCCCCTGCAAGCTCTAAAATAGGCTAATTTTACGCTACAGAATATCAAGCCTGCCATGTCCATAGTAATGGGTCCAACTCAATATGTTCCATCAGTCCGGCCAGAGAAAAGGGCTCAACAGTCCCCATAATAGGCTGGCTTCTTCAGCATTTACTGAGCGCTTTATTCTAAGTGATAAATAACTATTGAATGGCTTCATAAATCTCACCACCAGCATCTGTTTCAGAAGCAATAATACTATATTTCAAAGCCACTCACTCACCGCTGTTTACCAAGGTCTCCTTGGCGGGAATTGACTGGCTGAGACGAATTCCTGACTGGTAGACAGGGTGCCACGTCGAGGCATCGCTGGTGACTTGTCTTCGCGGCCTACTGCAACAACCCCAGCGCTATCACACACTCCATGCAGCCGAAGCAAATAAAACACCGCATGATACTGCGAAGCAAACAACGTGCACCAATCCCCTTGTTTGTGGATGCGGGTTCTCTTCACTCGAGATGCACTCGCCCCGCTTTGCTTTGTTTGCATCTCACCCAGATTCGCAGGGTGAGGCGGGCTTCTCTTATGATGTGCGATGGCGGATGCTCCGAAGGGTAGTTAAAGCCTGATGTCCCCATTTCTCTTCTTGATTCTGTACTTTTTTTCTCCCAACCATCAGAGATTCTTACCCAACTCAAAACCTTCCACCTTTTGACAATCACTTTCTTCACCGTGCATTGTCAGTGCCAGTTCCCTTGAACGTGGACGGCTTTACACTTTCATATCGCCTACTGGATCCGTTTTGCAACCCTATATTGGCCCCCAAAGAATTACTGGATATTCTGCCCATTTGGATTCGTTGCATTGTTTTGACAGATAGCCCAATTCCCTGGGGTTTTGGGGAATAACTAGTTTTGCTTCTAGCATCGCGGCATTGCATGCCAAACCAAAAACATCAGGTAGTACCCATTTGATTTCTATTATAATGTGTCTTTTTTTTGTCTTGCTTGCGTTTAGTGTGTCTTGTTTTTGATGCTTGTTCTCTTTTATTTGGACCTGTACCATCAAATCATGTACTGTTCTGCGACTATTTTCCACGGAAGCCCAGGAAGACGACCCGAAAATGCCACTACCGCTGGATGGATATCAGAATGATGCCGTTGGCTACCCCCTTGGATTGCTCACCTGGATCATCACAGCTTGTTTAACAGCACAGCCTGGCGAACCCGTCAAAGGAAGGCTTGTGTTAGTCATATATGCATATTTCTGCATTTGACGCAAATAATGACATGGTTACCAGATGGTGAATTGATGAATGATCTTAACCAAGCGCTGAAACTGCCAGCGAGGAGCCACTTGCCCTATGTGATGATAGTTCCCCAGTTTTGAACCCGGATTTTGACCAACGGATGAACAAAATGATGATGATTCTGTTTCTACTAATCGACCAAATACTTGATTTTCCCGGAGACATACAATATTTACACCAAATGATGATGCAGTGACTTGAAATGTGTTTTTGAAATTTTTAAACCCTGGAACAATCTTTGCACCGGTTTTGACCTAAGCCTTCGGAGAGGATCCAGGAGTCATGAATGTTACCACATCTCTTGATGCTTTATGAGCTAGCCATGCTCCAAGGATTTTACCCGGACGCTCTAAAAATAATGTTTCAGTGGCCTCAAATGGATTCTCAATCAGCCGGTTGTCAAATTAGCCCTAGCCATTAACTTCCTGGTTAGTTCACAAAATATGCGAATGATGGGTGGGAATATTGATTTCAAGAAACTAACGCTTTTATAGGCCCCCCCCCCTTTAGGCTGGACTTTCCTTTCAATCCATTTTCACAATATTTACTCTTTTTTTATTATTTTCGACAACTCTCGAACATGTCAATACTAACTCGAGCTTGTAGTGCTGGTTTTCTTAGAATTTTCAAGGATTCACCATCCCCAACACTTCACAATGTCTTCAAAACCAAAGGCCAGCGTTTCAAAATTGTCAATCCCTAAGAGACACTCCCAAGGATCAAGGTCACAACAATCCTTTCAAAGTTCCTCTTCAGCCCAGGAGTTTGTGGATATCCCAGCCAAGACACATGATGATGACTTCTCACACGACAAATTTTCCATCTCTCCTGGAATTAATGGATCGTGTCACTTTGATAGCCTTGGTAACTGGGCCATCAGCGACGCCATGTTGACTTGTGCTGATATTAGTGCCGCCAGCGAAGCAACTGATGAATCATTTGACACACAGTCACTATCAACGACTGATTATGATATGCAAGAATCCCGGATGTTGACATTCGCCCCATATTCCCAGCCTATCTTCGCAGGATCCACAGACCATTCTACATTCTCGGAACTCAACCCAATTCAGGATGTGACTTCCAGCTGCGAAAGCCCGCAGATGGCATTTAGGAATTCTCATGGATTCCAGACTGTATCCAATGTTATGGGATTTTCTATTAAGAATGAATCAAGCCGTATTTCCGGTGACAATGGATGTGATAATGAAAAGGACCAGATGGAATTTGACCCGGCCCACCAGGGAATGAAAAACTCCGACTCTCTGGCAGCTCCCAGCCCATGGTGCCAGACGGCAATGAATGATGATACTTCTACTGGAAATGTAGTCCACATGTCAAATCTGTACACTCAGATACCAGCTACTCCCCCACTCACTGAAGCCAGCCAGGACATACCCGTTACTTCAGCATGTTCCCCCTCAAACTTTTCGCCATACACCGGACATGATGATTCTCCCTTTGTTGATGCTTCCTATCTGTCGGGCCAGAACTTCACTATGAATGCCTTCTACCCTCTCAGCCCACCACTTAGTGCGCGAGACTATAACAGGTACACTCATTTACTTCTAACACCGCTTCTGGGAAGATGAGGAGCTAACGAATAGTGAAATGCAAGAACAATTAGGCCATCTAAGCCAGCCAAAAGATCTAGTCTATCCACTGAAGCTACCGGTGATATGTCGGAGGTTTCCGATGGTGACATGTTTTCCACTTCAGTTCTAAGCCCTAGAGCCAAGGATGGTGCAGAAACCAGGAACCCAAGGGATCATCCATTCTATTCTCTCCCACCAGAGACAGATGGGAAGTACTACTGCCCATTTGCATCTAGAGATAAGCCCTGTTCGCACGCTCCAACGACTCAAAAGTGTGCTTATCAGTAAGTCTTTGCTCCCCACTTGTCCCGACACCATGAATATTGTCAGTCTAATGGTTGGTGATAGTAAATATCTGGATTCACATCTTAAGCCGTACAGGTGCAAGGTCCCACAATGTGTTGATGCTCATTTCTCCTCCAATGCTTGTCTATTCCGCCATGAAAGGGAAGCTCATGGTATGCATGGCCATGGCGAAAACCCTCACCTCTGCCATTTCCCTGCATGTGAACGCTCAATTCCTGGAAATGGCTTCCCTCGCCGTTGGAACCTACATGATCATATGAGGCGTGTCCATGACTACACCTCATCTGATAAGGCCAGTTCTCCAGAAGGATCTCCAGTTACCGGAAACTCTGGGAAAAAGAAGGAGTCCGCAGTCCGCAAGAGGAAGGGTGGCTCATCCAACAGCCAGACCATGAAACGGGTTCGGCCAGTTCAATCTCAAACTGCCGCGGCTCTCAAGCTCGCCCAAGCACACAGCGGCCAGCAGCTCCAAAACGCGGAGAGAAGTTATTATGCCTGCCTTGCTCAGTTGCAAGAGGAACTCAAGGATATCAACCCCCAGGACCCTACTCTCCATGAAAAAGCCAATGCCCGACTGCAGGAACTTCATACCCTTAGCCTCAATTACCGTTATATCCGAGCTGGCCAGCTTGCTAACGAGAGAGCTTCCAAATCATCATGAATTCCAGCAACTATCACGTCCTATCAACTCCACTGCATTATCGGTTTTGTTTTTAAAAGTTGTTGCCATCCATTCCCATTCTTCTTCGGCCTTTTTCTCACTGGATTTTTCTTTCTTCTTTTACCCCCCTTGGAAGTTCTGCCAGAGAGGATATTGCAACGGCATTTGTTTATTCTCTTCTTTTTTATTATTCTTTAACCTGGCCTCGGATATCATGCCCGGCAAACCCAGACCGGGCTTAATGATGATATATATTCCGTCTCCCTGTTGTTTCAGTCATACTTTCATGTTCCCCTCCCCCCCCCCTTCCAGCTCATCTAACAGCACAGTTTGCATTGTTTATTGGTTTACTCTGGAATTGGTCCTTTGCATTGGCGGTATTCGAATTTTCAGAAGAGGCTCCCGGCGTGTATGGTGGGTGGACACCACGTCGCGGACAGAAGTTTTTGTTATTTAGTTTTGCACTTCTTTTCTATTTTATTTCTTAGACGAAAATATTCCCAGTTCGGATTGATTTATCACACAGATCCGCAAAGGATACTCCCCGGAATACCACAAAAAAAAAAAAAACCACCATGAGCCAGTAACAGGACCAGCTCACTTGTGGGAAAGAAAAGAAAAATAGGAGAACTTTGCGCTGGACCATCCAATATATTTAAATTCCTTTTGTGGTTGTCATTAATGATCTATCCTCTGAGAATTGTTGTTTTTATTTCCCTGTATCTATTTTCGTGCTTTCCACCCTCTCAGCGGTTATGATCACGGCCAATTTCTTATAAGATCCTGAATGAATTTCATTATATATAACCTCTGAAAGTATACCAGTTATCGTTACACGTACCTAGAACTCGGTCATTTCTTCAAACTCGGCATTTAGAAATCTCACAAAAGCTTCACCGATTTCTTCCTCGTTCAGCGTTCCTTGGCCCATGCCTTGGCCATGGCCAGCAAATGCTCTATTCATCCCAACCCACTGTCTTCTCAATCTTTGCAGGCGAGGGAGTGTCAGTACTCCACCTGCACCAACTAAATCTTCCGTAGGGGCAGAAGCAAGGGTCGAAGGAGGTATAAAAATAGGAGTTTTGGTGGAGGGAATGGGGATCGTTATGCCGGGGGCATGCGGGTTGGCTAAATAGCTAGACGAAGATGGAGACCGGTTTTCAAGAGAAAATTTGCGGATGGTTGATATTATTTCTGATGTTGTTTTCTCTATTGCATATAGCGCGGTGGGATCTGTTTTAGGTGGTTGGGCCGTGGCTTGGTGGGGAACTATTTTTGGGCGAGTTGATGTAGACCGTTGGAAGGCTGCCTTCTTAATTGCAGTGGTGGTAGATGGTGCACCTGCTACTGTATTTGCATCATTCGAAGACGCTTGTACGGCTCCAGCCTGGGGGAATAATCCAGAAGCAGAATTATCCGGATCATCATTCGTTATTTTTTGTCCTGTTATAGCGAACCATATATCCTCCACGGGAGGGGTTGGGTCAGCCCAAGGTACAGTAAAAAGAGGTTTATCCCAACGGCTCGATGTTGAGGGTTCCTCGTAACGATATATGAGGTTATCCAGAAGTTCTGGCGGGTATGGCTCCTCATCATCATCCTTGGTTCTGTTTGGCGCGGTGTTACCGTCTCTCTCGGGGATGGAGGCGGTAGATTCAGAAATATCAGCCTCAAGCGGCGGTTGCTGTCTGCCCCTTTCCGACGCTTTTTGTTTTCTCTGTAAGCGAGCCTCGTTCGTGGAAATACATTGGTCTACTGGAGTTCCCACATGTACCTATTCGACAGAGCCTGGTGAGCAAATTATCTCCCTAGCCATTGGATGAACACAGTACATTGCGAGATGGAAGAGAAAAAGGGGAAAACATCATACCACACAGCATGTTGTCATAGCTTCCTTGCTTTCGCACCAAAGCTGATACCGCCAACCTTTAATATAATTCATTCCATCCACGATAACGATGGCGTCTCTCCCTAGTAGCCTTTTCACGCGCGCGTATACCACGGCTCTTGCTTGTTTTTCTGACCTGGCAGCATCATATACAGTGCGCGGATGGGCTTCATCGTGTGAGGTGACGATATGAATCTTATATCGGGATCTGGAAGATGCGGGGAGAGACGACTGCAGGTCTTCAAAGAGCGTGGACAGTTGACGCGCACGATGGGATAGCCCTGAACACGGGTAGCCGGTTAAAATTATTAACTGTATATATGTTAGATACAATAAAAGGGCGTAGAGAAACCGTGTGGGATATCCGTACTGGCATCGCGATCTATATCAATAATTATTTGTTGCGTGGGGTGTGTGTGCTGCACGAATGCGAGTGCGAACTGGTTGTCGCGCACTTCTTAACTGTCCTGCTACAAAGAGATATTGAGTTGCTGAAGATGTAGGAGAGAGAGTAACGGAGGTAGGGTGCAGTTGATGAAAGTGAAGAGTATTCTGATCCCCAGTATGAGATTATATTAGCTAACGAGGTTATGGAGGTGCTGCTTAGTCATATTCAAGGCTTTTGGCCAGGCCCTTTGGCACAAAAATAATGCCGGTCATAAAACATACAAAATTAAAGAAAGGAACAAAACAATATCAAACTCAGGTATATTTCCTCCCAGTCGCTTAACACTAGTTCTTGACCTGAAGTCGCCGTTTGAATATGAACGGGGCTCAAGAAGCCGCAGACGGGAAAACAAAATTTACATCTTCGAGCAAACTCCGAATGTATTTTCGCCCATATACCTGTACAACCATCAGTTAGCCAGAATAGGTGAGTGTATTTTTCGGAGTTGGGACAACGTACTTCATATATAAGAATCCGTCTTCATCCTTGTGTGCTTCGTAGATTGTAGAAAGGAGAGAGTTATTTGAAGGCACCTCGTCCTCAACGAACATGAACATGGCTTTCTCAGGAGGGAGGTTTAGACGGACGCGCAGGACGTGCATGAACTGGCCAAGTGCGAGATCTTTGGGAAGAAGGAATTTGGTCTTCCCAAGTTCTACAATGTCTGATCGTGGGACCTTTTCACAGACAAGCTATAATATGTCAGTCCACCAGCCTCTTTCCGAGTGGAGCGAGCTCGTCGATGTTCTTGTCTCAGCAGGAGCCATTGGATAACTGATCTCGGACTTACCGGAATGTGTTCCGGGTTATTTTGTAGGATGCGTGCGGACTCAGCTTCGCGCTGCCTGAATGTGAATCTTTCTTTAAATGGAATCGGCATTGTTATTTGTAGTCGGTCGTAGTGTTGTGGGAAGCCAGGGATTTTAGTAATAAGAGGAAGAAAGCCCACCAGCGATGACTGGAGGATGAAGTCCTGAGAAACTCTGGAGAGAGCGGAAAGGCACCATTAAATATGGCCAAGAATAGGAAGCCACGGAAAGCTTGAGATGCTGCTTAACGGTTCCAATTCCTGCCATACTTTTGCGTTGTCATCAGCATCAAAGTGTGTTTATTGTAGGTAATATCCAGTTCCTTAGTTTGGTTCCAATTTCCTGGCTTACAAAGCCCAACATTGTATGTTTCTGATGCAAATTCCCTTAGCTTAGCGTTAACGCCTGGGAGCTGTAGTATTTTGGAACGCTTTACCCGAAGAAGAAACTGGACCAGAATTTACTCCTGGCTGCTTTGATAGCATATCAACTCCAAAGCTTCATATACTATCAGTATCTTTACAGATCTTGGGGTATTATTTGAGCCGTGGTCCGATGATACATCTGGTTCACCACTCAGCAAGAACCATGGATAGGGCCCCGTAAGGACAAGCGCAACTGGTCAACGATAAAGACTTGTTCAAATGAATACAATCCAGCGTATAACGCGACTATACGTGACATAGGGAATGTTCTACATAGACATGGCCTTTGGCGGCTTAAAACTTTTCAGTCCAAAACGAATGTCTTCCATCGATATCGTGAATTACCGCGTCTGAGCGAAGGTTGCTGCCTAGTCTTGGCAAAGCTTGATGGTCACGTGTAGACTACACGTGACCCTACTCTATTTAACCTTAAACTCGCCGTTTCCCACCGTGTACTAGTAAGAAGAACGCAAAGTAAAAAGTTGCTCGAGATGTTGACACCTTGGTGGTTCGCGTCCCTCCTGACAGCGTCGTTAGTCTGTTCAAGCCAAGCCGCAAGCCAAGTCCCACTGCACGTTGATTTGGCCAAGGACGCCGCAGGGAAAGATGGATTCCAGGTTTTCACGAGCAAGCATTCCCCACGACATTCGATCCGCATAAAAAGACAAGATAGTTCGATTTGTGATGCACATTCAGCCCAATATACCGGGTGGCTAGATCTTGGGCCGAAGCACCTTTTCTTCTGGTACTTTGACAGCCAGAACGACCCGGAAAATGACCCGCTCACCCTATGGATGACTGGTGGGCCAGGCTACTCTAGTATGCTCGGGATGCTGCAAGAGGTCGGGCCTTGCTTGATCAACGAGCATGGAAACGGCACATATTACAATCCGTGGGGCTGGAGCAAGAAGTCCTCAATGTTATTCGTGGATCAGCCTGTTGGTGTAGGCTTTTCTTATATCGATGAGGGTCATGACACTCCCGATACTTCACATATAGCTGCCGTGGATATGCATAGATTCCTACAGCTGTTTGTATCCGAAGTCTTCCCTAGCAAGCTGTCTGTTCCATTCCATATCTCTGGAGAGTCATATGGCGTAAGTTTTGTCCAATTGTCTAAAAGGCTTCTTCTAACCTGACTGCCATCTCCAGGGTCATTATATCCCGCACCTTGGAGCACAAATTGTGCAGCAGAATAAACTATACCCGAATGAACCCCAAATACGTCTCAAGTCCTGCTTGATTGGGAATGGGTGTATGTCAGAGATGCATACAACCTTCGGTTACTGGGAGACCCTTTGCACAACCAACCCTGGTGTTGAAAACCCTGTCTTCAATGAAACCAGGTGCGATATTATGGCCAAAAATATGCCGAGATGCATGACAGTTTCTGAAGTCTGCCGCCGTAACCCTGATCCTGCCATATGCCTCTCTGCAAAGGCGGTTTGCATCGAGGGAATAACTGGAATGTACGATGAAGAATCTGATGTTAAAGGAGGCCGCAATAGATTCGATAGTAAGTAAGCACACAATATATCCCTTGGTACAGCATACTCACAAGTAATTATAGTCACAGTCCCCTGTCAAGTGGACGACATATGCTATGTTCAAGGACCTCTGTTAGAAAATTACTTAAACTCGAAGCTTGTTTGGGATGCTATTTCCCCTCCAAAAGAGGTCAAGCATTACAAGCTATCGTCTACACACGTTGCGGATGTTTTTGGTCTTACCTCTGATGAGATGGTACCTTCAACTACTCAGGTAGAGTACTTGCTCGCGAACCAAATCCATGTTATGAACTATCAGGGCAATCTTGATCTTGCGTGTAATACAGCAGGGAACTTGAGATGGGCGCACAGTATTCCATGGAAAGGCCAACCTAAGTTTTCCTCTAAACCCCTAGTGCCGTGGAAATCGGTACTCGCCTCAACGGGGAAGAACGAGACTGTTGGGAAAATGAAAGAAGTCAATATCCGTGTCACGGATAGTACAACTATAACGACTAGGTATGCATTTGTAACAGTGGATAGCGCTGGTCATATGGTGAGTTTTAATCAACTTTCGAATGGAATATAAACTAAGGAGTGGGACTAACAAGCCTAATCTCCTCTAGGTTCCCCAGGACCGACCTGATGTAGCATTCGATCTGATGAACCGCTGGATTTCTGGAGAAGCGTTTGTCTAAACTAGATGTAGTTGACAAATGTAGGAACTACATCAGGAGGTGACTACTTACTCCTTAACTTTACAGCTTTCACTGATTTACTCCATACTTGAACATAGCCACTGGTTTATACATATATTCGCCAAACGCTTTTTGAACGCGGAGGTAACCGTCCAGGTTATGTTGCCTTTCATTATCTCTTGAACATGACAGAATTCGCTCATTCATCAATACACCAACTCGAGTAGATAGAGATTCAATATTATTCATATAAATCCTTTATCATGCCATTCTCTTTAACCAACTTAGGAATATTCGAGCCATAGTAAACTGGATGAGATTCGATTACGCCCGCGGCACCGCGGGCTATCTGACCTAGAATGGCTAAAGGTACTGAGGCCAAGTGGAAAGAATAAGGCAATTGTTCGAAAACCTAGGATAACAAGTTGCTAAGGTGTCTCAATACGGAATAATGTAGTTGAGACGAAAGAAAGAAGCCTAGATAAAGTTCGCATTAATCAGGTCGACATCCTTCTTACATAGCCAACGAAATAACCTGAAATTTTCGTCTAGGAACAAAGCAACACCGATGATGTAGATAACTATTTAAACCGACGAGCCTATTCGCAAATAATGGGTATTAGTATGCTGCCATGATATTCGGACGAAGATTCGCCAATAATTGAAGTTTATAATATCGTTGAATAGCCTCTAATGATTGGAGATATCCCTGGCTAATTGTTCTTGCTTCCATTTAAGCTCATATCCAAAAACGGTCCGTCTAAGTTGTTCATCCTATAATGATACAATCAGTAAATAAAAGGCAAGTATAAGAATGGGCAAATGATGGTTTTACCCCAGGATCATCTTCAAACAATAGCTTATCCATAACCTTCTCGAATAGTTTCTTAACTTCAAATCCACTCTCTTCCGCTTTCGGGAAGAAAGCCGTTATTTTTTCCAGTAGCCAAGGTTGGTAGGGAGTAAAAACCACAAACGCAACAGACTCCTTTGATCGTTTCAATGTTCTTTTTACACTGTCGATTAAATTGTGGTGTTGTGGGTGGTTGTATATGACGTCTGCGAGAATCAGAACGTCGAAGCCGTCCGAGGGCGATTGTAAAAAGCTGCATATATCATCAGTTGGAGCACCCCACTTATAGCCCTCGACATGCAGAGGCAATGGCCGTGTTTTGATAAACTTCTCGCAGGTTGATGCGTTTATTCGCATATTATCCACAAGGTCAGAATCGGGATAATCGGTCACAACAACCGTTTTAGCCCCTTTTATAGCGCAGATAATGCTCGGTAGACCGGCACCTGCACCTAGTTCAAGAATATCCTTGCCTTCAACCCATTCTGGGGCTTTCTCTTCTAGAAAATCTGATATTGTTCTTGCTGCGTTCCAGAGTAGATACCCCTCCAGACCAAGAAAGCTGTCAGTCGATATGATAACTATGCGAATATCGTGCCATTGGTTAACCATAGGCTTGGTCGAATTGTTCGTACATATAACGGATGACTCCCTACGAGTCGAATGTTTAGGATATCACCAGAAAGCAGACGATGCTCTGAGAACGTCGGTGGTTTTGGCGGGGGAAGAAAGCCCTCCGGTTCCTTGAAAACGTCTCCAAAATCAAAGGTAGCTTCATCTTCCTCTTTTTCAAGCTCCAACCCCATTTTTTTTCTTCCCTCTCAGCCTCTTCACAAGGCTACCGTCTCTTTGTTTTTGACCCTTTGTATAATTGCTAATGATGAATTCTTCTCCTTATAATTGGAAATTTTCAAAATCTGTGGATGAGTAAGCAAGATAAGATAAGATCAACACGTGATATATTTACCCCACATGACGTAATAGGGTGAGTTGAAGTATTGTACGGTCACGGCGACAATATCCGGTATCTTTACCTTCATTTTAATTGGCTAATATCAAAATCACGCACGAGAAGCCGGGCAGGTGATCTGTATTTCAGATACGGCCTTCTGCCGAGGCAGGAGCTTCTACGTGGGATTTGAAGCCGACGTTGCATCTTTTTGAATGTTGCGTTTGAACATCGTTTCTTCTCACCAACCTTCACAGACTCTTTCATTTCTCTCTCGACGTGCATTTAACGGCCTTTTGCTGAATATCCTCCTTCAGGGTAGCCTATCTCCTCGACTGGGAACGCGCTCCTGGCGACCTTGGTCGATACCTTTAAAAGAGGAGGAAAGTCTGATTGGGCAAATTTACTGGCTTCTTGCATTGTCAATCGCATTCGAGAGGGCCATTCCCCAGTTCTACTCGCAATATTGCTCTCGTGGGCTGAATTTTCACTTGGATCCTCAGAACTCTGGATAGATCCTTTTTTCACGATGGAGGGCCAGACTCACCAAGGCAACAGCCAAGGTACCTATTTCACCCAACAACACCAGCAACCGTTTACTGCGCAATCTCTACTCAGCAATCAATCCACCTCGACATCCTCGCAAACAAATTCATCACAAGACATACGACTATACCCTGCCAACGCTCAATTAGAAGCTGAAATGCGCACGCAAATGCAAGCTCAGCCGGCTACAGACCAACAACTTCAACAGGGCCAGGCGCAATCACAAGGCATCTGTGGGAAGGCTGCAACCGCTCAATTTCTACAAAGCGTCAATCTTGTTGCAGAGGCAGCTAGACGTGCTCAGATAGGCATTTTGATGAGGGATTTAGAGGAGATTTCTTTTGATTAAAATAGCGTATACCTTTTCATTTCAAAGAACGCAGGTCGATTCCATAGCATTATGAATTAGCATTCACATAATTACCTTTTCTTTTTTCTTAAATAGTTATATTCTTAGACATCAAGTCTCATGTTTTCCCCCGAGAATTTCTTGACTTTTGCCATTAGCTTTGGCCTTTAAGGCTGTATTAACATTGTAGGCATGTAAAGCTCGTTTTGTGATATTAATTATTCGATACCGTTTCGTGAACTCTGTAGCCATGTGGGGAGAGGTACAACGGGTCCTTTTTAATTGTCGTTTCCATGTCTTAACGGCGTCATACCGCTACATAGTAACCTACAGGAATAGTCTACCGTAACGCATGAAACTGAAAGTGCATTAAATTAACAGATTAGAGTCAAACCGTGCCTGGTACTGGGGAAATTCGAGAATCGATTAGATTAATTCTCATTTCTCATTTCTCATTACCATTTAGGTATGCAAGCAATATATACGCCTATCTCTCTAAAAACAAAGTCGCTGACAAGAGGATCCCTCGCACCTTATTCGTCCGTATCTACCGCAGGTGTAGATACTTGTGCCCACCAATTAAATAACCCAACAAATAGTGCCATTGGAGGACAACAGAGCGATAACACTAGGGTCATACCTTGCCATCCAGTTCCATCTTTCAGCATTCCGGCTATCAAGGGACCCGCAAACTGGCCACATGCGAATGATATATTCAAAATTGCATAAGCCTGAGCAACAGCACCATATGGCCCAAACGCTTCTGGTGTCTTTGCCTCAGCATCACTAACTGAATGGAACACCTCAGTCATTGTGATTACCTCGATAACCACAATCGAAAACCCCGCTAAGGCTAGAAGACCAACAAGGAAGAAGACGTTGAGCATGCTGGGCCCTGTCACATAGCGCATAAGAAAGATTGCAGGGCCGGCCAGTAGGAAGGCTAGCGGTGAAAAATAGCGAGTGCCAATCTTATCAGCGAGCTTTCCAACGAGAATACCAGCTGTACTTGGGACAGTTATAGAAAGGAATATCATCCCTGCCCCAGCTGAGCCCCAGCCAAATCGCTGTATGACGAAGAGAGGCAATGTCTAGGAGAAAAATTTAGTAATTAAGCGTTATCATGAATTATAAGGGTGGGTGGATAAAAAACATACCGCCTCAAAGGCGGATAGAATAGATGCTGCGACAGCTATCTCGAGAAGGGTAACTAATATTTTCGGATTTCGAAGTAGTTGTATCATCGGCGGCAGACGATATTGTGATGTCTTGGGCTTTAGTTGCTGGGATTCAGGTTCTACCTGCGAGCCAGGCCCGAAAGAGAGCACTTGGCCTTCATGTTCACCATTATCTGCAAGGCAGGGGGTCGTCTCAGAAGAGTCTCTAGGGCATGTTTTATAATTACTGGTGAGACGGCTTTCTGAACTTCCTAGGGAACAACCGTCAGCAGTTTCCTCTCAGTGCATAAAGTGAACCTTTTCTAAACCTTCAATAATGGCAAATCGCAAAATTATGTCTAACCCTAAAAGCGATAATGGAATCGCGAATGATGCATAATATCCGAATTTATCGTAGCTACGCCGTTAGTACTCAAGCATACCGGTAGAGAGAGGTAACTGTACCCACATAATACCAGTAAATGGCCCGAGAAGCCCTCCCCACGTCATTCCCAGTGTTGTATGGCCCATAGCTTCTCCAATGCGGTCCCTGCTGACTCTATTCGCAATAAGGGCGAGTCCAGCTACCCATACACCGCCAGCGGCGAGGCCTTGCAGGAGTCGAGCTGTGACCAGTACTGGCGGTGAGGTTGAGATGATGAACAGGCTCACGGCACCGGCCATGGATATCAGGCCTATGAAGAAGGCAGGTTTTCGTTTGCTGGAATGGTCTGATATATATCCAAAGACAACTGATATTTGGTTAGTATAGACACCATAACTGCATGAATCATGGCTTTGCAAGTTGAATACATACGAGACCCAATAATCAAAGTGGCGCCATAGGCAGCAAGCAGGATGGCAACCCATGTTTGGACTAAAGTAGAGGTACATGGTCAGTATATTGGCAAAATGACTGAAGTATCTAGAACAGAGGAGTAGGTACTTTCGCTTCTAGGTAGGTTTCCAATATCACCTAGAACTTTTGGCATAATTGGAACAATCTGATACTCCGTTAACGTGTTATAAACATTATTTGACCATTGCCAGGTAAATACCATTGAATATATGAATGAATCCTAGACAGTAACTATATGTTAGTATATCATTTTAGCAATATTCAATGTATATATGTTTCCGCTCACCACAAACATTGCAACTGCAACTGCAAAAATAGCAAATCCTTCTGATGATCGAAGCTCATATGCCCATGGCATATCTGCCGCACACGGTTTTACCGCCCATTCTCCGTTATTCTCCATCTAAGAGTAGAAGCGGGGTGATAGTCGCCAGGCCCTAGCAAAAATTCGGTGCTAATAGGGGGTGCTGGTTATCGGTTGGAATGGAGGGGCTTTATATAGATATGTAACTATATATAAGTATAACAAATACGACCTGAGATTTTATGATCATTCACCTTCCTGGCTACAGTGAGCTGGCATCGAGACGAACGTCGCACGTAACATAAACCGGACGGCGGGCGAATGGTATAGCAGAGAAGGACATCCAGTTTGCCACCCGATTGGCTCTCACGACGTATTGGCTGATGAAACTGGATCGAATGTCAAGAGCCCACTGTGTAACTTGGCTGGAAATGCAACAATCTTCTTGGTTCCCCGTCCTTGTGTGTGCAACGAAAGATCGAGCTGCCGAGTTTAATATCTTGTTCTCAGGCAAGGAAATCAGTGTCATTTTTGCTTGTTAGCTGCCGGAAGAGCCGAGACGTTCTCCACATAAGTATAATTTTATTGCGATTCGATTGTCTGCTTCCAATTGCTTCAAGTGATGGTGAGCCGTAAGATTATACTGTGTACCGCATGAACAGCTATAGCAGGAAACATGGAAGAAGATATCGTCTATCTCATCCTCGAGTTACACGCCCTAGCTGTACACAGCAAGGCTTGCCAACGACCAGATCTTACTCTGGACCGGGAGACGCTGGTATGAGCACAGGTAAATATTATTATTCACCTAAAAAATCAGGGAGTTCCACTTTGATGAAAGCTGCTCTGATTTGCCCAATCGATACTCGCGTATGCACGGAGATCAGATCCAGCCTTGCGTTGGGGATATGGATATGTCGAATAGTCACACGGTTCAAAGAGATACTAACCGAGATGCGAGTAAAGGACAATCAGCCGTTATCCATCTGCCATTTATGGTCGATGTACATACTCTAGTTGCAGTCTATGCTGTGCAAGTCTCAGTTCAAGGGGAGTCTAGGATGCGAGCCCTGCAAGTAACCGGGCTGTGCTGGCGAAGGATGCCGCCATATTCATATACCGGGGGTTTATTGTCGCATTTAACTGTGCTAAATTATAAACCCGGCCCCCAAATCTGCATATATCAGATCCAAGTGTATAATATGGCTGCCTGCCTGCATAGTATAACGGTTCATAGCTACATAACCAGCTGTGACAACGTTGTGCATATGCTCTTTCTGCAGGCATTGAGACCCGGCTCAGCTTGTCCGAAGAGGAAAACTTGACCACTTGTACTTTATTCCCCAGATTCATCCGACCAAAGACTCTTCCAAACATGTCTATAGAACTGAGCTTCCTGGATCTGTGACTTGGACAAGCTCGTTTTCTCCATCATATACTCAAGCCCCCCTTCACAGTTAAACCTCGTCGTCTTTCCTGTCTCTTTGAGTATAATATCCTCTGTATAGTCGTCTTTTTGACCCATTTTGCAAATCCAGTGTCGTCCAAGCTATTGCATAATATCTTCAAGGTCCATGTCACCTAGTCTTTGACCAAAGTCTGCCGCCCACTTAGGTTGCAAGTTTAGGCATCGGAATGCGGAGCGCTTAGCAGGATGAATAAGAGTGTTTTTAGTGTATATGGCTCGAAATATGGAAAGAGCCAGAGATGAGTCGACAGCAGTATTGACGAAGGCTATCCGGACATCTTTGGAGGAGATGGTTTTGGTATCATCTAGGCATATTGTTTGCCCGTTATCATCTTCCAGGTCACTTGTATCCGAGGCATTGTTCTCCTGGAAGGCCCGAGAGGAGCAATCGAGTAATAAAGAAGCTCGTTCCAGCCACGGTAGTCTTCCTAAAGCATGGTAGATACCAACTTCTTGCTCATCGCCCCTGGTGCGCGGTATAGGTAACTCCACTTCTCTAAGATTTTGACACTGCTGTTGAAGATCCTGCATACGGGGGTAAGAGATTAAAATTTTCTCTTTTCTTTCCTGGTCTGGCATGAATCGAAGCTTGCGTAGGGTATTTCCATGCCTGTGTAGGATAACATTAAATGTACTGCTCCCGAAAGCCCCATCTAACCCGAGGCTCTCGAGAGGGGGTAAACTTCGCAGGCATATACCCGTAGCCTCGTCCATGTTTATATCTTCACTCGCGTATGAGACGCGGATTTTCAGGTCCAATGTACGAAGGGAAGTAAATTTTCCTTTGGACATTCGGGTCAGCGTCTGAAGCATGTTAGCGGTGACGGCGCTCTGTAACCGAAGGGTTTGCAGCTCAGAGAATTCTATATGATAACTCTAAGTCAGAAACTCAGAAGATAATTCACCACCCCCAAGGACAAGGCTCTCTAGGCCTCTCCCAGTAGAACGCATGCCGGATGCATCTTCTGACTTATTCAAGAAGAAACCCAGCCATTTTGGTTTCGGGTGTGCTTATTGCTTCCCGTAGAGGTAGCGAATCCCCTGGGCGGTCATGCCACATTCGCACATGCTTCGAATTAGGCGCCAGTCCTGTCACCATCTGTAATTCGCATCCTTATTGTAGACTACTCGTCCATCGGTGTCGTATTCATAATACCGTGAGACAATATTGTATAAGCATAGAGATGTGGCTAGAGCGTATTCATCTACACTAATATCGTGGATATGGGACTTGAGCTGGTACAGACTGCGAAGGCTGAAGGTATCCATATGGAGGCGGCAGTTCGGGTGATGCTGATGTAACGTTGAGAGTATACAGGGGGAGATTTGGTCGGTAGAAGCGTATATCAGGTCACTGAGCCCCCTGAGGGTTTGGATGAACTGTGCAAGTGGCAGCATGACTTCATTCTGATATTCGGTCAGACACGGGCTGCCAGCATAGATAGAATCGAGTGAGGGCCAATTTAGGATCGAACTCCTCTTCATCGTAGGCTACTCCGGCTTTCTCCTCGTCGCTCCTATTGTCCGCATCGCTTTAGTTGATGCGCAGTCCATCACCTTGAGGTGGCGTATATAGCGAGCTCGGTCCGTAAATGTGAGGATGGAGTTCCATCGTTCCAGATCATGGCGCAGCTTCTGACTCCTTGTCACCGAATACGGATGTTCTTGAACCGATGCCTCGTCGTTGCTGCACAACAACGCCTAGTGGCCAACGAAATGTGCGTAAACTGTTTGTGTTGAGGCATTTGAGGATATCTAGGCCTAAGTCCTCTAGCGTGGCAGCCATTGCTTCTGTGACTTTAGATGAGGAGATTAACTATATTAAGCCTTTCACATCACCTCAATGCTTAAATATGGGGGAGCAGACAAGAGATGCCAGGTTAGTAATAATTATATAAAGAGAATGTATTGATATATGATATCGGGTCGTAGCAGTTCGTATTCAATTATCCCTCTCAGGGTAACTGCGAAGCAACCATATTTTCTCCGAAATCCTAACAAGGGCTATTGGTAGACCCTATAAAACCTCAAGTAATGCTCAAGGAACATAAAAGAAACGTGCATTTACATAAATGCTCCATAGCCCGACTTGAGAAGTGTCTTCCATGATGCGGAGCCTTAGCTACCATGATTGCAGATGAAATTGAGGGGCATGTTGACCAAATTGCTACGCAGTCGAGGGCTATCAGCCTGCATGGGTATATTGGTATTGTCCTCAGAGGGCTGGGTATGGTAGCCCCTCTCAACCGAAGTTGCTCAAACGTTCCCAAGGCAAGCAATCAGAGGCAGACACAACATGAGCATGAACTGGGAGTAACCGTAGTCCTTATGTTGAGCCCATGCCCCACAGATGAGGTGAGACGATTTCACACGCACACAATATCGTAATGACAATGCTTCTTGGACTATCAAGTTGCAGATTAGGACTTAGATCTTGCTTTCGTCGATCTCCTTCTTTTGCCTTGTGCACATAGGCTTCTGATCGGTCCTTATTCCTAGGCTTGTTCTGAAGCGGATATGAGCTCAATCTAACTACGGCGCGACGGCCCTGGACGATCGATGATCACCCAGAAGCTAGTCAAATATCATGGTAATCCGTACCTGTGCAAGACGGCCTTTGTCGGCTGGTATATATGCTCCTCGCTCGGGAAGCCCCTACAACAACAACCGATAAGTCTGGAGATCCTCCGTTTCCAACAGCCCCCGTCTGATGTCACATCTTACTCCTTGATTAATGATGGGGGCAAGGAGATAATTAGCACTTTCTGTATTATTGCCAATTCTCTTCCAAAATATAATAATATGGGCTCGCTAACCCAGGCAACAACAGTATTCCTGCCCAATTCGGCTGGACTGATGACTAAAACGGCCGTAATCCTCAAATTGAAGTACCATTAGTTGATGTGATTATTCGAGTCTTGAGGACGGATATGGCGGGAACATTTGTCCAACGTTATATTTATAGGTGCGGAATCTAGGGCCCTAAAGATTCTTCCACAGTCAAAGCAGGAAGCGCTATATGATAAAATTGCTGCCTTAGGGCCGGGGCGGTTGAGGTTGGAAATTGAGGCATCATAGAGTAGCGTTGTTTGTAGAGTGTCGAGGTTCGTTTTGTGCTATTATGGCGATAGTCGATCTCAGCTCTGGCGTACTATGTATGACTGCTCTATTTGACCTTGCTCTTCCTCTCATCTCCAAACTGAGCCATAACGAATTGAATAATAAATGTTTGTCTTCAACTGTTGGAGACGGTTTCCAGTTGGCTTGCCATCAGTCTGACCCAGCTGAACACTAATGCTTCAATATGGCTTTTGATCGCTGTTACTCAGAATATAAGCATATCATATTCCAATGAAGCAGCTATGCGCAATCCTTTTTGCATTTTGCATTATTCTTCGTGTTATAATGCCTTGTTGATAGGGCAAGACTTACTGCGTCCCGATACATCTCTGAGAAAGGAGATGGACAAGGAGCCGGAGGAAGAAGCTGAGAATCAGAGAGGCGTGTTATTGTGTTTAATCCTTTGCTGTGCATTCACACTCTTTCTTGCTGTGGATGGCAACTCCTGCGCTGTCATCTTTTGTCATCTTTTGTCATCTTTTGTCATCTTTTGTCATATTTTGTCATATTTTAATGACTAAGTGGCAGGCTTTGGGGGCAAAGTCCCAACTTATGTATGGGGCAGCTGAACGTAGTTTTGCTGAGGCCATTTCATCTATTAAATTTGAACCAGAACTGGGTCAAAAACCTCCCAAGCTGATTACATGGGGTGCTTCCTTAGATGAGTGGATGTAGGATGGTATTCAGCATTGTCAGCTCAAATTGTTAAAGCCACTCTCTCACGTAACCCGGACTCGTCATGACAGAGCATCCCGTTTGCGATTCCACAGCTCCGCTCTCGGCCTCGGCTTCAGCTCCTGATGATTTTGCTTCTTGGATGCAAGATTGGCTTTGACTTGTTTTCAGGCATCAGCTTCACACGGCGTACTCATAGCTCTGAGGCTCTATCGTCAAATCAATGTGGAAACAGGAGTCAAGGGGCAAAATGACTTTAATTGTTGCAGCCTAGTTATGGAGGCTGGGCTGCATAAACAACCAATCAAACGACCATGGTAGCGTCACCATGCGGCTCATTGCCAATAAATTTCGTTGGCCAGAATAAGTCGTGCGGCTCTGTTAGAAAATCCTTGTCCTTGGTGTGCCTGAGACAGAATCCCCTTGCTTAATGCTACGCCAGTCAACAAATCACCTTCCACCGCACTCCGAGGCCGCCCTTGCTCAGCCACAATCAGGTGATATGCCCATCTCTATTGACTTGGCTGACAATCGGCACATGGAGCGCTATGTATCGAGCAAGTCTTGCTCCCGTGGGATCAGGGAGGGCTGGCATAACCAAGATTAAACTTCATCGTCTCCGTGTTTGTATCAGCAAGCATCCATCCTTTGTGGAGTCTGTTCGAGGCAAAAGAAGGGGTGTGCCCTCTCATCCCCTTGTCGTCGCAGGGGAATTGGCCAGATACGGAGTCAATGATGAGGAGAGGACACCAACGCTGACACCCCTCTGCCCTGCAGGTTAACAAAACCAGGCTAGTCATATACTTAGCACTAATAGACCTTGTGCTAAGTTGGTCAGACTGTGAGTATGGGCGTGATTCCATAATGCCTCGCCCCGCTAAAAAGAGGCTCTTCTTTTCCCTTGAGCCTCATTATTCGCTGAAAACGGGAAGATGGTTGGCTCTGATTTATTCACCAACCTCTACCTTGCTTTGCTTTTTCCTTGTCCCTGTCCATCCTGGAATTTTTCTGGCAATTCAATAGCCCTATTAACTGGTTATTGCCTGGCTCTGGGTCTCTCTCCACCAAAGTTCCCGCCACACGGATCCCTTTTACGTATATTAGGATGAGACGGATCTCGAGCCTTGAGCCTCATAGCGGCCCACGAAAGCGCTAGCTGAGCTTTCCCCAACAGTTCCGCATCCTGTTAATCCATATTAGAGACAGTCAATCCTTTTGGGGGTAAGGGAAGTCTCCTTGTCTTACAAGTTGGAGATTAATGAAAGAGCCGCAGGCTCACAATATTTTATTAACTAGCCCTCGAGCGGTGCAGTGAACAAGCCATCCTCTAGCAAAAGAAATTAACTATCAGATACCCAGCCTGTTTTTGTGCTTCTGCTATGCTCTGTCTTTTCTTCAATATTGTCGTTTGACCTCACTTTGGTTGTCCCTCTCCATCTTATCCGCATTGGGTAACTTTGAACTACTTCTCGCCCAGCCTTAACCTATCTTTGCTTCGCTCTCCTTCAGGCTGCTGCCAACCACCACCCTGATACGCACACTCTTTTTCTTTTCTTAATGCATCTACTTAGAATCTACTTCTTATGCCAGATATAACGCGTCGCATAGGTGTATCTTTGCTTGGAACCAAAGTTGGACGCTTTGAAGCAGCCACCTAAAGGCTTTCTTTTTTTCTTTTTTTTGGTGATAAGCGTTCATATTGGCCATGCAGTCAGTTTTCGACTTGGTTCCATTCGACATATGGCATCAAGTGGCTGATTATCTTGATCCAAATGACTATATCAACCTAAGCCTCACGAGTAGCAAGCTCTATAGCTTGTTAAAGGATGAGATTACTGCTCGCAAGGCCGTGAAGGTATAAAGAGCTTCAGAGGCACCCATTTCTTATTTCTGTTCCTACATGTTATACTAACTGATCTTATAGACTCACATTGCTCATACCGTTGAGGGCAAGCTTGCTGCTGCAAATAAGATCACATATCGCGAGGCTCTTGGGAGGATATACGATATCCGTGAAGCTATAGCCAGTGCAAAGCCATATTCTACAAGCTTGCTCGCACTTGGCCAGGAATTTCTTTTCAACCAAGGAGTCATTTGTTACGTTAGTAATGGGCAGATTCGAACATTGAATATCCTTGGAGCAGCCGAGTTCGAAGAGGTTGTTGACCTGAAAGGAGTGCTTGGCTCATATCACTCTCTTTCAAACGGGCGTCCTTATGCCAACTTCAAGTATAAGCTACTGCACTACTGCGATGGAATGGTTGCACTTGTGTGCCAGCCCAGCGCGCGGGACTCAGCATGGCTTTTGGTAATAGATATGAAGTTAGAATTCGCAACTTGCGGAAAGACGTATCGAGTCAGATTCTGTCGCCCCCTGGCCTCGACCCGCAATCTTTTCGTACGTCTCAACCGCTCGTTCATGTACTATGGGACCCATTCCGGCCGTGCTCGCCATGGACATCGTGAATGGGTCTTAGAAGGGTTCAACTTTATGACATGCTCTGATGTTTCCTCGGAGCCTATTCAGCTTGAAAATTTTGCGGGGTCTGAAATTGGATCGACCGTGTGTTTTGAGATCAAGGACCGCTACCTCTACGCTGTTTCCAACCAGACTTCTTTTGAGGATGAGGAAATTGATTGGACTTCGTACTATATTTGTGTACTGGTTCCGCTCGATAAGCCAACCGACATCCAGTGGCAGCGTATTTGGCGGCGACAACACCGCGAGGGCCCCATTAATGACAACTGGACGAAACTATCCCTCTGTGTGGATCAAACAACATGCCAACTGACTATTGTGGAATGTAGACATGAGTGGCAGAATGGGGGAAGTGAAAATTTTCGCATTAACTACAGTCAACCTCTTGACTGCTTCAATCCAGCAGAACCCGTCGAAGGAGTTTGCGAGACAGGATTCGCATCCTCGCCTCCTAAGGATGGGCTTCCCAAGTATCTGCCAGTTAACTCCCTTCCGGATGAACCCCTTGCAAGAACCCTTGGTCCATTCAGCAAGCCAAATTATGAACCACCAAAAAAACGCCATAAGAGGTTCTATCATCTGGAATATACCCCCGAGGAAGCCCAGTCTCCCGAACGTCGAGATTTCACTCTCTCCAATACAAAATTTCATACCTATAACCTCATGGCAGCTGCGTTTATGGATCTTGTGAACGACCCCCCACAACAAGTAAAGTCATTCACCACACCGCCAGACAGGCTTCGGCTGCGTATCGGAGCAAGAAAGCGTCATTTTCAGCAATATGAAATGGATGACGAAGGTTCCGGTGCTACTATGTGTCCTACTCCAACAAGCATGTCTGACAGCCCTCCAATGCGAATTGAAGAAGGCTATCAGTCCTGTGGAATAAAAATGTGGCCTCCCAATAATGCGCCAGCAGGACTCCTTAAACTTCTATGTCCATCATCGAAAGCAGGAAAAGTTGTTGGCACATCCGATGAACGGTTTATGGTCTATTCAACAGATTCCGGGCAGTCAGATGGGACCAAGGCCATCATAATGATTAGTTTCGATCCCTCCATTGGGCTAAAGCATATGAAGTGTTTAAAACCAAAGTCGCCAGGGTCACTAGGGCCACTTTCAAAGAGATACAGAAGCGATGCAAAACTTTCCACAGCGCAGGGAATGCTTAATACCCATCCTGAGCCCACCTGGTTCCGCGTTGAACCTGCCCAATACCTACGTCTTAATAGGGGCTTCTGGCTTAGGTAGACACTATGGTTCAGTTAGCACCTTATCTGCTCACTATAACACTTTTCTTTCAACTTTCTTCACTTTTATTATTTCTGTCCCACTCCCCTTAGCGAAGGAGTTAACGGCTCTTTTCATGGCTTCCCTCTTACGGCATTTTCAATCAAAAGAATTTTATCGGGGCATTAAACTTCATAAACCGGGTTCAGCAAATTCCTTGTTAAGGTGGCATTCTTCTCTTTTCCCCCTCCCTTGCTTTTTGTTTTACTTTTCCTTGTCCTTTATTTCCTAAATTTTATTCGCAATGGAAGGTCTGTGGCCGTATCTGTTACTTTTCCCATGGTGTTCCCAGTCAATTTAACAAACAGTAAATAAACAATAAAAAAAAGGAAAAGACCGAAATCCATTCCATACTACAAAAAGTGCTATGCTGAATATAATTCAGGCCTTTTAACGTTAAGATATACCCATGCCCATCTTTTATTTGACATTATTTCACCGAGAACTATAAATGACCAAAACAATAACGTTTCCGTTTCTACTGTTCAATCTTCTGTAGCTCAGCAGGAAGGGTAGCAACTTTCTCCCGGAAGAGCTTCTCAGCACGCTGCCAAACTGGGTGAGAGGCTCGGTTCTGTATCTCGAGCATGGAAGGTAGAAGATCGTTTGAAAATGCATCCGATGATTCGGCGGGGAGAAGGCTGGGGAGATGATCGATTGCTATATCCAAGATTAGATTGCACCATATAACATATATGAATGGAAACGTACAGATCACACTTAGAGGTGGGTTAGAGAAGCTGAGGGGGAGAGTAGGCTTATCAAATGTCTAAAGGGGAGTTAGTTGCAATTTCTTATGGTAGTGAGAAGATAAGGCATCTATAGGCACATACGCTGTTGACATCGTAGATCGGCTATAAATAGATGTTAGCTATGATTCGAACACGCAATGCAGGAATCAGATGCTTACAATTGGGTTGTTTGGATTAGAAGTATCACAGCTCTGTTTAGAAAATATATATTAGCTTTGCTTGTTCAATAAGAGATTATAAAGAGGCGATGGCACTCACAACATCACAAACAACAGAGAGTCTCCTATTTGGTGCCTTGAGACTGTTCATATCGACAAATGGCGCAATCTTCTCACTCAGGTAAATGCAGTTGATAAAGCTACAAAGGTTAGAATAATATGCCATATTGCTAAAAATAAAGGAAAAGAAGTGATACAAACTTACATATCAGCTTTAACAATTTCTGTAAAGGGTCCACCCTTTGCAGTCTCAGCCATATCCCATCGAAGAACATCTTCGCACCCAGACTTGACGCAAGCATCGACAGCACCCCTAACACCACAACTTTAATAAACCAGGGGTGTTAAATAGTAAAATGGCGTGTATTCACTTACCTCCCGCAACGACCAAGAGCGCCAATGACCAGAATTTGTGGCCGGCGGCCAGCGATCTTCTCACCCCTAGCAACATCACCACGGATCTGCTCCAACATCTCTTCTTCACTAGCATAGTATCCCTTGCCACCGGTAAACTCGTCAACCCCCGGAAGAGGTGGGCCATCGGGGTGTTCTAGTTGCCAAGCCCAAGTCTTGATGGCGAGAGCAGCTCCAGCAAACCCAGCATGGTAGCCTAACGGACATTAGACACCAGTGGAAGTTGATACCAATAGATGAGTGAGCTTACCAAATGCCGCGACTCTTCGACCTTTATCATCCTGTAGTCCAACTGTCAGCCTCTCGTTCGTGCTCACTGTCATCTATAATAACACGAAAAATTACCTGCAAAAACTCCAAATCGTACAGCACACCGCCACCCCTACTCCATCGTCCAAGGGCCTTCTCCCATCCGCCTTGATTCTTAAAGCAGTGTGCAAAGGTAACGTGTGAATGCTTGAGCGGAAAATCCTTGGTCTCATCAAGCTCCTTCAATCCAATGACCAGATGGTCGTTTGGGATATCAACCCAGCTACCTTCCGGAACAAGTGTGGCACCCGCCTTCTCGAATTCAGAGTCATCAAAGATTCGCTTACGAATGGCAGATGTAGGAGAACGCTCAACGTTAACCTTGTAGCCAGCGGAGATAAGAGCTCTGGTTGTGGTGGGGGTAAGAGCAGATCTAAAAGACGGTTGTTAGAGCGATAGGTATGAAGAATCAGATCAACAGCAGTGGCAATTGGGATATTTAAAGCATTCGTCAAGCATATATGATGTGCCTATAAAGACTGGCTGTGCAAGTATAAAAAGATGGGATTCACATACCTGTGCTCGAGGGGCTTGTCCTCGGCCCGCAAGTGAAGGACTGTAGGAGCCATGATGTATGGAACGGGTATTCGAAGCAATTGACTGGATAGAATTATCAGGTCAAGGTTGATCGCTGATAAAAAGGTCAATTGAAAGACGGCTTTGTCTGCGTGAATGGCAAAATGCTTTAAATATTTGCTTGTAACTCGGTTCGTATGACTCAGGCAGGAAATCCCAGTCACGTGGTGATAAGATAAGCACGGGGTTGAACCTCTCATGAGCAGGCCCTGGTATGGCGGATCACGGAGCAAGGAAGCAGGAATTCGAGATTAATGCTATGCAGCATGCTATCTAAGTACACAACGCCTCGTAGAATAAAAAGTAAGCTACAGAACGAAGTGATGAGCTAAAAGGGAGATATATATCCATTAAGGAACTATGTGAGTGACTTGACCGCCTATAGAAGGTCAGGCGAGAAGTCTGTACCAACCAGACAGGCACTTTGCAGAGGAGTAGGTAACCAGTAATGCATTATGCCCCCGGTATGGCTAACAGGGCATCTGGGTATAGATTTTGATATGTAGCGAGAAGGGTAGGGTGAATGGTGGGTAGGTACGTTGCGAGTTTATAATGGTTATTAGGAGTGTTTAAGCATTTAATTTGACATAATTCGCTGCTCACAGAGGAAATATTAGCAGCCATCCCAACATGGGTGTTAACCACCTTTAGGGAATCCTTACCTGGAAACTGTCCAGACTTCCCGTCTACTTTTCCAGACCACCATTCATTAGTATTAGCTGTTCGGTGCGTTATTTCTATAACATCGCCCGTAGTAAAGCTCAAGTCACCCACAGCTTGGGCTTCATAATCATAAAGAGCAGTCGCAGTCTCAACCGGTGCAGCACTGAATTTCGCTGGCTTAGGCTTTGGCGGTGGAGGAGCAGGTTTTGACTTTGCGGCAGCTGCGAGGGAGGCAGGACTTGTGCTGTTTGCACGACCAATAAGGGTTGAAGCGGTATGAGCAGAATAAGGGGGTGGGGGAGCCTGATCAGAGGAAGCATTGGCTGTACGTCGAGACGGGTATTTTGATTCAGCCGCAAGCTTATCCTTTGGAGTAAACTTGGAGCCCGGACGGCGACCGGCCGTTGTTTTGAAATGGACAATGCTTAAGGCTTCTGTTCGTTCCTTCACATCTCCACGTTTCCTTTCATACGCCTCTTCAACATCTGACGTTAAGTCGAAATATCCAATATTCAGGCCCTGCATTTTATCGTGGAGAGTATAGAATACGTTCAGCTGCATGTAATAAAAGGACTGGAAAAGCGGCTGGATGAACTCAGCTTCTAGCTTGAAAAGCTTCGGCAGTTCGTCCTTTAACAGGTCATTGTAATAATTAAATTCTTGTGTTGCTGCTTCCACATCGTTCTCAGCCTTGTACATTGCTTTCTCATCCTTGAGGGATTTTTCCTTTTTATCTTGTAGTCTCTTTAGGGAGGCGCGGTGTCGGTCGTAATCGAGCTGTTTGTGTTCACGCTTGACCGCGACCTTTTGGATCACCTTGATAATCTCCAAAAGCTGGTCCGCAGGGCTGATGATGCGAGACTCAATCAGCTCCAGTTCTGGCTGCAGAGTCTCTTGTAAATCTCGCACAATCGATTCGTATTCTTCGCATGCCTGAATACCCTCCGGGTTCCCTTCCGGTTTTGCGGCGTCAGGATCTGATACTCTACCGGAAATAGGTTTGTATAGCTCCGCAACCGCTTTTGAAAATTCAATCTGGTGGTTTAGCATGCCTAAAAGGGAAGAAAAACACAGTTAAAATCATCTCGCGCCAAGTGGTGACAGGGACAACACATATAAGGCGGCGCATACCATTGATTGCATCAAAGTATTTCTTGGACTCATCATGCAGTTTCTTCGTCTCTTTCTCCAACTCCTGAAATCTTCTTTCCGCATCAATATAGACAGGGTCTTTGGTGTTCTCTCCAAGGTTGAATTTCTGTTTGAAGGTCTGCGGAGCTCTGGCAAAGCCCTTCTGAAGGCCTTTGAGACTCATCGCAACCCCGCCAAGTAGGCTGAGAAGTAGAAGTTCGGCAGTATCGGGTAACCAGGAGAAGCAAATTTTGCGCTGGATATGTAACGCGTGGAAGAGAGAAAGAATAGAAGAGAGATATCTGCAGCAGAGAACCAGGAGCGGGAGGCAGGGTAATTCGTTTATTGCTTCACACGAAGTTGTTGCCCTTTTTGCACTTCATCCCATTCCTTCGGCCGCGCCCCAAAGTGGCTAAGATCGTGGCGCAGGATCGGTTTAGTCATCGTCAGCCCTGACGGGGAAGTGATCAGCCTCACTGCGTCATTTGTCACGTGGCCATGTTCCAGAGGTTTTTTTTTTTTTTGCGGCGGAAAATCCAGCAAATCAACAGTCAACATCAAGGAGAATTTATATAGGACGAAACATGTTCGATATCAATATATAATACTGCTTACGGAGGAGGATACTTTCGCCTGTGAGCCCACTGGTTAGCTAAGCCCTTATAAGTGAAAGCACCTACTGGCAGCATGAGAACGTTTTTTTTCGAGGGGATGGTAGTTGATATCCAAGAGTTGCAGGTTACTTCATGAACGACCCCTTCATATAGACCACTAGTGTTGCCTAAACAACTCCTTTCAAAGAGCACGGGACAATACTCGCATATATTCAGTAGATATCAGGCGGAGTGTCCGTATATAACTGGTGTGTCTTTGAATTTTTATCAATTCTCGATGGAACTCACAACTTTACCTACATACGAATAAATTGACAGTGGCTAAAATGAAGGCCGCCTGAGCCCCACCAAGATGTCCGTTCTTCAGGGGTATCACTCATATGATTATATGATTATATGCTCCTGGGAAATATAGGGTGAAGTATCTATTTTCATCCACTCCGTACCTAGTTTCACTCGCATATTTCAAGGAGAATAACTCCGTTCCGCCTCCGTCACTTGTGTTTTAGCATGACGTTCATATCATTATCAGCCAGAGGGATGACAGCTAAACTTCATATCCTCTCAACCTCGGCGCTGGCGGGAATTATTGTTGATCCCGTGTCTCCGGGGCCACCTGGGCAGGAAACCGTTCGACGTTGCAACGCTTGCGCTCTCCCCCTGTCGATTACGCGTGCTTCACGAACCAGAAGGCGGAACCTGTCAATCACGAAATTGATGAGCACAGCGGGGTCCATATCGGCTACTCGAGGCAACGTATAGTACGAACAGATAGCAAGGTTGACAGGTTGATCGGAGTAGAGAACATGTACATTTACTTGCTGGTTGGAAGCGACTAAAATTAGCGAATTAAGTGTTTGAGATTGGTTGGCCCAAGTTAAGCGTCGAGAGGGGAAAGCTTGTTTCCTCAATGTTTCAAGGATGGGAGGGTCGGACGATTATATGGCCAGCATTTTACATGGATATCGCATTTCCCATGTGAATGAGCAAGGTGTCGAACCTATTAAGTTGCCTACTCGCTTCCTGATGTCAGTGCTTCGTATGTTGATGGCCATGTCTTCCCGTTCTGTGGTATTATATTCCCCGTACTAGTTCTCGATCCCGGCATCTCAAACGACTTGTGCTTTAATATTACGCAGGGAAATAGGAGAACTGTGGCCCAGCCCCAGCTCATGTGTCATCTGTATCCCTGTCAATATTATTCCAGCTTGTTTGTTGATCGGCCCTACGTCCACTGACATGTTCTTCCTGTCGATATCACGAGTCCACCGGTTGATCACAACCTGCTGTTTCTCACACCACCTAAATGAAGACCCCTTCCTACAACCCATCTCGCTAACCTAGTTGGCTAGATGTTTCATGTAACTCTGCATTGCTACATAACCCCTTGCCTCTCGCGGGAGTATGCACCCCACACGCGCTATCTGCACTGTTTCTGGAACAGCCGTACCTACATGGTATATGTATATTCTATGGAACGTCGATCAAAGCTTAGGATTGCTTAGCAATGCTTGTATTGCCTTGGCTAAGCTTGTGCTGAGAAGCGCTCTGTTGCCTATATGCCTGCAATCTCGTAATAGAGGAACTGGTAGACCCCGTTTGTCAAGGGGGTGTCGGATAACCCCTTTTGACAAGTCCATATCAATGCGCGTCATGATTGAAAAACATGCATTATCTCCCTGTGTGGATATTTGATGCAGGCTATGTGCGGGGGTGATACGTATCAGTAATATCCTAAGGAGACGGCAGTTGGGTATTTCGTCGACATTCAATTCCATCCTCAGTCACCAACCGGGTATAAAGTCCTACGTTTCGCCCTCTTGGAATCCTCAACAAGCCGCTCATTCATCCAGATCCAACACCTAGCCTTGTCAATCCCAGTCCTTCTTCTTCAGAGCTTTAAAGAAAGCCTACTTTGTTCCATCATGGTTCTCATCAACCAACTTGGCGCCGTGCTGGCAGTGTGCGCTACCTTGACGGTAGCTGCACCCACGAAAGGAAAGGCCCGGTTCAACGTTCCCCAGGTCGCTATTCCCAAGAAGATGGTGCACCATCCTGCAGTGTCCTACGCTCGTGCATTGCACAAGTTTGGCATGAAAGTCCCCAAGACAGTGCAGGATGCGGCCAAGGGAAGTGTTCCTACCACTCCAACCCCAAGCGATGAGCAGTATGTGACCCAAGTCACAGTTGGAGAGGGAAAACTGAACCTTGATCTCGACACCGGTTCAGGCGACCTGTAAGTGGTATTCTCATTGAGCTATGAATGGTTTATTCAGAGATTCATAGCTAACATAATATAGTTGGGTTTTCTCGACTGAGACGCCCCCAAACGAGAGCCAGGGTCACAATCTCTACAAGCCCACTTCAAACTCGAAGCGCCTCAATGGGTACTCCTGGCAAATCAGCTATGGCGACATGAGCTCTGCTGGCGGAGACGTCTTCCTCGATACTGTCTCGATTGGCGATGTAACTGCCTCCTCTCAGGCCGTTGAGTCCGCAAAGAAAGTGAGCGACCAGTTTGCCAAGGATAAAGCTACTGATGGCTTGATGGGACTTTCCTTCAGTGTTTTGAATACCGGTAAGCACACAGTGTGCTCATATTTCCCGTTCTGCCGCTAAATATTCCCTCAGTTCAACCAAAGCCACAGACAACATTCCTTGACACTGTTCTAAGCCAGCTCGAGAAGCCGCTTTTCACTTGCACCCTCAAGCATGGAGAGCCAGGGTCATATGATTTTGGTTACATCGACGATGCCAAACACTCTGGAGAAATTACCTACACCCAGGTAGACAACAGCGAGGGATGGTGGGGCTTCACTGCGGACAGTTACTCTATTGGAGGCCCCAACACAACTTCTTTCCGGGGAGACTCGTCCGGAATGGCTAATGGAGGTTCCATCTCCGGGATCGCCGGTAAGTCTATTATCACAGGATAATCCAGACTTCGCCCTGCCACCAAGGCTGCACCGCCTTTACTTACATTCTCTAGATACTGGTACCACGCTTATGCTCCTCAGCGACGATGTTGTTGGGGAATACTATGGACAGGTCCAAGGTGCGACAAACGACCAGCAGCAAGGTGGTTATATCTTCCCCTGCGACGCCCAGCTTCCCGACTTCACCCTTAGCATCGGCGGGTATAACGCTGTTGTTCCCGGCAAGTTCATGAATTACCAAGAAATCGATGGATCGATGTGTTTCGGTGGCCTTCAATCTAGTGGCAGCAGCGGTGGGCCAAACATTTTCGGTGATGTATTCCTCAAGAGCCAGTTTGTCGTCTGGGACACTCAAGGACCACGCATTGGCTTTGCTCCCCAAGCATAAGTGTAGGGAGAGAATAGCTGAAGAAGAGGTGCTTCGCCTCGGCAATGAAGCTTCTGAACATAAGATCTGATATGTACATAGTATGCTGAAATACATTTGTTGATAAGCACATAATATATTTGTTGGTCATTTACACCTTATAGGATCTCACCTGTGGTTAAGCAGTTCTTTGAGTGTTTCATGTGGTCGGATCTGGGACAGTGAAGGGTATCTTTGTATCAACAATTATAAGTTTGAAGTTGGTTACCGTATTTCGGTCGGACGTTGTATCCTAGTTTGTTTTATGGCCAGATCCTTGGTTATGTATACCTAGGCCATCCAATGCTCCTAGAGAGCGACTGATGACGTTGCAGCAAGCAGTAAGACTTAGAGGCTGAGTCATCAAACCTTATCCACAGCTATGGATCATGTGACATTTATTATATAATTCTAAGTACTCCGTTTCCTTTTCGCCATGGGCCACTTTTAGACCGCTCTGCGTGGTATCGCCTTTCTTAGTAGCTATAGAGGATAAAGGTCTTAAAAGAAAACCGGAAGAGGTCATACGGCCTTAGAAGGTGAGCTAGATAGTTATCAAGGACATCGCCTTAGGCATACGCTGAAGCAACTATGCAAGCGCCTAGGTCTAGATTTCAGCCTCAGTATCACCATCAACTTTCAACTTCACTCTTTATATTGTGTGGTCTACATCGAGATAGTTTACCCGCTTGCCTGCCCTACATCGCGACCCTATCACCATGCAGTTTGACCATATCGCAGAGGACCAGCTGGACATCGTTTTCGCACAGTGGGTGAAGCAGGTACTTTCAAAATCCCCCGAACATCTTGCCATGAAGCTAGCTGCGTCGCATCTGGGCCGCAGAGCCAAGCAAGCGTGCCAATGGAAGGCTGGTGGCTTCAATGTGTGCTATCGAGTCCAGTTTCACGATGATACACCTGAAGTTATCGTTCGGTTCAGCTCCCTTGGACGAACAATCTTCCGTGCCGAAAAAGTTGCTAACGAAGTTGCCGTCCTACGATACCTCCGGAAGCACACCTCGATTCCTGTCCCCGAGGTGTGCGGGTCTGGTAAGACGTGGACGGGTCCATATATCGTTTTAACTTACATTCATGGCACCCCTCTCGCCAGCATCCTCAAGGACCCCAAGGCCGAAGGACGGCCTATACTGAACCCACATATCAGCCAGCGCGGCTTGCGGAGAGCTTACCAGGAGATGGCTCAGCTTCTCCTCGAACTGTCCAAGCCTGAGTTCCCCAAGATCGGCGCCCTAGTAGAAGGGCCGGACGGAGAATTCAGGGTGTCCAGAAGGCCATTTACATTTAACATGAACGAGCTATCGACTTCTGCAAATATACCTCCTTACGCACTGCCAGACCCGAACGCCATCTTTGAGTCAGCGGCTGACTACTTCAAGTCCCTTGCTACACAGCATATGCTGCACTTCCTTACCCAGCGGAACGACGCAATCACCAACGAAGCTGACTGTCGCAAAAAATTTGTGGCCCGCTGCCTCTTTAGTAAGGTTGTCGAACGCATTCGGTTCCATGAAGGAGTGTTCCGGCTCTACTGCGACGATTTCCGCCCCTCAAACATACTTGTGGACGTTGAAAATATCCGTATTGCAGCAGCTATAGATTGGGAGTTTACCTATGTAGCCCCTGCCGAGTTTAGCTATGTGGCCCCGTGGTGGCTTCTGCTGCAGGCTCCTGAAGATTGGGAATCAGATCTCACCGAGTTCCTGGCTCGCTATACGCCTTGCTTTCATCTTTTCTTGGATGCTCTACGAGCGGCCGAGTCTGACAAGATGTCCGATGGCAGGCTGCAAGAATCCCAAAGGCTATCGCCGCATATGGAGAAGTCTTTGGATAATAAATTATTCTGGGTGTGCCTGGCAGCACGGTACAGCTCCATGTTCGATGAGATATACTGGACATTCATCGACGAAGCTTACTACGGGAAATTCATGTCTCTAGAAGATCGACTGCAATACCTGAGCCAGGAAGAGCACACCAAGCTAGACGCAACTTACCACATCAAAGTCAAACAGGCAGAGGATGGCAAAATTGATCCCCATTACTCCCTTGATGATACCATGGAGCTGTAACGGCTTTTGGTATCCTCTCTTTGATAGTTTAAGTTATTTAGTATATGCTTCCATGACTGACCTTCCTTTCCAAGCGGTTCCTCATTTGTCCACCATTTATTCCCCCTAACCATAAAGAATTGGAAAAGGGAAAAACTCTCGCTGCAGGATCAAAAACGCAAGCTATGCTAGGTTGCTTGGCACAAATCCTTCTGGGGAGTATAACTACATAGCACCCGTTAGCTATTCCCAGCCATACTTGTAACAGCAGCTCGTATTCCCTGATGGGCTACAATAGAACTGCTTTCTAAGTTCTAACCCCGCCCGTTAAAGTATATAAGTGACGACCAACATAAATAAGAGTTGGGAGACCAAGTGCTTCGTCCAGATTCTCAATCAGTCTTTGACACAGCTATGGTTTCAGTTCTTCGTTTATCTGGAATACCGCATACTAATCATGGTTCTCAAACTATACGGATTTTCTCCGTCGACTAATACCCAGCGGGTCGTCCTCGTTCTTAATGAATTGAAGGTCCCTTTTGAGTACGTCACCGTCGACTTAGCCAAAGGAGAGCATAAGAGCGAGGAATACATGAAAATCCAGCCCTTCGGTTATGTTCCATGCATAGTATGCAACGTCGATTCCCTGCTTGCTTTACGTAGTAAACATACCGTTAAACAATTTCTAGGATGATGATGGTTTCGTTCTCTATGAAAGTAGAGCGATTTGCCACTACATAGTCGCCAAATACGCCAGCCAGGGCACCCCGCTCGTTCCTACAGAATTAAAGGCCAACGCCCTCTATGCACAAGGCTTGAACCTAGAAGTGGCCAGTTTTGAAGCTGCTGCCGGTCCATTTGTTTATGAAAAGCTGTTTAAGCCGTGGGTCTGATCCAAATATATGATTTTGCCTGTCTAATAAATAAATAGATACCAAGGCTTGACCCCTGATGAACACTCCGTTAAGATTTTCGAATCGAATCTCTTGCAGTGCCTGGACGGATATGAGAGAATATTGAATAAACAAAAGTATATTGGTGGCAATGTGGGTTATCTTACCTACGGAATGCATGTCTACTATGCGACGACCTTTTAACTCACGTACTGCTTAGGAGTTAACCCTTGCTGACCTTTACCACCTCCCTTACCTTACTCTGCTTCCCCAGGTTGGGTTTAATGCCATTGATGAGAAGCCTTCCGTCTCTAGGTAAGCCTAAATGGAGCATTCGAGACATAATGTATGATGTCTTAGCTAACAAACGTGCTTTCATATAGATGGGCAAAAGAAATTCTTGCCCGACCATCTTGGCAAGCCCTCCTTGCCAACGGTGCGAAGTCGACTATCTAATCTTTGGTCCCCCGATCATCAACTCAGCTGTCGTGGAAGGTAGTTTGAAATTGCATTTTTGTTGTCACTCAATGTGTAAATTCTTTGAATAACAATCAAGGTCTATTAATCCATCCATCCATTTCGCCGTCTAAGCAGGCTGTCATGAAACAAAAGAAGACCGTTCGCTGTTCGTCCGTAAGTATTTATTTAATCGTCAATATGATATGCATTAATGCAGAGTCGCTCCCTTTAGGATAGAAAATCAAGCCACATATCTATCCGTGCTGCCTAATGAAGGTCCATTAAGTAAAGCAAAAAACAAAACAATGGAATATGCAACAATTGCTCTAGAAAATCCCCGGGATAATTCGGTACGGGACTTTAGCACAGTACTCCTTCCACGATTCTCCATACTTATTGTAGCATCTCACTTCATCACGATAGCATCGATGAACCAGCAAGATCGTCATGTATATGGCATAGGTCCACGGAAGTAGGTTGGTGAACCCACAAGTGGCACACATAGAGTAGGAAAGGATCAAATCACCTAGGTAATTTGCATGACGAACCAACCCCCACCAACCTATCAGTGATTGTTAGTTTGAGGTTGGTAGTAGTTAATTGCAAGGCTAAAAAGAATGGAGTTTACCTGAGCATAGCAAGAGGGATTCATGAATGGACCCTTCCGCTGTCTTGTACTTAGCACGGATGAATTCCGGTGATTTACCCCATATTTTGCATTTTCCATTCGTAGCTCTGGATAGGTACTTCTGATGGTTTGCTGCACGAAACAGAGTATATCCTGACACACCTGTAGCCAAGATTAAAGCCGCAGCCCAAGATGAGAGGTTGATAGGGTGGGTTGCCAGATATTGTGTTTGCAGAGTATACATCACCGGAAGCCACGCGGCAATACCCCAGGAGAAGTAGAACCCAAAATGGTCGTGGCACATATCGAGCGTCTTCAAGTACCTGTACGATGACATTAGACTTGTATCCCTTCAATCAAATGGGCTCGAAAGGGAACCATACCAGCCCTCGTTGCAAAAGAAGTCGATGACGTATATCGCATGAAGCAAGCTGGTGATAATCATTGAGTTGGTGATGTATCCATATTGTTTATACTGCCATGCAGCAAAGCACATGTCACTATTGCTCGTTAGTTGTTTCCAGTGGTGGCGAGATAGAAAATTAAGCAGAGAAAGGGCGGGAATTAATATTACACTATCAGCCATCCAATCATGCCTGGACGTCCGTTGTGGAAGAGCTTCATATCCCAGTCCGCGCCCAAACGGGGATTAAACTCAATGCCCATATAAAAATCGTAAAACACAGATCCTGACAGACATTAGCAACCTTAACGAAAACAGAAAAAAAACATCATCCGTATATATTTTCTCACCACTAAACTTCCTATCTTCTGGATGAGTAGGAGAAACATGGGCTTTTATGTAAAATACCAATGCCAACAGCAAGCCGTAGATATTAAACAAACACACGAAGCCTCCCCAATTCTGAGCCACAAAGGTCAAATCAAAGAGACCGTACCAGTGAAGGCCACCAGCCAGTATTATCGACACTACACAGGCAAGGAAACCGTTTATTTTGTATTCCAGCAGGTTTCCAGCCGGGGTGAGCTGGCCCTTGCATCGCGTGCCCGGCAAGAAAGAGTATAGGATGACATGCGACAGCGTCCAGCAGCCGTATACAGTCGCTACCGAGAGAGTCGTCCCGGGTGTCTTTTGTACAAAGAACGGTATCAGACCAGCTTTCACCATCGATACGCCCGCGCGGTAAAGAGAGCCGTCATAATGGCTGAGGGACGCCCACCAGAAAACCGTAACCATTGGACAGGTCACCATCATGGCAAGGCATGCCATGCCCCCGAGGGCCGAAGTTGTACCTTTGCGCCCCCATACTGTTATTTTATCTGGGGATCGCTCATCGAGTGCGCCCTGTATGGTAAAGGGGCGTTTTCTGGCAGATGCGCAGACGTTGCTGTTGGTGATTGTGATGTCTGGCATTGGTGATCGCAAATTGGAGGCTGAGCGTCAACCTACAGGCGAGCAATCGAGGTGAGCAATCAATTGGACTGAGAAGGCGAGAAACATGAAAGCAACGAAACTGGGTCACACACCTTTCTTTATAAACTAGTCTGGGTGGCTGGCTACAGATGGCTGTCTCTCTTTTCCTTTTCCCCCTTTCCCTCTCTGCACAACCTGTATCCACCAGGCCAGTTTTTAGTCGAGCAGCCACTCCCGCCAACAGACGTCCATCGACCACTTCAACTTTGTTTTATAAGCTTTGGTGTGAAGAAGGAAAAAAACAATACGGAGTATAAGTCGGCTACGCGCGCAAGTGAGCTCTAGTCTGTCGAGAAAACACGGTAATAAAAGAAAAGAAAGCGTTTGATAAATATGGCTAAGCCATCTTCTCTCAGGTTAGCGGGCCAAACGTGTGGAATTCGAAGAAGAATGAGAAGGGGTAGCACAGCCCCCTTTTAGCCCTGGATGATGATGTTTATGTTGGACAGAGACTTGTATGTCCAGGCCTTGGAAGTTTGCTGTTGCAAATCGCTCCGGTGGTTTGCTGTGACTTTGTGAAAGCCATGCTCGCCATGTGAGCTGGTTCCTTTTCGCAGCGGTGGAAAGCAATCTGGTATCGCAGATTGTGCCATTGTCAGGCAAGGGGGAAACAGGAATGAAAGCAAGAAACGAAGTGCGATGCTTGGTGAAGCCACCATTCAGCGTTCTGTCCTCTCAACCGGTCAGAAGGGCCCAATTTTCAGGCCTGTCTGGGCATTCGCAGATCTCGATTTTTTGTTGAGCTGATGCCAAGGAACAGCCATTCAGATAAACGGTAATTCGCGAGAGGTTTTTTATCTGTGGCAAGCAGAGACCAGACAGAATACGGGGAGCGGGTTCGTCACCCGTTTACAAGGAGTGACGATGAAGTTGAAGTGAGGTGGCCCTATAGTGGAGATATATAGGACTGCAAGGCACCCACGTTAACTGCACGTACATATACTCCGTACATACTATGTACGTATCTTGAGTTTCCAACAGGATAATACCAGCCTGCCGGTCCAGTGGAGAGACTATTCCAGACACACTGATTTGCAATTTGCGGCTATCCGGAGGCTGGAGACAAGCACAATATATGAAATAGGAACGGCTAGGGTCCTTTGAAGTCACCAAGGCGAATAAAGCAAGGAAAGGCGCCATCTCAACCGGAGCTTCATCGGATTCATCCAAAGACCCAAATATCTACTCCGTACATGCCAATCAACCAAAGCTGAAGTTATCATCCCATGAATACAATAAAGACGAAGCTCAAAAAAAAGGGGTCTCGGCTCATCCCGAAACGGGTCCAAGCGGGAAGGATTCGGTCCGAGTTTTATCCGCAAGTTTAAACTGTAAAATTGAGCTTAAACGAAAGAGTCGTTGTTGTCGTACATAGTCAGACCAAAGGTTGGGGACGTTGACATGGAGAATAGCAGATCTGACTCCTACAGATCCATAGCCCAGGCTGGTAAAGGCGCTATGCTAGGGATTGTACCTCTTTACGAGCCAACCAAGGCTGAGGATGTTACTGCTGAGTATGGATCGCCATATCGTAGCATGTCCAGTGCTAATATATCGTTGTAGCATTCTCCTGATACATGGTTTAACCGGCCATGCTATCAATACATGGAGCCATGGGGGTATCTGCTGGCCTCGAGATCTTTTACCGCAAGCACTCAAAATTCCTACTCGTGTTCTGAGTTTCGGATATGACGCCGGAAGATACGGCGATGCAAATCTAGATATCGAGGACGCAGCGTTACAACTTATCAGTGAACTTGAAAGAGTTAGGCCAGTAAAGGTAACCTCTCGCTCGCAGGTAATGGCTGTGCTAGCACCCAGCTGACATAGCACTCTAGGAGAGAACAAGGCCATTGATCGCGGTGGCGTACTCCCTCGGTGGGATAGTCTTGAAAAAGGTACTCAGCTGGTAGTTCCGGGTTACATGCATACATCAACACTTCTAACGGAGGAACCCAAAAAGGCGCTGATTACATGCAACAATAAACCATCACTGAGGCATATCCTTGCTGCCCTGTCTGGAATAGTATTCCTAGCAGCACCTCACCGGGGAAGCGCTTTAGCTGATGTTGCGGCTCGTCTTGTAGGCCAGCTAAGCATTGGCCTGCCGCAGAAATTTATAGGCACTCTCAAGAAAAATTCGCCAGAGTTGTAAGTCCATGTCGCCGTAGTTTAGTTTTTTCCGTTCAATCAACGCCTAACTTGGCTCCAGAGAGAGTATTGCCAACGACTTCCGACAGATCGCCGATCAGAGAGGCCTCCCGATTGTTAGCTTCTACGAGCTACTCCCAGTGAGAGGCAGATTGATTTGTTTTAGTGACGTTGTATGTTAAGGCTGCTCTTATAGACTCGTCACTCTAGCTAACACATCGGATTAAGGTCGTTTATAAGGAATCGGCGCTTCTTAATATTCCAAGTGAACATGCACTTGGAGTACACGCTAACCACCGTGAGATCTGCAGGTATCAGAATGCAGATGAGCCAATCTTCCGAGAAGTTACAGCTCGCCTACAGCAGTTGATAGACACAGGCCCTTTACATAGCAATGCTCGCGTCTTTCTTCCATGGGATGTAACACCACATTTTACCGGCCGCCGGGATTACATTCAGCGGATCCACAAAGTTTTTCTTGGTTCCGAAGGACGTCAAATCGTCGTCATTCACGGAGACGGTGGAATGGGGAAGACAGAAGTTGCATTGAAATATGCACGGGAAAACGAGCATCGGTATAACTATGTCTTTTTCGCTAATTCAACAAACATCCAATCTTTGGAGAGTGACTTCATCGATCTCCATGGTAAATTGGGATTTCCTCCCAATAATGCTCGCGCGGTGGATGATATTAAACAATTGCTTCGTCTAGAGCGATGCTGGCTTATGGTTCTTGATAATGATAACGACTGGTTGGCATTGAGCCAATTTGGATTTCCAGAAACCGGCCATGGCCATATCATCATAACCTGCCGATCTCGTGAGCATACGAGTGATCCAAGGATCACTAAGGCCATTGTCATGAATCCTTTAAAACCAATAGATGCCATGGAGCTTCTATTCTCGAGAGCCGGCGTTGATGTAAAAGAACGGCTCAGCTGGGAAGCTAAAGCAAAGAATGTCATCAAATTCACAGGATGTCAGCCTCTCGCAGTTGATTCAGCGGCTGCATATATTTTGTGTAACAGCATTACCGTTGACGAATATCTCAATGCCCTGAAAGGGAGGAAAGTTTCTCGGAGACTACTCTCCTACCGTCCCAAAACATCCAAGTATCAGACCTCTGTTGAATCTATTATCCAGGTAACATTGGACGAAGTCAAAAAAAAGCCCCGATGCCTTCAGGTTGCTCAATATCCTTGTTTGGCTTGATAGAACCAAAACGACAGTTAGTTTCCTAAAACGCGCTGTCTCCCCCCAGCCTCGGTGGGGTCCTGATGGTCAGGTAGAAATGAGGGATCCAAAGAGCAGTTATGTCCCTTCAGACCTTGTTAACCTGATAAAGGGGCCAAGCTTTTACCTTGCTCTAAAAGAGTTAAAGTCATATTCGTTGATTGCCAGCGATGAGATATTTGAAGGTGGCGAGAGCTTGAGCAGTAAAGATTCAATTATTTTACATCCTCTAACGTATCTTTATATACGAGAAGTTCTCACCCCTGATGAGATGATACAAAATGCAATTCATGCGCTCAGCCTCGTTGTTCACGCATATCCGGTTGTGCAAGCCGGTTTGGACGGAAGGTAAGTAGATCAAATATGATAATAATAGCGTTTATCACCTTAACTGACAATTTACGATAGCCCTCCCCGAATGGTCTTCCCACAGGTTTATCAATGCAGTCTCAACAGCGAGTATCTTGCCGAGGAAAACCTCAATTTCATTGAAGCTGTCCAGAGAGTTAAATATAGAAGGGAGAGCGAGCGAAGTTTCGCAGAAATCACAGCTGAAATGTTCCTTGAGGCAGCCCGTGGATATGGCGAAGGTTCTGGTCATTTGGATGGAACCCTTCTCAAGTGGATTAAGATCCTTATCTTACCTTCAGAACGTGCCGGGCTCCAAGCCCGGCTGTGGTGTACCAGGCTTCCACTAGAATTTTACAGCCAAGGCAAGTTTACTGATGGCTGCGAAGCTGCTGCCAAATTTCTACATGACGCAGACTTTAGCCCTAGTGGTAAGATCACAAACAACGATAATGCACAGGCAGGCTTCCTACGCCATCTATCAGTTGAATACCTGGTCCGTGAAGAGCACCTGTCCGTTAGAGAGATATGGGAGAAACGTGCAAAATATATCGAGACCTGGAAACCTTTAGACCAATACAACCCCTCAGAACTTGAACGGTATGCTCAAGGTATGGGTGTACGAATGCGTGGTAAGCTTGCCAAAGATTTTGGGCAGTTCAAAGATGCATATTATTCCTTGAAATTGTTTATTGAACAATATGCCAAACACGGAAGCCGTGAAGAGGGATGGGCAATTGGCGACTTTGGACAAGTTGTGCTAGAACTCGAAGGGACGGGAGAAAACTTTGATACCCTGCTTGACTTGACCACGAATGGCATAAAGTGTGGTGACGACCAGTTTACTCCTCGGCCCAGTGCAAGACCATGCGAAATAATCTCTCGTGTATATACGCAGGCTATAGAAAGCCGCATGCTCTCAAGAGGGAACTCCAGCCAGCAAGATAGAGAAAATATCTGTGAGAGTGATACAATGTTTCTCGAAATTAACCGAGCCGTCAGCATCCTTCGAGAAGGTATCATCCACCCCGAAAGATATAAAGACGCTGAACAGGAGCTGCTTGGTTTAAAGGTTCGATTTGAGAATATGCAGGCCATGGGAACCTTATGGCATGACGACCAGACCCGCCATTTCTCGGTTCTGGCATATCTCGCGCAGATTTCGCACTTACAACAGGACTGGGAGGAGGCACAGTCCCGCTGGGTAGAAACGATTGATTACGGGCAATTATTCGTTAAGGAGTGGAAGGGCGACCACTATTACATTGAGGTCGCTAAATACAGTCTTGCAGACGTTCAACTCAGGGCTGGGGGTGATCAGAATGCGATCATCCCGAAACTAGACGGAACGACTCGCCGGCTTGACGCCGAGAAGGTGACATGGAATTTAGGTCTAGGGACCTTTTGGCTAGACCATGTCAGGGAGTCGATTACACTAATTATGAACAGTAAAGGTGCAATTATCAGGGAGGCATGATGCTAAAGCATTACATGGCCATCCGCTAGTCCCCGAGTCTGACAGTTATTTAGTCGATTGTACTTGACTGGTTACGACGACATGAATTAATGATCTCCTTTTGATCTTGTTGTTTCCGAGTACTATTATTGCTGATTGTTTTATTTCATGTCTTGCTATCCGTTTTCGTTCTATATATATTAACCAACTGCTCCAACGTAGATACCAAGTACAGTTGCTTAGTTATCAGGCGGCTCTAAATAAGTTTCTTAACTTGTGGGCCGGCGCAAACTCCGAGGGGCAGCTTTGGCCTGGCGTAGATTATCGAATTTCTTCAACATACAATCATTATAGCGATCCCTCCCGGCACAATCATAATGGTAGAGGGGCTTGAAGCCAAGGCGCTTGGCCGGTTTGATGCGCTTGTTGAGAAGGGCGATGTGATATACTCTCATCGCGACCCAGTCCACGTACCGGCTAAGCCATACAATGTAAGGATGACCAGTCTACCATTGATCAACCAGCAACTTCAGCAAGCATCATATATAGAATACAAGCTAACAGCTGCAAAATCCGCACCCAAGAGATCAGCTTCAGTTCCGCATCGCATCAAGTCTGACGAAGAAACCGCAAATTCCTATAAAAGATGCAGAGAAGAAGCCGCCGGTCAATAAAGCCAGCCCGTTCGCCAACGACCCGCCGGAGTTCGTTATCGAACATGTTGGTGCTGAGCATACGCTACGCCTGAATAAGTTTTGTGTCGTCCGGCCACAGTTTATCTTGCATTCGAACGAGTTTAAACCTCAAATTGAGCCCCTCTCTGCGGTGGATTTGGCAGCCGGATGGAGCGTGCTGACCAGACTGGAAAGCGAGTATATACTTATATATAATGGAGGCTTGCAGGGCGGTTGGTCTCTGCCACATCGGCATATGCAGCTCCTTCCACGTCCACCGAGAGATGGCCATAACTTGTTCCCAGATATATATGGCATTGAGAACGGTTTGTCTTCCCACATACTATATAACTGCTTGTTTGAAGATTAAGCTTGAACCAAAAACTAACTCACCTCTTAGGCCGAGTTCCTAATATTCCATTTAAGCATGCCATTCGAAGACTTCCCGCGTCAGCAACAGAGGAAGAAGTTTACTCGACCTATACAGATCTCTTGGATATCGCTGGTGTCGACGAGAATGATTATTCGCATAACCTGGTTTTAGTCAAGGACTGGATGATGATAATACCACGGTCTCGCGCAAGTCAGGAAGGTATCAAGATTGTGAATGCGGCAGCCATGGTAGGTATGATCTGGATACCTTCAGATGAGGTGCTGGATCTCTGGTTGCAAATGGACAACCCGATGGAAACCCTTACCAGGTACGGTAAACCGTGGTAGCCTCTTTTACTCAGTACAATGGTTGGATAGACAAATATGCAGCAATAGACTAGATGATAAAACGGTAAATATAGAAGCATGTTTAACCTTGTTTCCCTATAAATAGATACAAATACCAACTTTTATTTGGAGTCGTTCATCCTCATAAAACCAACTTACAGTTAATAGTTAACAGGCAATCAGCCACCATGTTTAATAAGCTGCGTGCTGCTAAGGAAATCATAGCTCAGCGATCATGCCGGGATCTTATCAATAATCGATATCTCGTAATTAGGGCTTTATCAAGGATCTACAGTTACATTGCAAAGAAATACGGAGAACAAGCGCTTTACCATGTGGTGATCAGCCCCCAAATGTCAGGTTTGACTTACGTACTTGGCCGTTAGTTGCCTATCAGTCAAGGAGGTTCTTGCATACTATGTATGGATCAAGCTGTTCCAGGCGCTTAGCACTGCTGACATAGCCACTTTCATAACTTATCATGTAACTCCATGGACGTTGGCTGGCATCGGAAGCGTTTACGTACATAGATCTTGCTTGGATATAGACGGAGAGGCATTGGCTAGGATTCCTAGTCTGGGGGCGAAGCTATCTCTTGTGCCAAGTTAAGTGAACCCCGAGTGACCACTGACGACTCGATCCCTCACAGAAATAGGTTATATGGGGGATATAGCAGCTAATTAACTGCAAAGACGGGACGTGTATTCACATCACTAATTTCCTTGGGGAGTTAAGCATCTGGCCGAGCCACTTTCACCCATCACCAGGAGCGGTGCAATTGGCTTATACAGGCTCCGATCCCTCCGCAGGATTACGGGGTTAAACAGCCCTTGGGCTGTCATGACAGAGTTTCACCCAAAGGCCCTGAACATCCTCAGCCTTCGAGGCTTCTTTGTGTATTAATTGCCCCTATCTTGGCGATTTCCCTGACGTCTCTTCCCCTTTGTTGTTTGGCGTTGCCTCGTTGGCGTTTCAGCCCGTAAGCGGCTCGTATATCTGCTGCACGGCCGTAAGCCAGTGGATTGAACAGTTAAGGAGTCTAGGGGAGGCGATTGCACACGGCACGGTGGCTTACAGCCTTGCACCTATGCTTATTTCCGCTCCCACAAACTGGTGTAACTAGCAATGTATAAAAAGGCAAAAGGGCCTTCTTCTCAGCCCTTCTTTTTGTAGTTAAGAAGCAACTTCTATTCTCTTTGACTCTTGTGATAAATCCTCATACCAGAAAACATCTGCACCAACTATCCCACCAAGATACTATAATAGCAGCCATGGTTAACGTGAACATCCTGACCACTGTTGCCCTTGCTGGCCTTGCTGCCGCAAAGACCGTCGAGGTCGTAGTCGCTCAGAATGGCGACCTCACATTCACTCCAGACAAGATCACGGCCGACGTCAACGACATAGTCCACTTCAAGCTTGCCAAAAGTGGCCACGACATCTCTTCCGGCCCATTCAACACGCCTTGCAAGCCAGGTGACAACTCACTCTACTCTGGCAAACTCAACGAGGGCAACGAATTCTCTGTGAACATCACCAACACCGACCCAGTCTGGATCTACTGCTCTGTCGCCAAGCACTGCTCCAAGGGAATGGTCGCTGTTATCAACCAACCGTAAGTCATCATTGTTTTGCCCACCTAAAGAAGAGCTTGACCTTGCTAACGAGGATATTCGACGTAACAGATCTAGCGGAAACACCATTGAAGCCTACAAGCAAGCTGCTGCAGGCGCTGGAAACGGCCAGGCACCACCAAAGGTCAACAACGGAAGTGGTGGAAGCGGTACCCCTACCACTAGCTCTGGAGCTCCTGCAAGCACCTCCAACGCTGCCTCCAGCTTCTCCTTCAACAGTGCTGCTGCCCTAGTAGCCATGGGCGGTGCCTGGGTCGGTCTTCTTTAAGCTGTTCATCCTCCATGTTTCTTTTTGATTCAAGGCGCTGTGGATGTGTTTAGTTATTGTCTAGATTTATGAAGTAATAGTACGAACTTGTTTTTCACATTTATCCAGTCTTTTAATCCTCATCTCTCTCTCTCACACACACACACACACATCCTTCATCCTTTTGATCAACTTTCATCCTCTTCGGTTTCTCTTTTTGTCTCGTAAAAAATTATGGGTACTATATGTTCACGTGACACGGAGCTATGGCTCGGCCGAGGTTAAAATCCGATTTGTCAATTTTCTTACATAAGCAAAAGAATCACAAAAATTTTCTTTTCAAGAAGTTTTTTTTTCTGTCTTTTTCAACTTCTTTTCTTTCTCTTCTTCCTTCGTGGAAGAATCAAATCAGCCAACCATGTCGAATAGAGCACCTCAAGTGCTAAGGCATGCCTCCTGGGCCTGCTCGCGGCGTATGTCGCTGTCGGCAAGCCTGGTCAGACCAGCATACAGTGCGAGGACCTTGACTGGTTTCTCCAGCTTCAACGGTAGGAGGAGCTTTGTGTCAGGTTCGCAGACAAACAATGCCCAAGCCCAGTCTACTGTCGACACTGCCGTCAAGACAGCGCAGAGGGTGTCTGTCCCTGGTGCCTCTGTGACTGGCGATGCTCTGGCAAATCCATCAGCCGGTATCTTGAAACAGGCTACAATCATGGATGAAGGAAGTCGACCGATCTATCTGGACATGCAAGCCACTACCCCTACTGATCCGCGAGTTCTCGATGCCATGCTACCTTTCCTCACCGGTCTTTATGGTAACCCTCACTCAAGAACTCATGCCTACGGTTGGGAGACTGAAAAGGCCACCGAGCAGGCTCGGTCACACGTTGCCACCCTCATCGGAGCTGATCCAAAAGAGATCATTTTCACTAGTGGGGCTACTGAGAGTAACAACATGAGCATCAAGGGTGTAGCTCGGTTCTTTGGCCGGTCAGGCAAGAAGAAACACATCATCACTACCCAGACCGAACACAAGTGTGTTCTTGACAGTTGTCGACATTTACAGGACGAGGGCTTCGAGGTGACCTATCTGCCGGTTCAGAGTAATGGGTTGATCAAAATCGAAGATCTCGAGGCCGCCATTCGGCCTGAAACGGCCTTGGTTAGCATCATGACCGTCAACAACGAGATTGGTGTCATTCAACCTATGAAAGAGATCGGGGCGCTCTGTCGGTCGAGAAAGGTTTTCTTCCATACTGATGCCGCCCAAGCCGTTGGCAAGATTCCTGTCGATGTCAACGAATGGAACGTCGACCTGATGTCCATCTCTGGTCACAAGCTGTACGGTCCGAAAGGAATTGGTGCTTGCTACGTTCGACGTCGTCCCAGAGTCCGCATCGACCCCATCATCACCGGTGGCGGCCAGGAACGTGGATTGCGTAGTGGAACGCTCGCTCCTCCGCTGGTCGTCGGATTTGGAGAAGCCTGCCGCATCGCAAAGGAAGAGATGGAGGTATGTGCTTCCCCCCAACCCCTTGATTTCTCATATTATCAATACCGAGAATCCGCGAGTTTTGCCTGAGATGATTAAATGCTTTTTTCAATTCTTATACATGCATGGTTCTGAAAGTCTATGACTTGTGTTTGATATAGCAACTATATGATCATGGCTTATAACTCTTTCCCCTGCTTCCCGCTTATGAGATGCATTTCCCTCATTTTTGCTGGCTTAACTAATATCGAGTCTTCAGTATGACTCGAAACGCATTTCAACTCTCTCTCAGCGACTACTCAGCAGTCTTCTCGCCCTTGAGCACACAACTCTCAACGGCGACCCAAAACGCCACTACCCAGGCTGCGTAAATGTATCCTTCGCCTACGTCGAGGGCGAGTCCCTCCTCATGGCCCTTAAAGACATTGCTCTGTCATCCGGCAGTGCCTGCACTTCTGCCTCCCTTGAACCTAGCTACGTCCTTCGTGCACTTGGAAACAGTGACGAAAGTGCCCATAGTAGTATTCGATTCGGTATTGGTCGTTTTACCACCGAAAGTGAGATCGACTATGTGATCAAAGCAGTCAAGGAGAGAGTCACATTCCTTCGCGAGCTCAGTCCACTGTGGGAGCTTGTGCAGGAAGGTGTTGATCTGAATACTATCGAATGGAGTCAGCACTGATCTCCCGTCTTTTCGTTCTTCAGCCGCTTTCACCAACTAACCTAGGCTCCCTTGCTATCACAACATGCATGCATCTTCTATGTTGTTCTAATACCCACTTGTATATTTTATTAATATGTACTTGATCCGATAAAATGGAGATCAATTACAGCTATCCAACCCATCCACCAGCCTTCTGTCTTGATGATGTCCCTGACGGTCGGCATCTTCATGCTTCTCTCTTATTATGGGACATTCATTGAAATGGCAACTCTCCTGGCAAATATGTACCATAGCGCATGATGATGATATTATTCAATCTACTACTTTTTGCACCCTGCAACTCCATCGTGTCTTCGTAAATACTCAGCCTATCTCGTACTCAGCGATCACTACTTGCTGCTCAAAAGATGCTCTCCCAAAGAGATAGCTAGCCATCTTCGCCAACTCCAGCTGTTGGCATGAATACTGTGACGTCGAAATTATCTTACAACCCATGTCGGCCCTCGCTCATCCTTTCCTTTGATATGATAATAACATTACATGGAGAGTCATCGAGGCGGCCCTAATTCAAATATCCCAAAAATAAATCGCAGCCTTTCCTCACCACATCCAACTTTATCAACAAGTCCTCATCAGCGACATCATACTATATCGGCAAACATCAAGAATATACCTTAAGATAAACCATTATGCAAATACTTCGTGCCTTGTGAGTGCCCTGTGAGCAACACGTCAGCCAAAGAACAGGTTCTCATCAAAAAGCAATTATTGTCTACCAGCAACGCCATGCTTTCGGGCAATGGAATCCTCCGTACAACTGCGCGAGAACTGCGCTTCGATAAGAGAAAAAAGAGCCCGCATGCTAAACATACCAAGAGCGCTTGCATCGCCTCTATTGCCTCTTCTAACCAGACATTTGTGCCGTTCTACTCGGCATAGGACCATGGGGAATGATGCTCTGGCCATGGATACCAAGCCCGCGAGTGCTTCCGATATAACTGCAGAGTTGAACGAGCCAAGCACATACGCTGACAGCCTCTGGATATCTCACCCAGACGGAGATATGGAAAAACACTACAGAGGGCACTCTTTCAAACTCGAAGGAAACTACGGTGTCTTTCCCAAGCGTTGCCGGCGTCTTTTGACGGTTGACCAGATCCCGTTTCTGTCGTTCCCAAAGACAAGCCAGACGGAAATCCCAGCTTCCTGTGGCCAAAAGAATCCTTGTGACTAGATGACGAATACGGTACAAGCTGAAACGGAGATTATCGATCATTGGCGCCAGCCCAGAAAGAGCGTCTAGCCCGCTCCTCTTCATCTATTCCTCCCCCATGCTGGGCCGAGATGATAGTTACAGGCTTACAGTATATATACAAAAGAAAACGAGCGGCTGCAAGCGGGATCAAGGACGTCACTAAATTACTGTACATCGTCTGGCTCACAGTGACACCTCAAGCGGAAAAGAATCGACGATACTCGAGCAGCAGTTGATCCTGTGTTCACCTCGCCCATCCTAAGTATACATATACAAATTCTTTGCGCTTTTGCGGGTACCTGGAGACGTCATATCCACGTGATAATCTGGAAGCTGGGAGTTTATTCGTTTTTTTTTTCGCTGTTTGCGAGATTTAATTCTTCCGCGGCTAATATATTTTGTTTCTTCTGTCTTTTGCTTCTGGCTGCACCGTTATCTATACACAAGACAAGACAAGATAACTATACCGCTAGCCCGTCGTGGGTTTTCTTTTTTTGCCTCTATATCTAGGGCCGTCCTCCCTTGGGTCTTCCTTCGTCAGCCCACTCTCTCTCTCACTCACACACCCCACAGTCTATAAAACCTTGGTCGACTCCCAAATTTGACTCACTGCACTTTCTGGCCCTCAGCAAGCTGAGTTGAACCTGCTGCTATGTTGCGTCCAGTTCCAAATCTCGCAGACTATGGGATTACTCCACAACATGGCTTCCTTCCCGAGGAACCACCGGCTACCAAGCTCCCAGCATACTACTCTCCGTGGGAGACGGCTGTTCAGAATCTCCAGCCTCTAATACTGGCCGGGAGACTGCGGAATACAATTGAAAACATGCCTGTGCTGTCCCCAGAATACCTTGACTCTGTACCAGAATGGCGACGTGCATATTCAATCCTAGGTTTCTTGCTGCACGGCTATATCTGGGGAGGTGATCAACCCGCGGATGTAAGACTCTTCCTTCGTTAGTGCCTCCGTTATGTCCTGTGACCATTGAACGTTTTCAATTTTCAGTTTTCCTTTTTTCCCCCCTGGTTCTTCCC